GGTGCAGAGTTTCTTTTGGGGGGGGGGTGTTGGAGCGGTTATGGACAGGGGTGGGGCCACAGCATTTTACAGCACATATTTTGCCTCTCGGGGTAGAGGGCCAGAGGGAGGCATCGTAATGACTTTGTCCCAGCGTCTGCACGCTTTCCCCCTCACCGAGTGCATACTAATGGGGGGATCGGAGTGGGGGGACTATGTGAGAAAGCAGGCGGCGGGTATGCAACGGCAGGGAGAGCGAGGATAATGAGGGCTATAAGTGGTGGACCTTCAGCGATCACTCCACGAGGATGCGTCAGCAGGGCCTCAGTGCGAGATAGTGGAAGGAGAAAGCCCCCTGCTGCATTCCACCTGCTATATCCTTACTCAATATCATGCATTCTAATTATATTGTAATGTATTTTATATTAGGGGTGCTATGATATGCATAGTAATGTCATTTTTAACACAGAAGATGAGATACTTGTAATACTTGTATCATGCTTTGTAAAACATGCTTTGAATCTAAACTTAGAAAACAAAAACTGTGAACAGAAAAGTAAGAAACCAAAAAAAAGAACTTCCCTGCACTTCATGCAAAATACACTTTGTTTACATTTAAATGTTTTTGTAATTTTACCAGGTGCTGTGATTTTGTTTTACCAGTCAGACTTTGACTAAAAAAAAATGTGTATCAGAAAAGCTGCAATAATCACAGCATAAATATCGTATCGTCTGTATCACAATTTTATGTATTGTTACAGCCCTGATTTGAATTAAGTTCATCTCTAATGAAATCTCAGTACATTTTTATTGTCATGGAAAGACTCTGAGTGGCTTGAAAGTGCAGTTTCTTTAATATGCACATTGACTTTACATGCTGGTATGCTCTAGACGGACATGGTTTACACATTATCAAATGCATGATTGGCTCACGTGCAAACCATGCTCGCCTGGAGTAAAGAGGCAGCGAGACAAATGTGCATTTCAGAATTTTCTGGATCTAAACTCGATCAAGCGTCAGTCAGCAGGATTAGTACTGCAATGTTTCATCTTGCAAAATGATTAAACAAGAGAGTGTCATTTACCATGTTCCTTTACATTGAGTCATTATTTACAACCTGTCTCAGCAGTGTCTCATATCCACCTCTTCGGATTCAGACAGTGCTCAGACATACATTCATCTTTCTCCTCTGTCTGATGTCATAATGCTCCCTATAGCCTCTCTCAGCCCACAGCCTCCGTGCTGTGTGAAAGCACTCGTCTAATCTTTCACCAGTTTCCAGTGATAGGAAGTTGAGGGAGAGATTTGACTTTGTAGACGTACAACTATCAAACTGAAGCGAGTCCAGATGGAGAGTGTTTTATAGGTTCTCTCACTGTTGGATTTTATCAGTCCCATCCCAAGGATAGTTTTGAGGATTTATGAATCTAACCTTTATTTTTATGACCTTTAAAGGGGAAAGAGCTGCACACCAGCAGACTGGAGAATGTGCTGGAGTTCAGACTTCTTTTTTTATTCTGTCTTTTTTCTTTCACTATCGTGCACTCTCGCCGCTTAGCCTGCTATTGTACTGCTTTCTTTCTTTCTTTATTTATTTTTTGTTCATTCTTTATTTTTTGTTTTGTGTCTATTCCTTTGTTCTTTCATTCTTTATTTAATCCATTAATTTGTCATCCATTATTTCTATCTTTCTTTCTCTTATCCATTCTTTTTTCACTCTTTTCATATATTGTTTATTGTCCTTTTCTCTTTTCACTGTCCTTTCTTTCTTTCTTTGTTATCTATCAACACTTTTACATTTCTGTCATCCATTCCTTGCTTCTTTTCTTATTCTTTCATCCTTTTCTTCTGTTTCCTTCCTTCTTTTTTCTGTCTTTTCTTTTTTCTTTCTTTTTCTTTCGTTCTTTTTCATTTCATCTACGCATTGATTTCTTTCATCAGTTGTTTCTTTCTTTTCTTCGTTATTCCATCTTTTTTCTACTTCTTCCCTTTTCTTTCCTTTTTTCCATCCACTTTTTATTTATTCAGTGCATTCTATTTTGTTTCTTTCTTTGTCTTTCTTTCTTTCTTTCTTTCTTTCTTTCTTTCCATCCTCTTTATCCCTCTATCTCTGTGCATCAGATTGCCTTTCTGTTTCCCACTCTAACTGATTCTGTGCAGGTGACTTCTTTCTTTGTGTGACTCCACTGCTTTACTTGCACCTCTCTCTCTCTACCCCTCTCTCCCTCTTTCTCTCCCTCTCTCTCTCAGCGTGTGTGGCGACCCATAACCCAAGGCAATCTCACCTCCTTTTTAAAGGGATTACAATGGACTCCAACCACATTACTTTAGCTAGGTGTCTTAATACTTTCTGAAGCCCCACTTTATTCTAGTTAGTGTGCGGGGAATCGACTGGCCCTTGGCATAAAAGAGGGGCCGTGCTCAGTCCTGCCCAACGAAAGGGATCAATGGCCACTATAGATTCTGCTGTCTTGGTGCTTCATAAGTATTTGGCTCCTTAAAATGGCAACTCAATTTAAAAAGCAATCATTGCTAAGTGACTTTTCTCTCGGCTCAATATTGTGTGGCAATCAATGCATAGCGGGTTGTTAATGTGGCATCTCAAGGACCCCAGACGTCGAAAATTATATTAATTAAAGTGACGTTGCGTTTGATTTGTGGCGGCTGAATGAGCTTCGGAGCATTGAAGGTTTTTCACGCTCCTTTGACTTTGGCCGTGCAGTCCTCCTCCGACCACAAATCCATTGAAATGTCACCTGTGCCGGATCATCTGGCACTAATGCCACAGCCACATGATAAAAGACCCTGGCCCGCTCCAAAAGGCCACGTCTCTATGGTGACCAACAGACAAGACCACTGACATGCTGACAAATGTGTTAACTGTTTGAGGTTAAGCTTTTGGACTGAAGATGACTGAGGAGGAGTCACAGGGAGATGGAGGCTCAAGCATCTGAGAGTAGTACTGATTGAAGAGCAGTATCCTCACTCACATAGTTATGGTGTTTATTAGCATATACAAGCTAAAAACTGATCTTAGATCAGCAAATATATAACCACTGCATCCAGCCTAGTGCTGCTTCAGGAGTAAAACATTGGCTGTTTTATTTGGCTGTTTTATTTACTAAAGCATGAGATAAGTCAGGAAATGTCAGGTCGCAACTCCAGGGTGCTTAATTATGTCCTGGTGAAGCTGCAGGAATATGGAGTTTGCCCTTTTCACGGCTCCATGCACTCGGCCGTCCGTCACAGACACTGCCTCTCCCCGGGATGCCCATGAATCCATGCTGTGATGCCATAGCAAACGGCTGTGACAAGTGTGTTTCCAATTTTGTTTTTTGGCTCTTTCGAAACATGTTCCTACTAGTGGTGAAAAAAAAATACATCTCTCTCTCTCTCTCTCTCTCTCTCTCTTGTGATGCAGCGATTTACCTGCATTGATATGAATCAATTATGATTGATTATAATAATATTTAGCACGCTTACTAATGCTGCACTCGGGTGCACATTGGAAGGTAACACATACTGGATGATAATCTTGTAAGTACAGATTCTGCTTATGGAGAGATATGCCCACCGCAGAACGCATGGTGGTCTGGAGAATATTCCTGCTTTTTCTTTGTTATTGCTAAAAATACTAAAAAAAAAAAAAGGTTTTCATGTTTTGCACATTGACCACCAAGTTTAATATTTGTGCTGGTGGAAAAGGTTACCAGAAGTTTTAATTTTTGTTGTTGGATGATCAAAACAAAAACAAACAGACAAACAAGGGGGCAACAGATAATCAAGATGAAATAAGAGAGGGGGATTACAAGAAGTAGTGGAACTCACATCCATCACCTCAGATGAAGAGTGTTCATATTTCAGTTAATATGCTGCATTAAGTCCAGGATACATAATGCAAAAGATTGACAGGCTTCAACAGTTGAGTCGTACTGTTGCATGTTAAAGGTTCACAATTTTAAGTAAATTTAAGAACCCAAAATGTATTTGAGTCCTGGGTGCAATCCAGTTAAAGCCAGCAAATCGCTTTTAGTTTGTGATAGCTTTAACCAAGATTTAAATTGGTTGGTCGTTCAGACATAGACATGTTAGAGTTGTAGTTAGTTTAGATTAGATCAGTGTATTTTTAAAAATACCTCTGTTTCTCAGCAAAATAATTTATCATCATGAGATTTACACACTCCTTTTACACAAACACATACACAAAGTGAAAAAGCTGCTTCCTCCACACTTTATAACAGTTCACGATTTCATGAGTATTCATGAGCTTTAGTGTTAACAGGGACTTTAAACTTAAGTGTCATGCATATTTTAGGCCTGACCTTTGATAAAATCATCAATCTTTCATTTGCCGCTCCTACATATATCAAACTCAGTAGACTCTCACCTGCTCTCTCACCTCGCTCTCCCTCAGCTCTGATGCTAAATGTTTCCACTATCTCAGATTCCCTCGTACACACACTCTCTCACCTAGGCGCACAGAGGCCTCCTAATCTGATCTGTAGTCTCGAGCTTAGCTCGTAATCACATTCGCACATGAGAGAGCAGCGTTCTCAGGCCAGGAGAATCAAATCATCTCCACCAAATTAACCTGCTGGGAGCTCCTATACATGTTCTTATCAAATATTCCCAACTCGAAGAAGAACTCGAGGGACTTCTGATAAAGCTGTTTACCACTGGTAATGCCCTCAGCTCTCTGTAGAGAATGTGAAATCAAAAAGCTGTTTTGTTGTGATTTCAACTTAGCAGTGGTCAGCATTGCTTCTGATTTGTGTTCAGAGCGCTGCGCCTCATGAGTCCAGCAGGCTGGCGGGTGTCAGTGTGTTAGGAGGGTGCCTGCGAGCGCGCTTGTGTCTGTGTTGTGCGTATGTGTATGAGTGTGCATGTTATTGCATGCTTTTACAGCCTGAAGAACATGTCAGCTAGTGGCTAAACTTGACTTACGTGTCTTATAATCCTCCCATTCTTTCTCTTTCTCTCTCCATTCCTCCTCTGTCTCACCCTTTTACCCTTTCTTCAGATGGCTGTCCCAATCTGTGTAACGGCAATGGCCAGTGCACCATGGGCCAGAACAGCTGGCACTGCGAGTGCAAAACGGGCTGGAGGGGCACCGGCTGCAGCGTCGCCATGGAGACATCCTGTGCAGACAACAAAGACAATGAAGGAGGTCAGAGAGCATCTTTCACCCTCACCTGCAGCTGGTCAAAAATAGCTACATGTAAAAATTGCATTGTCATTATCAGCTCTTTCACATCAAAGCAATATGCGAGCATTTTTCAATCTGATCTCTGCCTCATCTGTAACAAATGGTTGATTACCACAGACAGTAACTGCCCCATGCTTAGTTAAATAAGCTTCAGCATCTGCCCATTGACTTTTATTATAAATAAGGATGCTTTGAGTCAAGAGATCTTCTGTTGTTTTGCTAAGTACAGGGACATGTGTTGAAATTATTGTCTGTGGTAAATTGACCATATTCTACTAATGAAACAGAGAGGGACTAGGCTGAGGTAACTTATATTGGAGAATTCCTTTAAGACCTTTACGATTGGCATATTTTTTATGTTATTTTTGGGAGTAGCATCAAGCACAATCTCTAACTAATAAGATCATCGTTCAATAACATCATTCAATAACAGCTTAAACACAGTGTAATAAGAATTGTTAGTCCATCAAAATAAATAAATAAACAAACAAACTTATCATGCAGGTAGCAGCTCAAAGTGCTGTACAGGTAAGTGAGTTGAATATGTAAAAGTTAAAAGTAAGTTAAGAGTTAGAATATACAACTATTAGAACTAAGACAATAATATGTGTAACAAAATTGACTGCCTAATAAACAGTGGAACTCCACAGATTAAAAGCATAAAAACAAAACAAAGATCTCTCCACTTTTTCTGTAATTTATGGTTTTTGCAGATCTAAAGTATCTGATATATCTAATATAACATATTGGAGCATAAACAGACAGATGCTGTGTGATGTATCCAGGTGCTTTAAGGGCATTAATAGCTCTAAAACTAGTACAAAATCTTTAAATCTTTAAAAATAGAGGTAGTAAGTGTTCTTTCAAAACAGGGTAATATAAGCTCTCTTTTTTGTTTTTATTAGGATCAATTCTGCTGCGTTTTGTATGTGTTGCAGAAAGGAAGGTATGTGTTCGTAGGAAGCCTGGTTAATCGACTCTGCTTTGTGAGAGATGCATGTACAAGTTTCGTGGCATCGCTCTGAGATAGAAAATGCTAAACTTTAGCAATATTTCTTAAATGATACAAAGTCACTTTAGTGACTGTGTTTACATGCGGGATAAAACAGAGCTCAGCATCTAATATTACTCCCAGGTTTCATACAGATTTAATATATGAAGCTTGGGGGCCCTCAAAATGTAGAAATGTTTTGAGTGAAACATTGACGAGCATCACCAACAATGGTGGATAAAACTGACCTGTATACCAAACTATAGAGCAAGCAATGCAGCAGGACAAACTAACTGTTTTTTGTACAAATTTGCACAATAGTTTGATGAGAGAAGCAAATGGCCCATATAGACAAACTGGGGCTTGCTAGTTTCACAGGAAAAAATGCACATCTCTCACTCAGAGAATTCAGAACAGAAAAGCTCTAAAGACAATGCGGAATTTGTCCCGCAGGCATGTGGTTGGATAAGGTTAAGGAGAAACTGCATGTATCAGAGCTTAAGCTGTTGAAGGTCTAGCACAGTGTTAGGTAGGTGTTCTGTCTCATGGCTTTTAAAAGTCTCTCCCCACTCGAGGGTCAAAGTGACTTTCAGTGGACAGCTCCTCTCAGTGGGGTGTAGTTTAGGAGATAAATGCTTTTTCTGACCTGAGGTGCCTTTTTCTGGGCTCACCTTATTTATTCACCTCTCTTTGGCTTTTTCACTTTGACTTTCAGCTACAGTAACAGAAAGCAATCTAACCTTACTAAAAGACTACTTGCACAGCTATTGGCTTTGTATGTCTATAAGAAGACAGAGGGCTTTCCTCTTAAGATTTGCATTGTTTTAGATATCTTTCTGTGATCTTTATTCTTCTGAGTCAAAACACATGGAAAACATCCAGCCGAACTAGGGGAATATAAACACATAACTGCAGCAGGAAATCGAAAACTTTTCTAATATTTTTTGCATTTGATGTATAAAAGCACTACTAAAAGACAGATTCCTGCTCAGTAGGGAAAATGAAACATCTCATCATATTTCAAAAGACAGAACAAGAGAGAGAAGCACACTGTCTTGTAGAGCTTAAACGGCTTTGACTGATTATACAGCATAGGAATATACAGTAAGTTCACAAAGCCAGTGGGTCTCTTTACTGTTCCTCCTTCTGTAGATGGACTGACCGACTGCATGGACCCAGACTGCTGCATCCAGAGCCCGTGCCAGAATAGCCCACTGTGCCGGGGCTCTAGAGACCCCCTGCAGGTCATCCAGCAGAGCCAGTTGCCTGTTCAGAAGGTCCGCTCCTTCTACGAGCGGGTCAAGATGCTGGTGGGCCGTGACAGTACACATATCATTCCAGCAGAAAACCCCTTCAATGCCAGGTAGAATGAACTCAGCTCCAGGAGAACTTCTGTTATCCATTTTAACTCACTCATAAGATAAACCTTGTAACTGACATGCATGTGATTTGCTGATATTGCCAGGCATTCAATAAGCCAGAGTTGATGGATTAGTCATTTTTTCCTTTATTGCCAGTATTCAAGTACACTTTTGATTTTTCATGCTGTAGTTCACCTTGCTTGCTGGAGACTGACTGATTAAAAACCTTACCTTATGTTTTACAGTAATTGGTGGAGGGGTGTTATTGTGATTTGATTGGTTACTGATCACTTGATCTTCTGCTGTTTGTTTTGTCTTTCTTAGTTTGGCATCCCTGATCAGAGGCCAGGTGCTGACCACAGATGGAACCCCCCTGGTAGGGGTCAACGTGTCCTTCGTCAAATATCCTCACTATGGGTACACTCTCACACGGCAAGATGGAACGTGAGTGACTTAGATGGTTCTTTAGTAAAACCAATGGTTATATAAGAAGAGTTTTATTGCATAATTGTATTTGTAATTTTGGATATAAAGTGAAAATAAGTTAATGTATCCTCTATAGAGAACAAACTTAATTCTGTAAGTTTTCGTGCACAATTCATTTTAATTTGCTGAGCTTAACATATTGGGAAAAATACAATATAGAAAATATATATTTTTATATGCATAAATTAAAAATGTGCCATAACTTTTGGACAGGCCACATTTTATATTTAATTTTTTCATGAATATGTTAAATTCAGCAAATAAACAACACACTAGTGCATTAAAATTTGCAAAGTGTCTTCTCTGTAGAGGATGTTTACTTATTTTCACTTAGAAAATCAACAAAACATATACTTTGACCAGGGTTGCCCAAACGTCAGCATGAAAAAGAAAATTAGTTTTTTCCCTTGATATAGAACAAATAACACATAACAAATGTGAATGCTTGAATGGGTCTATGCATGGTTACATGGTTCTTCTCTATGATGGAGAACTTATGTTCACTTGCTGGTCCTATTTATAGTCTTGTTGCTTAGACTGTACAAATGTATCTTTCTTGGCCAATCAACAACTGACTTTAATACTTTTCTTCCATCCTTTTCATGTTTGGAATTTGACTTATTTGTGTCACTGAGAAGCTCTACAACTATTTTGACCATAATAAAAATTGTTTTTCAGCTTCCAGTGCTGGTGATGTATACCACTGCGTGAAAACATTACAGAACAAATCTTTATTACATTCATTTAGGGTCATGTAAACTCAGAGCTTTTTTTGCTGAAATGGCTGCGATCTATCAATGGAATTAATTATTCCCTCTAGAAAAATGGCATTCTGAATGGTAAAATCATTCAGAATGTAATAGTGTCATCAATAATGGGTGCAGCACAAGTAATTATTTGTTTTTCTGCTCTCTCCTCACTTTCCTCCCTCCCCTCTACTCTTTCTCGCAGTTTCGACCTCATCGCTAATGGAGGCGCCTCTCTCACACTTCATTTCGAGCGTGCCCCATTCCTAAGCCAGGAGCGCACAGTGTGGCTACCGTGGAACAGCTTCTACGCCATGGACACACTAATGCTGAAGACAGAAGAGAATACCATTCCAGGCTGTGACCTGAGCGGCTTTGTCCGGCCTGACCCGGTGGTGGTGGCCTCACCCCTATCCTCCTTCTTCAGCTCCAGGCCTGGAGAAAGATCCATCATCCCGGAGACTCAGGTTAGAACCAGGCCTCAAAGAGCACTCTGGGTCACACTGACGTTCAGCCCTGCCTTCATTATACTGTGCCTCCTGCAGAAATGCTGCATTTGAAACCTTACTGCCCTGTTAGCCACTCATTACTTTTTTACCTCAGTTGCTCGGGCTTCACTGTACAACTAGGGGTTCATGACATTTGCAAAGCTCTCTGGAACACTAGGGTATTTTTTTCTATTAATGAACTCCCACTGAACCTGATTGAAATCACTCTTGAGTTCACACTTAAGAACTCTTTCTTCCCATTTTCGTTCTGCTTTTGCAGTCTTGATTTTTGTGCACGTCTTTTCCATCTTCCTTCTCTCTCTGCCAAGCTTAATCTCATTTTTTTCATTATACACGTCCTTCCTTTTCTATCTTCTCAGCTGCTCTCCAAGATCTGCTCTCCAAGATCTAATCTAAGTCTCTAATCCACTTTTGTTCTTCATGTACTTCAGGTTCTTCATGAGCAGATTGAGATTCCAGGCACCACTTTGAAATTGTGTCACCTGAGCTCACGGACGGCAGGCTACCGTTCCTTGCTAAAGATCACCATGACCCAGGCAGTGGTGCCCCTCAGCCTGGTCAAGGTGCACCTGATGGTGGCGGTAGAGGGTCATCTCTTCCAAAAGTGGTTCCATGCTTCACCCAACCTGGCATATACCTTCATCTGGGACAAAACTGATGCTTATGGCCAGCGAGTCTATGGCCTGTCTGAGGCAGTGGGTGAGTGAACAGTTTGGCGTGAATACCACTAGGACTTTCTAGACATTAATCTTAAACCTTTATATAAAGAAAGCTGTGAGGTGATCTGATCCTCTTAAATGAATAGTTTGATAAAAATATATACACAATTTTCTGTTTACTCCAATTATAGTGGATCAGCCAAAACATGTTTGATGTCCAAAGTTTTTGATGTCCACACTACATGAAAATAAATCTCTAATAGACTTGCTAATGTGGCTTCTGACACTGTATGATTAACCATTATTTATACAAAAAAGTACACTGCATAGTCTGTATTTTTGTGCATTTATATAGATAATAATCTCAAAATCTTTATTAGCTTCCATAGCTCCAGTGGGAAAACTTAAAATACAGATTCCAGGCGCCAAACAACTCTACATTTGGGTTCAATTGAATTTTTTATTATTATTTTGTTTTTGACAAACTATTCCTTTAAAATAAGCTCACACAGATACAGCACTGTAAGGCTGCTTTCACTTTAACTGAGACAATAAAAACTACTGAAGAGCTAATCTGACAGAGTGCAGATCAGTTAAAAGAGCGTGGTTAAAAGCACTTTGCAAGCTGTGTAATATGGGTCTCCTCATTGGGGATCGCAGAGAGTTTATTACACGTCAAAGGGGATTAGCGCTCAGCCGTGTGAATGCAGGACCCAGGGAGCCAGCACAGTATTACAGAGTGTTCTGCCTCACAGCCCCTGTCAGCGCAGGCTTTGGAGAGCTCCAGGTAGCTAACACTGCTCTCCCTGCTGCTGCTGGGGGGGTTGCTGAGGATAGCACTCTGTCACTGGTGTGGCATGTGTGCAAACAGTGTGGTAGCGACCTCTCCACCAGCCGCCCCAACCCACCCCCTCTCTCCATCTGATTTTACCTGTACAATCTACAAGAGGTCCACTTTTGAAATTTGTGCAGTTTTATGCACTAAAACAGTCATAATTCAATTTCATCTGAACATTTTCCAACCTCTCTTTATCACTTGGAATTAAACTGTTTTTGTTACTATGTCATTAAGATTGACATATGTAAATGAGCTCTGTTCTGATTGGCTTCCCTGTATTGTGCCTCATTCAAAAAGCAGTTTGGGCTTAAGTACTCTTTATACCTTCAGCATGTATGGGTGGGGCTAAACTGCTGTACGCTGAATAGGCAGATATATGTAAATTTCAAAATGGGCTGTTTCCATAAATGAACTGGAAAGTATGGTATCTTTTGACACTTTACATAAAACTCAGAAAATGATCAATAATACAGTCCCTTTAATTATTTGCAAACTTCTAATTTTAACCCCCCCGATTCAGTTATTCAAGCTTTCAGGGGCAACAGAATGTGAGAAAGAGGCAGATATGATTAAGTTTTCTGTCTTTCTCAGTCACACATGCTCATTCTCTAATTTATAAATCTCTAGTAGGTATATGCTAATTAATCCTGATGAATTAAAGCAGCTGTGGCCCAGGTCTCAGTGTATGATGAGTACATGTCTGCATGGGTCTACCCTTCAGAAGCATGCACCTGGCCATGACCCTGTTACAACCACAAATCGTGAAGCCCTGCACAGAGAAGGGAGAGAGCGAGTCATGTCCAATTACAGAGTGTTTGAAGACATCATCTGTTCACGCTTCCCTGCAGTTTCTGAGGATGTGAGAAGGCACCCTGCCCTAAGCATTAAGGAGCAGCTAGTCTAGCACCTTCTGCAGCCCACTGTGAGCCTCACCATGAGGAGTTTATGAAAGGCATTTGGGTGGGGTTTGTGGGTCACTTGTAATCATCTGTTGGCCATCACTGATGTAGGGTTTTGGAGTTTATTGTGCTGGCTCTTAGCAATTACTGTGCACTTTAAAACTTGAAGATTAATTCATTCATACATTTATTAATTTATTTCATTTATACAGCCTTTTATAATACATATGTACAAAAATTGCCGTAACAAATACAGTCCAATACAAATACTTTACATATCGCTGTTGTTGGAAGAAAACCTTGTATCTCCAAAATGGTAACTTTACAGGAGAAGAAAAAAACAAGTAACAAGTTGGGCCATTTCTTTTGATCTATTCATCATGAAATTTACACACAATATAAAGAGCAACAGGCAAAAAACTGAAAAACAACACGACAAAAATGGAGATAAAAGGTTTTCTTCCGACAGCAGCAATATACAGTTGTTACATATACAGTCAAAAGATTGGGCTCCCCTGGTGAAATTACGTCTTGTTGATTTTCTAAGAGAAATATAAAGTACACATCCTCTACAAATAATACGTCTACACATTTTAATGCACAGTTAGTGTTGTTTTACTAAATTTAACAAACTGACAAAAATAAATAAAATGTGGCCTGTGATATGTGTTATCATATAGTGAAAATGTCAAACCATAAAAATGATCTATCTCTTATTTGGACTCTCACACAATTAGGTTCTTACTTCTCTTATCAGTTAAACATCACTGTAATGTCTTTTGCATAACGCGTCCTGTCTCTGTTGCTCACCATCTCTCTTTGTCTCTCACTCTCTGTGTTTCTCTCTCTGCAGTCTCAGTGGGCTATGAGTATGAGACTTGTCCTAGCCTGGTGTTGTGGGAAAAGAGGACAGCGGGACTGCAGGGATATGAACTGGAGCCCTCTAACCTTGGTGGATGGTCTCTGGACAAACACCACATCCTCAACCTCCGCAGTGGTACGACCTTCTTTGTACCGCACACACGCACACATACACCAGGGAGCATTCTAACAGCATTCAATAATGTCCATCATGTATTCTCAGCTGTTGCCAATACCTTAGGTAGTACTTGACTAGAGCCTATGAATGGAGCTGCTAAACATTTGCACGTGTTTTGATTGCGCTCACTATAAATGTAGATTTAACGTTGACACTGAGTGACATTGCTCAACTGCTGTTAGAGTAGGCTGAGTCGAGCAGTGGAAGGTCATTCACCTCGCTTACCCTGGGAGAGGTCTGCAGTATATCGAGTTGATGTAATGTGAAGCCTGGATGCTTTTTGTGGAGAGGCAATCAATAACATAACGTAATAGCCCCACTGTGCGGCTGCAGCGGTCGAAAACACAAAGCTTATAAATGAGTCTTATAAACTGCTTTTACTGAGAATGACTTTTTGAAACGCCTCTTTCTCCTTTTACGTTCGAAAGTTTACGGTTTCTGTTTCCATCGCACGCCAGGCATCCTCCATAAAGGCAGCGGGGAGAACGTGTTTGTGTCCCAGCAGCCCCCGATCATCACCAGCATTATGGGTAATGGGCGTCGGCGGAGTATCTCGTGCCCGAGCTGTAACGGGTTGGCAGACGGGAATAAGCTGTTGGCTCCAGTGGCGCTAGCAGCAGGCATTGATGGCAGCCTGTATGTGGGTGACCTGAATTTTGTGCGGAGGGTATATCCATCCCTCAACACCACTCGTGTGCTAGAGCTCAGGTATGTTTTTCTTACAAGAAAGAACCATGCAGTTTCTTATAAATGCTACTACTTGACTACCTTATGGCTGATGCCAAAATAATACTTATGTTTCTTCTTTTGTGCCCCAAAAGAAATAAGGATTTTCGACACAGGTGAGCCTCGACTTTTTTTCCCCTTTGTCCACTTCATAGGTCATATTATCCAATGACGATCCCATCTTAAGTGGGTCATATCGTCTTCCTTGCTTTTTGGAAATAAAATGGTTTGTAACATGTAAACATATAAAATGTACTAGTCCACACAAGCTGCCACAACAGCCTGTTTTGAATTCATCATGGCTGTGATGTCATAACTGCACACACTGAAGCGATAAGGAGTGTTGTTACTGCAGACTGTTGGTAGCAGAGTAATTAGAGCAAAATAAGGGGAGAAATGATTAAAACTTTAAATGTGCTGCTTAATATGCCATTGCAGTCTTCCAAAGGATCTAGACATCCAAAAGTAGTGGCTTAAAGCTAGGGGTGCTGAAATTTTAAGCTACATATACGTAACGGGAATGATGACGTTGTGCAAAATTTAGAAAATTTACATCAAACAGAATGTGAAAAACGTACTATAATGAGGTGAGAACTGGTCTATGACGCAGCACACAGTTTCCCTCTTTGCACTTCCACCTGCCTACAAAGTGTGCACTAGTGGGTAAGGGGAAGTGATTCGGCTCGCTGTAATGAAAATGTAGCGTTAACTTAAACCATGCATGACTGCTGCAGGTTTTGAAATTATATAAACTCCACTCTAAAACAAACACATGTGGGTCTTCACAATGCTCGAATTAGTAATCTCTTCATTATTATTATTTTTAGCAGTAGCAATCCTGAAATTGTGGTGCTGCAGCATCCTTGGCACCTCTACTTTGCGCATCCCTGATTACCATTCAATATATTTGTACAGTTTATCTAGTTGCTTTCTATTATTTGTTTGTTTATTTTCTCCACCATAATGAAACTAGCTTTGACGTCACAACTCGGCCAATAGGTTCTGCATCAAAAATTTTAATATACCTGACTTCATCGTCCAAATTCGAAGGGCATTCACATGTTGCCTCGTAGTGAGATAAATAGAGACCACTTGAAAGCAGCATATGTTAATTTTTTCTGATATCCTTCAGTTCGAACAGTTTGTTCCATATGTTATAGCCCAGACTACCTTTTGAAGTGCAATACAGCCCAGCCCATCAGAACAGAGCATACTTGTATATATCAATCTTAAAGGCCCAGTAGCCAAAAGGGACAAAGACGTTGGAACATGGTTAACAAAGAGCAAAACATTATGTATTATAAAAACATTATGTAGACTTAAAGGGAAAAGATGTAGAAAATGCTCAAATAAAACTGACTCCCTCTCTACTTTATTCTTTGCAGCAACAATCCAACACACAAATACTTCCTGGCAGTGGACCCGGTGACAGGAGCTCTGTTCATTTCGGACACAAACTCTCGGAGGATCTACCGAGTACGTTCACTCACTGGGGGCCGGCTGCTGGCTGACAATGCCGAGGTGGTGGCAGGCACAGGAGAGCAGTGTCTGCCCTTTGATGAACGCTGTGGGGATGGAGGAAAAGCTGTGGAGGCCACTCTTATGAGCCCAAAAGGTAGACAGAAATGAATGGAAGAAAAGAAATGGAAAAAAAGAAAGAAAAGAAAAATCAGGCAAAGTCAATGGATACCAGGCTAGGATATCAAAAGCTATGATCTCACTCATTAGTCAGTGCGTGCTTAAGCTTCACAGCTCTCTCTCACACTTATAGAGCGAAGGAGAAGCCTGGCAGAGGTGATAATACGTTTCTCCTGGCTGTCTTTACATCTTTCTCCTTTGTAGCAGTGACACCTAACATGGATAAAAAGAGCCTTATCCTCCAGCTGCTTCCACAATCAAAGAGAACATTCAACCTTAAGCTATTAATTAATTTTTAGGCATACTGTAGGGAATCAAAGTCTCTGGCCTCAGTCAATGAAGCCTCATGGTACTTTTTTCTCTCTCTATCATGAGCTAATGTTTAAGCAGGCATAGGCTTCAGACTGTTTTGTAGAAGACGTTTTGCAGAAGACTTTAGCTCTGATAAAACAGGTTACCTTGTCAAGTTTAATAATTTTACAATTGTACAATCATTTTTAATTTCAGTATAACTTTTCATTGCTCTTGGTTGTTTATGAGCAAATTAATAATACATTGATATGATGAATGCATACTTGTTTAAACAGTCCAACTATGCACAAAGTAGAATCTATACTGAAATTGCAAAGACATGAATCATACACTAAATAGATAAATAAATAAACAGATTTATAGGCAAGCCTTGTGATGGATTATAAAAAAGGAACTTGACACCAATCTGTCAAAATGTCACACTGTCACATTTTCTGTCACTGACATGGAATCTGGTGCTGGTGGAGAGAATAGAGAGGGTGGCAGACTACAGAGGCCTGATTCCTAACTCCCAGATGACTATGTGCAGTGAGGCATCAGTGGAGACACTCCAGTGTCGAGTGCCCTGTGTCTGTTCACTCTCTGTCTGTCTCCCAGCCTCTCAGCTCACACGGTGAGCTGTAGAAAAGCAGCTTTCACCTCCATGCATCAGACGCCTACACAGGTCCATCTATTTGCTTACATCTTGCTGTTTCTTAAAGCTATTCTGGTCCACTTCATCTTCTGCCCCAAATGCAAACTGATGTGCTTAGACGAAGATGACATTTGATGGACATGTATTATTTGCTATAGAGGAAATGGGAGAGTTCTAACCCAGGGGTCTTCAGCTAGCGTTTCGAATACAGACCCAGCAAACAATTTAAATGTACCAAACCAAGCACTTAAAAAAGACTGCAGTACAGGTGATCAGTGGATCTGAAATTGATCCGTCAGTACGCAAAGATTTTTCAGACAGATGAATTTACCCTTGTTGCTTTATAGGTACAGAAGTGACAATATTGCAAATACAAAGCCATGGAAATATTTTTTGCTCTTTTCTTCTAATAAACACATAATAGCCCTAGATTTTTTTTAATGACTGCCCAAAACATCCTATTGAAATTTAATTTTTCTTATTCAATGTCATTAGTAGCTATGGACTGGGCCTTAATGGGTAATCAATAAAAAGTAACCACTGAACATTCCGTCATGTTTGCTTGCTTGTCTGGGCCTTTGTAAGCAAGAAGTTTTATGTGACCGGACGTTCACAAATTTAAGTTCAATATTCCTGTTCTTAGAAATGAAACATCTCAATCTCTCCTTCTCAGGTATTGCAGTGGACAAGAATGGGCTGATGTACTTTGTGGATGCCACCATGATCAGGAAAGTGGACCAGAATGGCATCATCTCCACACTGCTGGGGGCTAACGACCTCACTGCAGTACGGCCACTCAGCTGTGACACTAGCATGGACGTCAGCCAGGTGAGCGCAGTGGATCCCTATCATGGAGCCGCACGGTCTCAAAAAAAGTGAAAAGTGCAAGTGGCTCACATAAGACTTTCAGTAATTAACTGTCTTTCAGCTGAGGTCTGAGCTGAAAATGCGATCTTTTCACGCTATTAACCAGAAAGCAGCTAAGACAAAGTACTGAATGAAACATTCGGAATCCTCAGTGGTAGACCCTTACACAAGGAGTTTTGAAAAAATATACTTTCAGTTTGGTCTGTAATCTGTGTAATTTGAATTTGAGTGTGATGGCCCGTGGGCCGTTGGAGGTCACTCTTGGGCCCGATATGGCCCACAGGCTGTCACTGATTCGGCCTTGTGTATGGCACAGCAAGCTGTTTGAGCTAGATCAGGTTTACGTAGGGAGGCACTTTAATTTCAGTGACTTTACAACAGTAGTCCTGTTCGAATTGAAACAGTAATGTGCCACAGTAATGTAATAACAAAACCTCTTATTGGACATAGCCATGCATTGTATTGTTAATGTTAATAAGTGTGGCACCTGTTGCAGGCTAGAACGCCTCAATCCAGGCTGTCATTGGTAATTTGGGTAAATACTTTCTCATACAAACAGGCTGGTCAGATCCCTTACAAATTACTTTTTAAAAAATGGTTTGTCTGTTCAACCTAAAAAAAATACCTGCAGTAACAAGCAGTTTGCTTAATTCAACTCAAATAACTACTTTAAATGAAACTATACAAAGCCTAAATTTAGTTTAGATGAACTAAAGCAGTATTTTACATCAATTCAAACTTCAGAACAACTTCTGCCCTGTTCAACTTTTTGCAGTGCAGGACCTTTCTTAGTAAAGTTAGCCCACTTTGAAAAGTCAAGACAACCTTTATTATGTCTAAACAAGAAATTCCAATGGCATGAACAACAATTTTTAAAGCCCAGGTTAATCAGCAGGACAAAACAAGAAAACAAAACTGTGTTAAACAACAAAACATGATTCATATTAACCACAAGAAAACAAACATAAAGACCTATATATCAAAAGAAAATACAGAATTGTTTGAATCCAATTTGCAGCCAGAACAAAGGACTTGCTAATGCATGTAGTCATTTATGCTGAAATAAGCAGCCACTTCCTCTTTTGCTGTACCTACACAAGCAGCCATGCAGCAGGTTTTAATTTTATTTACCATTAATATAAACTGCTCTAATTTATGCCCTTACCTTGCTTAAAATGAACACGTTTTTGCTCCAGGTGCGCTTGGAGTGGCCAACTGACCTGGCTGTGAACCCTATGGATAACTCACTCTACGTGCTGGAGAACAACGTCATCCTGCGCATCACTGAGAACCACCAGGTGAGCATTGTAGCCGGGCGGCCCATGCACTGCCAGGTGCCTGGCATCGACTACTCCCTCAGCAAGCTGGCCATCCACTCAGCACTAGAGAGCGCCACGGCCATTGCCATCTCACACACTGGGGTGCTCTACATCGCCGAGACAGACGAGAAGAAGATCAACCGTGTGCGGCAGGTCAGCACCAACGGCGAGATCTCACTGCTAGCCGGTGCCACTTCTGAGTGCGACTGTAAGAATGATGTCAACTGCAACTGCTTCTCAGGTGATGAGGGCTACGCCACGGACGCCAGCCTCAACTCGCCCACCTCGCTGGCCGTCTCACCTGATGGTACATTATTCATAGCCGACCTCAACAACATCCGCATCCGCGCTGTCCGCAGCAATCGCCCAGCCATGAACGCTGCCGGACGCTATGAGGTGGCCTCACCACGGGAACAGGAGCTGTATGTCTTCAGCGAGGAGGGACTTCATCTGCAGACCGTCAGTTTGGTCAGTGGGATGCCCCTCTACAATTTCAGCTATGGACCTGATGGGGAGCTGGTCTCAGCTGTGGATAACTGCAACAACACTCTGAGGGTGAGGAGAGAGGGGACAGGGCAGGGTGGAGCCGGGTTGCTCAGGCTGCTCCTGCTGCCTGAAAACCAGGTGGTCACTTTGGGGCTGGACCCAACAGGCAGCTTGCGTTCTGTCTCCGCTCTCAATCGGGAGATTGTGCAGCTCAGCTACAGCGGAGGCACAGGCCTGCTCGCCAGCAACGCGGATGAGACGGGCTGGACCACTTTTTATGAGTGAGTTGCATGTATTTAATAACTGCACCATTTAGTTAAAGTGATTCTTCCGCTTGTCACAAGTGTAGGAGATCAGAAAAGATTAGAAAAGTTTAATGTAGACAAAAATACAGACAAAATATATGCTTAAGGGTACTGGTTTTAGTTATGTGACAAGATAAAAAAAGCACAAAAGCAAGTCTCTGAGCTTGCTTATTAACACAGTTTAATGTAAGTGTGATGATTTAGGCATGCAGTTTGCATAAAGCTAGTGGTGAGGTATCCATCCCTCATTACTTTCCATTACCTGTTAGATACATAAACCTCATAGCTGCAGTGCAAAACTAAACGAGCAAACTTTGGAAACCAAATCTCTTGGCTGATCGACTAAAAATATATACAGACACAAGCAAAACTTTTGGGTACCCCTGTAAATGTACGTTTTTTTTTTTATTTTCTACATGAACATAACTTCACATGGTTTACAGAGAACACACTTCTGAACATTTTAATACACAATCATATGTGTGTGTGTATATATATATATATATATATATATATATATATATATATATATATATATATATATATATATATATATACACGTGTGTGTGTGTGTTCCTACTATAAAAGAAACTATAGAAGTAACTCCAGGTCATATTAATCCCATCATATCTTAAGCACTCAAAGAAACATGACCTTGTATTCTCTGTGGCCCAAATCAACCTGATTAAATAAAGTATATATAATGACAGAAAAATAGATTTTACACTGTAATGTAAAATGTACATATTCAAGACAGTGCCAATGCTAATGATACACTGCTTTCACTTAATACCACTAGGCAGATGGTTAGTGTAAAACCTTAAATTACAAGTAAATGGACATGTTTTCTACTTGTGAGCTGCCCGGTGTCTTATGTATGGAAGTTTTATGTGTGACGACAATCAAGTGACCACTCTCATCTCTGTAATCTACATCTAGATTTCTTATCTCATGTGACTCTGTCATAAGTATTGTAGTCATTCTATGGTAATAACGTAAGTACTTTAAAAATCATCCTAATGAAAACATATGTAATACTGCCTCCATCTGCTGTCTACTTGTGGTATTGCACCCTATACAGAGCTCCACAGGGAGATGTTCTCTCCACTGGCACAGACATCAGTCAGACTGAGACAGATCTGACAGGCTCTAAACATGATCCCCAATGGAATGCTACAGAGAGAGAGCAGGAGAGAGAGAGAGCATGCCAGGGACTCCACTGAGCCAATATGGAGACACTCGCCATAGGATATGTCTGCTGATCTTTTGATCTTTGTTAATACCCATGAAGTGCGCATTATGACCACACACTAGCAACAGACGCCTCCTCTTATCTGGCAGAATACTCACACACTCTCACAAAGCCTGTTGAGCTTTTGAAGTTAAAAATTAGCCAGGCAGTTTGAAATGATTCATTTAAATCATCCACAGCCTCTTGATCTAAGATTAAGGTCTTTGAAATGTTACTGAATTGTGGTCCTATTGTTATTGTTGATGTCACAAATGGGATTTCATATGAGTTGTGCCTACAGGTATGACAGCGAGGGACGGCTCACCAACGTGACTTATCCGACCGGAATGGTGACCAGCCTGCACAGAGAGATTGAGAAGTCCATTAACATAGACATTGAGAGCTCCAACAGAGATGACGACATCACTGTCATCACCAATCTTTCATCTGTGGAGGCCTCCTATACTGTAGTGCAAGGTGTGTAAGCTAAGAATAAAAATGTCTATACCTCATCTAACATCTAACGCTGAGTTCTAAAGCAAAGACTTATGATACTTGGAATTTTGTCATATCACACATACTGCCCACTCACTTCACTTTCTTCTTTGTGCTAGGTCTTACATCTTAGACCTTAACAAAGAGTTTGTTTATTTCCAACATACTGAATTTTTACTGTGTAGGCAGATTTACATGAAGGTTTTGTGCCATTGTAAATGTTTTTTTTGGCTTTAGAAGGTAGTTTATTTATTAGATATTAAGGTAGTTTATTAGTAGTTATTTTCAATGTAAAAAGCACTTGTAAATGCTTACCATGTCACATTATTCTTAATTTGATGAAGGAAAAAAAAAAAACTAAAACCAAATAGTTTTATTAAACTGTTTTATTAAACTTCCATTTCCTACTTTGGTTATATTTTTCAACACTGGTGTTTTAATAGTAGGTTTTGCCTAAATAATGATTTAACATTTTCTTTTCCAACTGATTGTAAAAAGCACATATTTAATCTTATTTAAATATTTATTTTAATATTCATATTTAAATATTTAGTTTTTGCTGTGCAATCACTGCATTATTGAAGATACTTGATACATCTTTACTTTGTGCATGCTGAGCACTTCTGTGCACTTTGGCAGAAATTACTTTCATCCTTTTTTTGGACTGCATGGAGCTAAGAGGATATGCTCCCTACGAGTTCAAAATCATACAAAACAAACAAGCTGGATGCGCACAGTGAAATTAAACAGGGATTTTACTATTTCACAAAGTTGCCAAATGCTCTCAGCACCGAACTGAAGTTGAGCTTAGCCTTCCAGCTACAAAGGAATGTCTCTTGAAACATAAAGTAAAAAAAAAACTTCAATGTCTGACATTGTCAAAATAGTGTCTCAAAATAATTACCTACTATGTTAAAATAATCACGTACTTTCTTGATGAGTAATAACTAATTTTTTTCAACATGGGCATGATTTGACTTAGGTGAAAATGTAGAGAAGTTAAGTCATTATTTTCACCTAATGAGTCATCATTTGAACGAGAAACAGTAAACAAAAAACATTATTCTCCTGCCTGGTACAAACAGATTTCATACAAAAAGCACTTAAGCCCAAAGTGGTTAAACTGTCTTGGTCATATCATTGCTGTTGGAACAAAACCTCACATCTCCAAAATGGTAACTCTACAGGAGAAGAAAAAAACATTTTTGACTAGCAGGAGAAGTCAATTTAACCAGATTTTTTTTCCAAGTAATTTTTGACTATTTCTATTGGTCCATTTATCAAGAAATTTTAACATAATGCAAAAGGTTACTGGAGATTTCAAAAAAGTAAAAAATGACAAAATTGGAGATATAAGATAATTGCACCACAGCAACAATGCTATTTACGGCTGTGTTAGTTTGCATGGAGGTTCTTAGCAGATAAAATGGCCACACCCACCAGTGCAGTGTTGGTAGACTGTCAATAATTAGCACCTTTTAGTAAATCTGCATATTCACACTATAAGCATAGTGTCATATAAAGACATTTTAACTCAGTATTTTCTTTTTCAGCTAAGTAGGCCTATAGAAATAACACTACACTAAAGTTAAGAATGTTCTTGCGTTCTCTTAAAAAGTTACAAAATTGGAGGTATGAAGTTTTCTCAAAACAGCAACACCATACAGAGTTAGATGACTGAATAAAATACCACATACACAATTCCTTTGGGCCTATATTTAACTTGTCGGACAGTGTCTGACAAGTTATTTTGTATCCATTAATAATTTATTAATATTATTTATAATATTTTGCTTACCAACTCACTCAGCAAGCTGCTGACACATCTCCTTCTGTCTCCCATGGATGAGCGGAGATGTGAATGCACAGTGTATTCAGAGCTGCAGACGCAGCAGTCTGCCTGCTGTCCCCCATGCCCCGCGCTCAGTCTGGGCCTTTCTACGGTGAATGTGATTGGGGTGAAATTCATTGCCTTGCTGCCAGTAAATCCTCACTGTCTCCCCAACTCCCTAAGCCACGGGCCCCATGCTCCCAGAGCTTATTTCACCTGTTTAGGAAAAAGTGTGGCGAATGTAAAAGAAAATGAAGGAGTGACTGGCGGACAGTCAGACATACAGACAAAGACAGAGTCTATGTCTGACTGGGCCTTCTCCCTTGTGCCCTAGAGCAGATGAGACAAAACCGAAAGTCAGACTGCTAGCACACATCACACAAGCCTAGAGAGGAAAAACTCTGAAAGTTTAATTAAGGATGTAACCCTGGAGTGCAATAAAAGTGGAAAACCTTCAGCTATCTGCAGCTGAGAGTCATTTAAATCTCCGGACTATACTTGCTCAGCTCCTGTTCAATCAGATCACCCTTAAAACCTCCACTTCTCTCTCTCATATTACTGCATCACACATTAAAGGAGATAAAAAAGAGCACCACAATGCTTCCTTAAAAGCATTCGGTCTATTGGTTCGTATAATACACCACGTCCATTTGGAATGCAGTAGAGAATTTCTGACAGCCAACATGAATCTCCTTTATAGATAGTAATTCTTTTATGGTTTCTGGGTGTTCTACAGGACAGCATGCTCTAGTATCACTATGAATCAAGGAGTTTAAGAGGCAGCACAGAACATCTCTTGAACCAAAATGGTCCTGTTGTTATTTTCAGTCATAACACAGACGAAAACCCACACCGGATTTGAGCTGAGTCATCCAAAAAGATAAAAACAAATCACTGCGCTTTTTTTTGGAGCATTTAGTTGTCTTTGTTCAGAAAAGAAAGGCTGTACTGCGCAGCTGAATGATAATTCTTTGCCACTCTGTCGCCCTCTGCAGACCAAGTACGGAACAGCTACCAGCTGTGCAACAATGGCACTCTGAGAGTGATGTATGCTAATGGGATGGGCATCAGCTACCACACAGAGCCTCACATTCTGGCTGGGTCAGTGAGCCCCACCATCGGCCGCAGAAACATCACCCTGCCTACTGATAACGGCCTCAACTCCATAGAGTGGCGACTACGCAAGGAGCTGACCAAGGGCAAGGTCACAGTGTTTGGCAGAAAACTAAGGGTGAGTGAAACAGACCTTGCTTGGCTTTTGAATAAGCATTATCAGTTCTATCAAGCATCGAGCTTGAGAATCAAGTGTTCTCAATTGATTTAATGTACATTACATAAATATGAATATATATGATTATTTGACAGAACATGTATAAAATAAAAGCAAAAGGCTTGCATAAGAGGGAACCAACTAAACCTCAAGCAATAAAATCATGCCACTAAATTCTAACGTCTTTTTTCAGGCACATGGACGCAACCTGCTTTCCATCGACTTTGACAGGAACACGCGGACAGAGAAGATCTATGATGACCACAGGAAGTTCACCTTAAGGATCACGTATGATGCACAGGGAAGGCCTGCCATCTGGCAGCCCAGCAGCAGCCTGGCTGTGGTCAACGTGTCCTACTCCACCACAGGCCAGCTGGTGGGCTTACACCGTGGCAGCATGAGTGAGAGGACCGAGTTTGACCCACAGGGCCGCATCCTTTCCCGCTCCTTTGTGGACGGGAAAGTGTGGAGCTACAGCTACTTAGATAAGGTGAGTTTTTGCCTTGGGACCCCCAAAGAGTGCTGTTAAGACTGGAGCTCCCTGTCTGAAAGATCAGTTTCAGTGCTGATAGAGCCATGTTTTTAAGGGTTGGTATCGGCCCAGGGCCTTATCAAAAGGTAATTTTACTGCATTTTGATTTGTTTATGCCACTGTTGTAGGGATGTATGGTATCTTCAGTGTGGAACTACTTGAGGGAGGTAAAAAAAAACAGCACAACAGTCACTATCTAAGTGCTGGTGTTAACTGCGACTGTGGAAATTTTTATTACTTTTATTAAAACAATTTAAACTAGCCAGCCACAGGTAAAATTTGATTCCACAATTACTGACTGAAATACAGTCTTGTTTAAAGCTGAGATAATGGATAACATAGCTCATTAGAGCAATGCTGAAATATAACAGCATTTTCAAGACAATATAAATTGGCCATTTCAAGAATGTTGTCCAAAAGAGCAAAACATATACGTTCAGAGCGTGTCACCCTATCCATGTTCCAAAAATGAAGTTACTGTAGCATTTTAAGTGGAATTCTAGCTTACAGTACTTAAACTGGATTGGTTTTGATAACGTCAATGTACTTGAAGTGCGACATTCTGTGACTTCTTTTGTTCTGTTTGTTTGCTAGAACAAACAGATGCCCTGCAAGCTGTTGAGAATAACAATTAAAGAAGCTTGATTTGTAGTTGACAGCCTTCAGCTTGTTAGAGTAAATCAAATAAATTATGATGGAGGTGTGATCTGGAAATCATTATACATGCATTGTTATTGATGAGTGATAAAGTCTCCCACAGCAAGTGAAGGAATCAATATTTCAGAACATATTCAGTGTGCGTTCTTATATGTGTAATATTCAATATGCATTATGTGTACTCAAAAAATCTGATCAAGATTTTCAGTGGGCATATTTTTCGTATGTACCTGTTTGGGTTAAATATATCATAGAAAGTTATATCCTTACTAAAAGAATAATGAATGAAAATAAATAATACTTGTAATTACAAGATTTTTTTTGTCTTCTGTTCTCCTCTCTGTGCAGTCAATGGTGCTCCTTCTTCAGAGTCAGAGACAGTACATCTTTGAGTTTGATTCATCTGATCGTATCACTGCAGTCACAATGCCCAGCGTGGCCCGGCACACCATGTTTACACACGTCTCCATCGGCTACATCCGGAACACTTACAACCCCCCTGAAAGCAATGCCTCCGTTATCTATGACTTCAGTGAGGACGGCCGCCCACAGGCCACATACTTCCTGGGTACGGGGCGCCGCGTCCTTTACAAGTATGGCAAGCTAGCCAAGCTTTCTGAGATACTGTATGACAGCACAGCTGTCACCTTTGGCTATGATGAGACTGCTGGTGTACTCAAAATGGTCAATCTGCAAAGTGGAGGCTTCTCCTGTACGATAAGATATCGTAAAATGGGCCCCCTAGTGGACAAACAAATCTATCGCTTTTCTGAAGAAGGAATGGTGAACGCCCGTTTTGACTACACCTACCATGACAACAGTTTCCGCATAGCCAGCATGAAGCCGGTAATCAGTGAGACACCTTTGCCTGTGGATCTGTATCGCTATGACGAGATCTCCGGCAAGGTGGAGCACTTTGGAAAGTTTGGTGTCATCTATTATGACATCAATCAAATCATTACGACAGCTGTGATGACACTCAGCAAGCATTTTGACGCGCATGGCCGTATCAAGGAAGTGCAGTACGAGATCTTCCGTTCACTCATGTACTGGATGACAGTGCAGTATGACAACATGGGTCGGGTGATCAAGCGAGAGCTAAAGATTGGCCCGTACGCTAACACCACACAGTACCGTTATGAGTACGATGGTGATGGGCAACTCAGTGGTGTCAAAGTGAACGACTGGTCCACATGGCGCTACAGCTATGACCTCAACGGCAATCTGCACCTGCTAAATCCTGGCAACAGTGCCCGGCTCATGCCGCTACGCTATGACCTACGTGACCGGATCACGCGTCTGGGCGACGTGCAGTACCGTTTGGACGAGGACGGCTTCCTCAGCCAGAGGGGCTCAGACATCTTTGACTACAACTCCAAAGGCCAGCTGGTGCGAGCGTACAGCCGTGGGGCCGGAGGCTGGAGTGTGCAGTACCGTTACGATGGCCTGGGCCGGAGGGTCTCCACCAAGAACAGTCTGGGCCAGCACCTGCAGTTCTTCTACGCTGACCTGAACAACCCAGTGCGGGTCACGCATGTGTTCAACCACTCCAGCTCGGAGATCACCTCACTGTACTACGACCTGCAAGGCCATCTGTTCGCCATGGAGGTGAGCAGTGGGGAGGAGTATTACATTGCCTCAGACAACACGGGCACTCCACTGGCTGTCTTCAGCAGCAACGGGCAGATGATCAAGCAGGTGCAGTACACGGCGTACGGTGAGGTGTACCACGATTCCAACCCCGAGTTCCAGCTGGTTGTCGGCTTCCACGGCGGGCTCTATGATTCGCTGACCAAGCTAGTGCACTTCACGCAGAGGGACTATGATGTATTAGCTGCCAGATGGACATCACCGGACTACACCATGTGGCAAAAGATTGGCAAGGACCTGGCACCATTTAACTTGTACATGTTCAAGAACAATAATCCTCTCAGCGATATGCTGGACGTGAAGAATTATGTTACAGGTATACTCGCTTTAGACTCATAAACTAAAGAAAAAAAAAGAATATTTGTGAGCTATTGCTCTGTGCACTCTTTGAATGCACTAAGATCATGTTTTCCTTTTATTTTTGCCCAGATGTAAAAAGTTGGCTAGTGATGTTTGGCTTCCAGCTAAGTAACATCATCCCTGGTTTCCCTAAACACACACTGTACTTTGTGGATCCGCCATATGAGCTACTTGAGATCCAGGAGTGTGAGAATGGCCAAGTGAGTGAAGCCATAGTGAAATTTGTTTCCTATCCGAAGAGAAGCAAAGTCACAAATAATGTTGATGGCAAACTCCGCTAATACGTGTTTTGTTTTCTTTGCAGCTGATGACTGGAGTCCAGCAGGAGGCTGAGAGGCACAACCAGGCCTTCATGGCGCTGGAAGGCCAGCTGCTCAATAAGGAACGGCGGGCTAAGCGCGACAAACCAGGCCACTGGTTTGGCACCAGCACGCCCATCATTGCGCGCGGCGTGATGTTTGCTGTGAAGGAGGGCCGTGTCGTAACAGGGGTGTCCAGCATGGCTAGCGACGACAGCAGGAAGGTGGCACTGGTGCTCAACAGTGCCATCTACCTAGAAGGCACGCACTACATGCAAGATGGCCGTGACTGTCACTTCTTTGTGAAGATCGGCTCAGCTGACGGCGACCTGTTGGCACTGGGCCTCACCAATGGGCGCAAGGCGCTGGAGAGCGGCATCAATGTGACAGTGAGTGGACGTTCACGGCGTGGTGTCACCGTGGAGTTCCGAGCACCAGCGCTGGCCCTGAGCATTCGCTATGGGCTTGCTGCGGATGTGCTTGATGAGGAGCGTGGCCGCCTGCTTGAGCTGGCCAGGCAGCGGGCACTGGCAGGAGCCTGGCTGAGAGAGCAACAGAGAGCACGGGACGGGAAAGAAGGCAGCCGCTTATGGACTGAGGGAGAAAAGCAGCAGCTGCTCTCCACAGGGAAAGTGCAGGGCTATGACGGGTATTACGTGCTACCCGTGGAACAATATCCCGAACTGGCGGACAGCAGCACCAACATCCAGTTTCTGAGACAGAATGAAATGGGGAAGAGGTAACAGAACAAAGGTCTCTTTCTTTTGATCTCTTTTTTTTCTCCTTTTTCTCTTACTTTTCTGTCCTTCGCTGTACGCTCTTTCTCTCTCTGTCTCTCTCTTACCCTTCTTCTCTTTCCTGTATCTCCTTTACCCACGGAGAATAAATGAACTTATGGGGTAACTCTCTGAACGCTGCAGGGACTTTTAAAAAGAACATTATTAATACTGCCACTGGCAAAAAATAACAATTTCAAAGACCTTGTCTTTGTTTTTGAACAATGGACTTCAAAAAGCACTGATAAACTGCAAACAAAACAGAACAGCTGTTGCAAAAGTATGAAAAATCCCATTTTTAAAAAAGAATAGCTATTTTTTGCCCATATTTTTGGGTTCTGAGAGGATGTTGGTGCCAGATGGTACTTCATGTTCCTGTGTGATCCACATCGGAAGGGAGAGAGCTCTCTCGAATTGCCACAGAGGCCCAGTCGAAACATCAACACTGCGCAAAATGTGCAACAGTGCGCAGCATCTGCAAAGTGGAATATCGGTCTCAGGCCTCACATTCTCAACAGAAGGACTGCCAACTGCTGCTGTGGCAAGTCCCATAAGCCACAAACTGCTCTAAAGTCCTTGAAGAAACCAGAACTCCAAGAAAAGAAATGATTTTTAAAAAAAACTAAAAAAAAAATATGGCTATATTTGCGTAAAATCAATGTCAAAACATAGTTTTGTTTTATCACTGGAAGATTAGGATAATATCTACGTTGTGTCAGATTACACTGAAGTTCAGGGTGGGCTTAGATGCGATAGTTTTGTATGTCTCAGTTGCAGTAGAATTGTGAGACTCTCACCAGGGCACTTCTGTACAGAAACATCAGAAAAAGGAAACAATAACTCATGCTATCACGTTTAAAAGTCGTTAGTATCAGAAACTATTTATTTTTATTTTATGCTTGTTTTTTTAAATTATTTATTATTATTAGTACTCTATGACAATCATGAAGGAGTCACCATTTTTAGCTACGCAAACGAACACTGGTGGAGTATTTTCTTTTGTACAATATGTAAGAAATGTTCATTAAGTTTTTATATTAATTTTGATTTGCTTAAGCAAATTATAGTCATAGACAAAAATAATTTATGTAAAGTGTTTTAAAATGATTTATACTTTAAATAAAGTTTAAAACTGTGAAACTTGTTTTTCGAAATATATCTGTATGTACAGTGTATAGATTTACCTTTATGCAGCACAGTAGAATATTGTTCATAATATCAAGTTTTATATTTCTAACAAAAGGTGGCTTGTAATGTGCAAACCTATAGCTGGTATAACGACACTAGGGTTTTGTGACACTCAAATATCCCAGATAAACAATATTGATCCCCAGTTTGATGTTTTGTTTGTTTAGTTTTGTTTTTATGCAGAAAAATTGCTGTACTAGAACCCAAAACCGTAGAAATGGATTCTATCCACTGTGAAGAGACTCATTATGGATGTCATTATGTACCAAATCAGTATTGAGGGATTCTTACACTTAAGCAAGACTCTTCTGAGACCTTATCAATAAAAAGTTTACTTCAAGTGAGTTTCATTTGTTTGTTGCATTTATGAAATGTGGTGACTGTCAATGAGAGTACATCACCTACTGAGTTTCATGACTACATCTCTGTATTTATGATCTAAAGTGTCATAACAAGGTGCCCACGAGGATCATTAAAAAAACCCTGACAGTGTTCACCTGAGTGTAGCCTAAAAAGGAGTGGAGTAAGTATTTAAAATATGATCAGAATGTACAGTAATTCACAATAATATGGAAAAAGGTCATAAGAATTAGGTAATATAAATGAGGTCACGCTGTGGTCTGAGAGGAGATCACATGACAGTGTTGCAGACTTCTTGTATTCATAGCCAATGTCTGAGCACACAAACAATATACAATCTGTAGCATGTTTTTGATTAGATAACGTGACATTTTCAGGTCAAAGCCCATTTCTCTATGGCCAGAATGGGGTTTGTTCAGACGTTTTGTCTTGTGTACATTTTTCTCCCCAATTTCACTGGATCCTCTGAATTACTAGTTCGTTAAAGAGCCTTAATACTGATATTGCTACATGCCAGCTAATAATGCTACTTCGCATCAATTTGATGTCACTGTTCTGGCGAGTTGTGCTACCTTATCGAAATGTTCTACCGTAGCGCATAATTACACGTATACCCATAAATAAAACCTCCAGTTAGGATATTTTGATAGCCTAAAACTCCTTATCAAAAATACTAGCCGTGTTAAAACTGCGAGGCTGAATTTAGCTTCTTTTTCACCAGCCTCTTGTCCAAGATGTCCCGTTCCACCTTAAATGGTGCAGCAGTTGTGATTAGCTGTCACAAACATGAGCAAACTGGACAAAACGATTCTGACCTGTTGGTTCTGTGAAACAGCAAAAATAAGTTTAAGCCAGCTGCTTGTTCGCAGTTTCCCGTTCCACCTTAAATGGCACAGCAGTTCAATGTTCTGAGAAAATGTCCTCTGAAAATGTTACCAGCATTAAAATAATTAGGATATTCTGATTCACGACCTCGTACTTCAGAGGATCCAGTGGTATTCGAGAGAAGAATGTTCACAGGACAAAACGTATCGGGTTCTGAACATTATTATTTAACACAGGGTGCGATCGAGGCGATTTTTCGAAAACCCTATTCATTCTGCCCATAGTGAAATGGAGCCTAGACCCGGAGTTCCTAATATGGGCTTTAGAGCATGGCGCCGACAACAAAATGACGACACGACTACAGTGGTCTATAAACCGGCTCTGGTCGCGTCCTCATTTTGTAGTCGACGACATCTTCTAATTGCTTCAGCTTCATGGTTGAAAGGCCTGATATGAGGAGGTTTCACTATTTCCGCTTAACAGCTGAGTAACATTAAATTATTTTTGCTGTTTCACCGGACTAACAGATCAGTATTTTGTTTGCTAATGTTTGTGATAGCTAGTCACAGCTGCTGCACCATTTAAGGTGGAACAGGAACATTCAAACAAGAAGCTGCGAAAAAAAGAAGCTAAATTCAGCCTCGTAGTTTTAACACTGGTAGTACTTTTGATAAGGAGTTTTAGCCCATCAAAATATCCCACCCAGAGGTTTTATTTACGGGTATACCTGTAATTATGCGCTGCGATAGATTTCGTTAAGGTACCACAGCTCGTCAGAGCACCGCCACAGCCCGCCTTAGTTTCGTGTAGCTTAGTGACGTCAAATTGATGCGCAGCAGCTTTAGCTCCCATGTAGCAATATTAGCTACATTATAATATTATAGCTCTTTACGACCTCATAATTCAGAGGATCCAGTGGTATTCAGGAGAAAAATATACACAGGACAAAACGTATTGGGTGCTGAACATGTTTATTTAACACAAGGTGCGTTAGAGGCGATTTTTCGAAAACCTTATTCATTCTGGCCATTTATTATTATTAATTTTTTTTTTTTATTTTATTGCTAGAGGAATAAGTAATTATCAGAGACAGGGTTTCAGTATAACAATAGTTCACAATGAGAAGTCAAAAGTTTAAATAAAGGAAATAAAGAACAATACAAAAAATAATGAGATATATATATATATATATAAAGAATAAAGTACATTCATAAACTGAAAAGCAGATATCACATCTTGCATGAGGTAATGGAACAAGTCTTCAAACAAAGTTGTATTTTCTCAGTACGTTTCTCAGTACGTTCATTAGTTTAGCTGTTCTTTTACAATACATATACTGGATTGAGGATTTATAATTATAAAAGTCATCTTTAAATGCACTGTAAGATGGGATTCTCTTTGTAAATTTCATTTTATGGATAAAGTATTTACCAAGTACAATAAACAGATTAAGCAAGTAGCAAATGTCCTTATTGGAGTCTTTATAATAAAATAAAATATCAAATGTATCTATTCTGAAATAGGGCTTAGACCTGGAGTTCCTAATATGGGCATAACGCGGACTACAGAATGACGCCCGGACTACAGTGGTCAATGAGGAGCCTTACTATCCCCACCCCCACCCACGCCCATTAAATCAAAAACAGGACTGCTAAACAGCAGAGGGCGCCGCGAGGGCGTCCTTAATGAATGGGAGTAAATGGTGTTCAACAGCTAAAAAATGAAAAGTTGAAATAGTTCTTAATCACTTACCCAGAACGTTTCTTTAATTTTACAAAGTAGAAGGATGTTTGTCACTAAAAAAGCAAAAAAAAAAAAACCTACCTATATATTTCCTTTTAAAACAGCAAATGGATTTGGGCAGCAGAAGGCGGGCATTACTGCTAGTGAGTGCTTATTGGTTGGCAAGCGGAGCAGCCCATCGGCTGGTCGCGCTCAATGACGTCATGGACATACATGAGGTGCCGTTTTAAACTCCTATAACTCGAGTATAAAAGCTCTTAAAATATAGCAGCAGTGTTAAAATGTTTTATGCTGTTCTGTGTTCAGGAAATGATTACATTTTTTACATTAAAAATGTTTAGGTATTTATAAACTATGATTTTGTTCAAATGCTCCATATCAACCCATTCATTTTGGACTCGCTCGGGAGCTCCCTCTAGCGTTTAAGAAACCCGGAAGACATTGCAGAGTGGTAATTCTCTCTACAAGTTCTCTGACACGACTGCAGTCATCGATGACTCGTCCCACTGTCTGGGACTTTATTTTGAATATCATTTGGCCAGGAGGGGATAAGCTTCGATTTTAAATGTTAATTTAAATATTTAATATTTAATACGACGATTAGCGTGCTCTTTATGAACTGCACTGTAACCTCAGCAACCAGGAACAAACGTGCACAACACAACAGCGGGACGGCTGACGTCACGCTACAGTAGCGTTTGTTATTGGTTGCCTGAATGAAGACACGCCTACCCTGAGGAATACAGCAGTAAGGAAGAGCATACGTTAGTGAATCCCGGTCGTTGTGCAGTTACAGTTGGAGCAGATCACAATCAGCTTCAAAATGGCAAATGCAGGTAAATATATTTTACAACTTCGACTAAACTGAGTTGTACCAACACCAGACGACTGGAATCTTGCAAAAATAGAAACAGAGCGGCATTATTGTGTTTTACGTAGCCTTAAATTAACACAGTAAGTTTTGTGTTGCGATGGTAGGTTAAGATGATGAGACCCAAGTTCGTTTATGGATGCGACGCCTTTTTTCCACTGTTTGATTTTCTGCTAAATCAGTTCAGGCTCATTCTGGCCTGGGCTTTTTTGTCATATTATATCCAAGCCCTTTCTCTAGTGACTCTAGTGAGGTTATTCTGCTGCCTATAAGTTTGTCGTGGATCTGCTAAGAAGAGATTCCCTGGGGTTTTGTTATTTGTGTCATGGCATCATCATGACTTGCATTTATTGCCAACGCCTTAAACCACAGGGCTGGAAATTTCTGCATAAAAATTTGCACTCGTGGTATTAATATACTTGTCAAAAAAAGGTCTTTAGTGTATTTGTCTGTAGTAGCTTGCTTGCTTGCTTTATGTTTTTATTAACTTACTAAACGCATTTATTTGTTTTTTCTTGCTTACCTACTGTTTCGCTATATCCCAGTTTTATGTTTGAACTAGCCCGGAATAAGACATGCTGTACAGTTATTGCATAGTCATTGTTGTATATCGCCCCACGAGCATCTCACAAAAAACCTGCCCTTCCAGTTCCTCTGGTTCAACCCATACACCTCATTATCTCACTGGCTTACTGATGTATGTATAGATCAGACTCTATAGCTTAACATTCTGCACAGACTTGTTAACACTTGTGCAATGAATGCCATTCTAGATAAGGAGATCTCCTACAGTGATCTTAAGTCCCTCATTGAGAAGGGTGAAGAACTTGTGATTGTGGATGTGCGTAGCAAAGCTGAAGTGGACAAAGGGCACATCTCGGGGTCCATCCATATTCCAGGTCAGTTACAGGGCCCACACACTGCTATTTACTTAAGACCGCTGTCTTTTTGTTATCCTATGTTTCGTTTGTAAACATTGTCGTCTTCATGCCACGCTCTAACTTATTACTTATTTCTTTCTTTTAGTGGAGAATGTAGGTAGTGACTTGTCTCTGGATCCAGATGCGTTCAAAGAGAAATTTGGCGTGCCCAAACCCCCATTAGATGCCCCAAATCTGGTCTTCCACTGCCTGTTGGGTCGACGTGGAGAAGCTGCCACAGAGAAGGCCAGAAGCCTCGGCTTCCAAAAGTATGATCATAAATGCATTAGGAACTGTTTTTAATTACAGTGAATGTCCAAAGGTTTGTAGACATTTGATCGTTCAGCCTGTCTTCTGATATCGAGGGTACTGGGTATATGTAGTGTTTGAACTCCCACCCTGCTACAGCTTTTTTGTGAACACCTGTGTCACCAGTGTCAGCAATGGATGCACTTCAGATCAGCTGAATTCACTCATTAAAAGGGCTGTCTGGATGCTTTTGGACATACTGTGTATTTAAACCTATAATAAAAAAGCACACGTTTTGAATTCAATTTGTATCTGTAGGTATTTGGTGTAAGATTAACGTAGTTTCTCTTTCTCTTTCTCCCTCTCAAGTGCCCGTAACTTTGCTGGAGGTTACAAGGAATGGTCAGAGAGAGAAAGCAAATGATGCTGCTGCTCCAACACATCAAGCACACTCCAGATGTTTCAGTTAGAATTATTTTGTAGTTCTGGGACAGAGTGCCTTTTGAGGACTGCTAGGCCTGTATGTGTTTAGCTGTCTGAGCTGTCTTTAAGTTGAAGTATCTCAGGGTTTATGCTAAATGGGTCCATTACAAATTGTGTACATTTATTGCCTCAATGCCAAGTTTTAAATGTATACAATTGTTTTTAGTGCGTTAAAAACATTAAGAATATGTAAAAATATATTTATACCATTTTTACTCAACAGTTTATGAACTATTCCTTTTGTGAACATGTGAAGCTTTGCTTGTTATTTTTCTTATCAAGTGCACAAAAAATCCATCACTTGGGTCAGCTGCTAGCTCCCCAGATAGCAAGAGGATAGCTGGCCACTGTTGGCTAGCTGATGGCAAAGCTGGCAGCCCACTGGTTTTTTGCTCAGCGTTTTCCAGGCGGCCCACCGGTGGCTAACCCCTTAAAATCCCAGGCTTATTACATACTAAGGCTTATTATTCAGTAACTACAGGGACTTCAATGCAAACTGATTGAGCTATTGTTAGATTATATAAGTGTGTACTAAAACTTTGGGCCTGCCGGTTGACCCTGGCCATTTAAGGGGTTAAACAGAGTGTTAAAATGCTACTTTAAATCACTGGTTTTGCATTCACAGTTCAATTTACTTGTTCTTCCTTCATTTGCTACTTTGGTTATGCTTTGTAAATTAGCAGCATAAATTTAATAGCAGCATCAAAAATCTGTATACAGCTGTAACCAATCTAACACAGTGTCAGCAGTGTTTTGAGAATTAAAAACTAATCTGCATGACAATAATCTGGTTGGGCCAAAAGCGGAGTAACAGTAGCCAACAGTCAGTGTGGACCTTATCAAGCTAGCAGACTGATATATACTTGCTATCTGAGTCACTTGAGATGAATCATGGTGCTTGAAGCTCCCTAAAGGATGGACATTTACACTGACCTCTGTTGTTCTTTCAGGTAAGGTGCTGTTATGTCGTGTTAATAATGTGTTAATGTTCTAATTTTCCTGTTTAAAATGAATTTGACCGCAAAGGTTTTTGATGTTTGGGCGCCAGTTCAGTTGCACATACAGGTGTGAATATTAGTCATGAAGCAGCTGTTTTCACTTGTTTCTTGTACTCGTGTCACTCGAAACTATTAAAATGCTACCATTCTACTTTGTGTCGCTTCATGTTTCTTGGTTTCGCCTTTCAATGCGCAGAGTGCCACTCTGGGTGGCGCCATTACTTCGTGCTGCGTCCAGACTGAAGACTGACCAGGCCAGGCGTAGAAAGGTTTACCGCCTAATCCAGCGCCAACTAGTAAGAACTTTCAGCCGTGCACAGTCACGCCTAGATGTATCAATAGTGTAGCCTCAAATTACAAAGCCACGATCTTTACGTGGATGTCTGTATTAATTCCACTGTTAGATGCATCACAAGGTGGGCTGCAGCAGGACTGATAAACCCACCTACGTTTATCCGGCTGAGCTCAAGCAGATGATCCGTGCGGCCTTTCCGGGGGAAATCTGTGATTATCCAGACCCATGTCATGAAAATGTAGGCTTCTTCATGTCTTCAGGCTGATTTAGAGGGGAACTCTACCATTTATTTTCCAATAATTCTACATAATGAAGTGGTGGAGACGTAAACAAAGTCAGAGTTGTTTCATTTGAAATGCCCTGTTCAAGAGAAACTTCCAGTCAGAACTGTTCACAGTGATGGTGATAGAAAACCCGACGTCTGAAGTTCAATGCCTCTGAAAGGTCCCTCACAGAAGATTATTACATGAAATGGTTTGATAAATGCTGCCTGATGTCTGACACATTGTTTCAAAATGTAGTTCAATCCATTTGTTAATCCATTCATGGCGGAGGGATACAGGGCGACAAAATAATCCCCAAAGAAAATCTGATTTTTTTCAGATTCATGTTTACCATAATCAGCATTACATATAAAACTCGGAAGATGTGTAGATTCACTTGGGGTTTTGGATAGTAAGTAAAATGTCTATATTTGTGTTGTAGACATGGTGACCCTGGTGCTATCACCACCACTATAATAAATATCCATTTTACACCAGACCACTCTAAATTACCTCTAAAGAGCTGACGTATTACAATTTTGAAAAATTAAAGCTAAATCTGTAGTTTTATTCACTGGTTGTCTTTCCTTTCAGGTTTTACTGTCACTATGGATGACCTGAACAGGCTGAGCTCGACTGATCTGGGCTGAAGTTAGTCTGTATCCAGTGTTAAAACACTAAAACAATCCATGTGTAAAAAGAAACATTTTGGTCAAGTCTTTTTTTATTATTATTTGTTAGTTTACACAATTTGTTCAATAAATTAGAGTTGAATAAAGAAAAAAATGGATACAGAGCTTTTATTTGGTAAGTATGCTGTGTTGAATTATGTAATCAAAAGTATTAATTAAGAAAATAATTGTAATGAAATGATTAGTTAAGTCATTAAATAGGCCGCAACCTAACTTACCCATAGGTATAGGCTGATAATTTACACAAATACTTTCTACTTCATCCACCATAGAGCATGTAAATTTATTTCTCCTGTTTGTCCATTGACTACAAGTCCCAGAATTCCGCAGTAAGTGAAAGCCATAGAAGCTAGTGAGTGATACAAATAATAACAGAAATCCTCCACTGAAATTAACAGTTGCATTAGATGAGTAAATAGTCTTATTCTGACTACGCTCAAACTGTAAGAAACTGCTGAATATTAACGGTATGTATGAATGTTTTCTGTAGTGCTCTCGTATTCTATGGTGTGAGGACAGCAGTGGAAGGAACATTCCTGCGATTAGAAAAGAAATGAAGAGGGAGAAGAGTTATCATGATTTGGACGCTCACCATCTACTTTATTAGAAATTTTGTGCTTCCACTGATGATCTGTACCTGCTTTATAATTAATCAAACAAAAGTACAGGAGCACAATTACAGACTACAGCCCAGCTGTTGTCATGCACCATTTGTCAGTCACCCTCTATGTCATTCATTATTGGGAAACCAGGGCAGACGGGCACAGTAGATTCATTTCAGAGTAAATTTTATTTTAACTGGATCCATACTGTGCCATACACTGGTCATCATATTGTTTTGTGAGATACTCATTAAAAGTTTATCCAAAAAAAGACATAAGCTCTCAGAAAAGAAAGCTGTACTGCGCAGCTGAATGATATATCTTTGCCACTCTGTCGCCCTCTGCAGACCAAGTACAGAACAGCTACCAGCTGTGCAACAATGGCACTCTGAGAGTGATGTATGCTAATGGAATGGGCATCAGCTACCACACAGAGCCTCACATTCTGGCTGGGTCAGCGTGCCGCAGAAACATCACCCTGCCTACCGATAATGGCCTCAACTCCATAGAGTTGGTACTACGCAAGGAACTGACCAAAGGCAAGGTCACAGCGTTCGACAAGAAATTAAGGGTGAGAGAAGCAGAACTTGTTTGGCTTTTGAATCAATAATTATCAATTGTATCAAGCATCGAGCTTGAGAATGAAGTTCTGATTTTAATGTACATTAAATAAACATGAATATAAATGATTATTTGACCTTTTGTATGAAATAAAAGCAAAAGGCTTCATGAGCAGTGAAATCATGCCACTAAATTCACTGTCTTTTTCAGACACATGGACGCAACCTGCTTTCCATTAACTTTGGCAGGAACACGCAGACAGAGAAGATCTATGATGACCACAGGAAGTTCACCTTAAGGATCATATATGATGTTTAATGATTAATGTACTTGAAGTGCGACATTCTGTGACTTCTTTTGTTCTGTTTGTTTGCTAGAACAAACAGATGCCCTGCAAGCTGTTGAGAATAACAATTAAGGAAGCTTGATTTGTAGTTGACAGCCTTCAGCTTGTTAGAGTAAATCAAATAAATTATGATGGAGGTGTGATCTGGAAATCATTATACATGCATTGTTATTGATGTGTGATAAAGTCTCCCACGGCAAACAAAGGAATCAATATTTCAGAACATATTCAGATGGCTTCCTCAGCCAGAGGGGCTCAGACGTCCTTGACTACAACTCCAAAGGCCAGCTGGTGCGAGCGTACAGCCGTGCGGCTGGAGGCTGGAGTGTGCAGTACCGTTACGACGGCCTGGGCCGGAGGGTCTCCACCAAGAATAGTCTGGGCCAGCATCTGCAGTTCTACTACGCTGACCTGAACAACCCAGTGCGGGTCACACATGTGTTCAACCACTCCAGCTCGGAGATCACCTCACTGTACTGTGACCTGCAAGGCCATCTGTTCGCCATGGAGGTGAGCAGTGGGGAGGAGTATTACATTGCCTCAGACAACACGGGCACTCCACTGGTTGTCTTCAGCAGCAACAGGCAGATGATCAAGCAGGTGCAGTACACGGCGTACGATGAGGTGTACCACGATTCCAACCCCGAGTTCTCTTTGAATGCACTAAGATCATGTTTTCCTTTTATTTTTGCCCAAATGTAAAAAGTTGGCTGGTGACGTTCGGCTTCCAGCTAAGTAACATCATCCCTGGTTTCCCTAAACACACACTACTTTGTGGATCCCCCATATGAGCTGTTTAAGATCCAGGAGTGTGAGAATGGCCAGGTGAGTTCCTGCATCAAAGCCATAGTGAAATTTGTTTCCTATCCGAAGAGGAGCAAAGTCACAAATAATGTTGCTGGCAAGCTCTGTTAATACATGTTTTGCTCTCTTTGCAGCTGATGACTGGAGTTCAGCAGGAGGCTGAGAGGTCCAACCAGGCCTCAATGTGACGGTGAGTGGCCGTTCACAGCATGGCGTTACTGTAGAGTTCTGAGCACTGGTGCTGGCCCTAAGCGTTCGCTCACTATGGGAAGTCCTATAAGCCACAAACTTCTTGTCTTTGAAGAAACCAGAATGAAAAAAGAAATCATTTAAAAAATTTGCATAAAATCAAGGTCAAAACATAGTTTTGTTTTATCACTGGAAGATTAGGATAATATCTACATTGTGTCAGATTACACTGAAGTTCAGGGTGGGCTTAGATGCGATAGTTTTGTATGTCTCAGTTGCAGCAGAATTGTGAGACTCTCACCAGGGCACTTCTGTACAGAAACATCTAGAAAAGGAAACAATAACTCATGCTATCATGTTTAAAGTATCAGAAACTATTTATATTTATTTTATGCTTGTTTTTTAATTAATTTATTATTATTAGTACTCTATGACAATCATGAAGGAGTCACCAATTTTAGCTACGCAAACGAACACTGGTGGAGTATTTTCTTTTGTACAATATGTAAGAAATGTTCATTAACTTTTTATATTAATTTTGATTTGCTTAAGCAAATTTTAGTCATACACTGTCATAAAAACTGTGCAGGTACATTTTTCATTCATCAAGGTACAAACAATGTAAATGTTCCCTCAAAGGTACAGCAGTGGTTTTAAGGTCTCTTAAATAAGTTTATAGCAGGTGAAAAGTATGTATTTGTACCTTTAACCTAATGTTTAAAACAGAACAATAATATAAAAAGCCTGGAGACGCGACGGGGTGTGTGGAGTCAATACAACTTAGAAAATATAACTTCAATGGATTATGGTACAATTATGTTCCCTGACTGAGTACCACCTTGAGGGTACCACCCCAGTGACAGTTTCATATCTTTTGTTTTTTTGAGAATGTAGCCAAAATAATTTATGTTAAGTGTTTCAAAATAGTTTATACTCATTGGATGTCATTATGTACCAAATCAGTATTGAGGGATTCTTACACTTAAGCAAGACTCTTCTGAGACCTTATCAATAAAAAAGTTTACTTTAACTGAATCTGTTGCATTTATGAAATGTGGTGAATGTCACTGAGAGTACATCACCGGCTGAGTTTCGTGACTATAGTATGTGTATATATGATCTACAGTGTTATAACAAAGTGCCCACCCTATCTGACAGTGTTCAACTGAGTGTAGCCTAAAAAGGAGTGAAGTAAGTATTTAAAATATGATCAGAAATCACAGTAATTCACAATAATGTGGAATAAGGTAATAAGAATTAACTAATATGAATGAGGTCACATTATGGTGTAGAGGAGATCGCATGATACAGTGTTGCAGACTTCTTGTATTCATAGCCAATGTCTGAGCACACAAACAATATACAATCTGTAGCATGTTTTTGATTAGATAACCTGACATTTTCCTTTGGTCTTGGGAGTTGCCCCCTTTTCCTACCACCGTTTGGGACTTTTATTTTGAATATCATCTGGCCAGAAGGGGATAAGGTTCGATTTTAAATATTTAAATAATGAATATTTAATACGGCGATTAGCGTGAAATACTGAGAACAAGCTCGAACCTTATTATCAACTGCACTGTAACCTCAGCAACCAGGAACAAACGCGCACAACACAGGAGCGCGAGGGCTGACATCATGTTACAGTAGCGTTTGCTATTGGACACGCCCACTCAGAGGAATACGGCAGTGAGGAAGAAGATACGTTAGTGCCGGGGTGTCAAACTACTAACAGGGCCATATTAAAAAAATCTCAGCAAATCCGTGGGTCACCTGTGTTTTTATTTCATTTTTACTGAACATTTTGTCATGACCCAAACAGGCTACTGTTTATTCAAAATATGCCAAAACTGCAACAGCAAAATAGGCACTGAATACTTATTCAAAAATAATTCTAAATTAAAAAAAAAATAATAATAATAATTTTAGTTAGGCCCTGCAATGGACTGGTGACCCCTCCAGGGTGTATCCTGCCTTCCACCCAATGACCGCTGGGACAGGCTCCAGCACCCCCCCGCGACCCAGAAGGATAAGCGGTTTCAGAAGGTATGTGTGTGTGTGTGTGTGTGTGTGTGTGTGTGTGTGTGTGTGTGTGTTTTAGATATATTTTTTTAACTGCCTATTTGGCCCATATTGGGGGAAGGGGGTCAGAACGTACACTATGTTGCAGTGCATGCTGGGGACTGTAGTGCATCTCAGGGTGAAATGGGCTAATAAGAACAGAAAATTAAAATAATTTCACAGGCCAAAAATCAATGTTTATATTCTTGCTTTTTAACAGACAACAAAGCTATATCAGTTCAGATTATGTTATGTTCTGCTAATATAATAATGTCACTAAAGGGCCAGGCTCATATAAAATAACTAAACCCAGTTTGACAATACAATGTGTTAACGAAAAAAGGTTAAGATCTGATACAGCATTTTTGGCGCAAAGCTCTAACTGAAAAACGTTTTGATAGTAAGTGGGAATATGGGAGTTTTTGCATGAAGAGAAAATTCACAAATTTCCACATTCAGAAAATCTCACAGAGACTGGGAAGTTAGAATTAATAAATCTTCAAACTAATTTGGATGACAAAGGCTGAAAGTGCATTTGTAAGGTCCAGAGGAAGATGGCTGGGGGAGGAAGAACAAAACACAGCTTATTTTTTCATTTAGAAATGTCTCAAGCCAAAAATAGTACAATTCAGAGATGAAATATGGATGATCAAAGGTAAATTGCTAGCTATTATTCTAATTTTTATAGCAAATTATATGAATCTAATTGTAATGAGGAGTCCATATGTCAGTTTATACAGTCTTTCCAAAATGAATGTACTTAAAAAAGAAGATGTTTCCCCCTACAATCGATTGCTTAACGCCCAACAGGTCCCCTGGATGGCCTAACTTCAGAATTCTATTGGACATTTGCCGAACATCTTGCTAAATTTCTTCGAGTATTTTCAGAATGCACCCAAAAGTTAATGCTACACCTACACTGACTTTGACTGAAGGTTTATTGGCACTAAATTCTAAGCCCAAAAAAGACCTGTTTTATTACCAGTTGGCACTCACTATGCCTTTTGAATAACAATTATAAAGTGTTTACTCTGATTTTCTTAAAAATGATTAAAGCTGTCTTGAATAATATCATTGATGAGACTCAGTCCAGCTCTATGAGACACAGGTGTGTATCTAACAATATCAGGCTGGTTTTGGACCTCATTGATTATTCTGATCTCTGTCAAGATAAAAGCTTTATTCTCTTTTTAGACTTTTATAAAGCACTCAATATGGTGGTGCGTAATTTTATTTTCCATGCTTTGGAGAGATTTGCATTTGGAACTTACTTCTGTAATGCCATTAAGACGATATACAAAAATGGCAACTGCTCTATTAAACTGCACTCAGGCACTGCTCCAACTGGCCTCTCCTTATCTCTTCTCATTGTGTACCCAGCTCTTTAATGATTTTAACAAATTGAGCCCCTTGAAAGGTATTTCAGTTGTGGTCAAAGAGGTACTTATTAGCCAGCTAGCAGCAAAAATACATCATCATTTTTGAAGGACGCTTCACAAGTTCCTGTAGCTATTGACCTAATTCAAACATTTTCTGATGCACCTTGGCTCACCTTAAATATTAAGAAATGTGAACTGCTTGCATTAAAAGAGTGTGACTCACAACCTATTGGTAATGTATTGGTGAAAGATTCAGTCATGTACCTTGGAGTTCTTATTATGAAAAATGCTGGTAAGTGCATGAGAAAACTAATGCAGTGGCTGCAGAGAGGCTGCATTTATCTCTAAGATTAGAATTCTTTGACCAAAGCTAAGGGTATATCTCCACTTACTTAGCTCAGTCCCTTGATGCGAATAAGCAGATTTCTAAATAAGTGGACAATCTGCTTCTAGTCAGCTTCCTATCATGTTTCATTCTCTGCATTTAATAAAAAAAAACAACAACAGTAGGCGAAATTTCTTTTCATAGGATATGCAGGGGAAAGCTCATTTATATTCAGTAAGCTCCGCATAAAACTCCATTTGATTGGCTCCACATACAACGCCGTCTGATTGGCCGAGCGTCACCCTGCCAGGCAGATTAGGTAGCCAAATGCATCCTATATGTGAAATTTGTTTATTTGATTGTCTCTTTCAGTAATTAAATGTGTGTCTGTATTTTAAAGCTGCCTAATAGATACTGTTAATAGAGCTAATATTTCTAAGAATGGGAAAAATGTGATTTACCTACAAGATTTATCAGGAATAGTAGCTGATAAAGAGGTTAAAGGACATATTGAGGTGTCTCTTTAAAGGAGGATAGCATTTATCATCTGCTTCCTAAGCTAACAGGACATTGTTTACAACAGGGATAGTACATCTGATTCAACTAATGAACTAATTAACAAGCTTCTCATATGCTGGGCCAGGTGTGTTAAAGGGGAATTCCACTATTTTTTCAAAATTTCTGACTAATTTAGAATAATCCTTAAACAGAGTCAATCAGAGAGGTTTGAAGTGAAATGGTTTATTTTAGAGAAACTTAACTGATTCAGATTTCTTTACAGTGGTGGTGTTAGGAACCAGGGGTTGCTATGTCTACAACACAAACATAGCTGTTTTATTTACTATCCAAAACCACCAGGGAGTCTATGCAGGTACCCTCCAAGGCTGGACGAACTTCTATAGACTGCTTGTCTTATCAGAAGTGCCGGCAGCAGTGACACAGATAATCTTGCAGAGAGGTAATTTAAAAAACAGTGTGGCCATAAATGTGGGAAATTCTCCGTTTGAAAAGAGGGAGAAAACGGGCCAGCTCCCTAACTTTATTGGCTTGGGAGCGCAACATACTGAGACATGAAGCATAAAAGCAGGAGCTGTACACTATCATACAAAAGAAGCAAAAGTGTATTGCAGAATAAGGCCTAAGCTGAAACATGTCTTTTCATACAAGCTGCATGAAGCACTGTGAGACAACATCCAACACATTCACAATAACTGCTTTCATAATTGATTTTCAAATAATAAAGTACAGCATACAGGTGATTGTTAGATTTTATTTTGTTTTTTAGCCTCAAGTATCTGTTTTTAAGAGGATACACCAACAGACACCTTGATGATCTTTGTATATTACAGGTAAAAACTAAAATTCATTACAATTCCAAAAATGAAAAAATGTATTCCTCGCCCAAACATCTCTTTATTCAAACCTTTGACTACTGAACGTAGAATTCTCACTACACTATTATTAGCTTATCTGCAGTTTAAGGTTTAACATGGTTTCAAACCTGAATGACTCATGTGGGTTCATAACCTCCATTGCTATGTATTGCATTACTGACAGTTTAAACTAAAGAGGTAATGTTAAAAACTAAAAAGAAATTCAGTTGTTAGTGTTTATTAGTGATATTAAACCCACTGTGAAAAATGAATGTGCACTGCCTTTAACTAGGCACTAACAAAACACCAAAAGCAATATTGCTTAGTAGGCTATATTATTCTTTATTTGGTTTGTCTGCAGACTTTGGTGCATATTAAACAGGTTTTTAGAGTCATTTTCACAGTATATTAGTTGGATGATTGTAAAATAATGCTGTGGTGCTTGTGACTGCGTTCAGCTTCGTTTGCTCGGCCAATCAGGCGGCGTTGTGTGCGAAGCCAATCAGGCGGCGTTCTGTGCGGAGGTTAATGAATATTGATGAGCATTCTCCCGCGATTCATATGAAAAGACATTTCGCTGCCGGTGGTGAGGAGTTAGAGTTGGAGCAGACCACTAACAGCTTCAAGATGGCCAGTGCAGGTAAATATATTTTACAACTTCAGCCAAACTTACTAACACAAGACGACTGCAATCTTCCATAAATAGAAACACAGAGCAGAATTGTATGTGTTTTACATAGCCTTAAATGAACACGATAAGTTTGTGTTGTTATGGTAACGTGATGAGACCCAAGTTCGTTTATGGATGCTACGATATTTCACAATTTTTTTTTTTATTTTTTTTTTTTGGCTAAATCAGTTCAGGCTCATTCTGGCCTGGGCTTTTTTGTCATATTATATCCAAGCCCTTTCTCTAGTGACTCTAGTGAGGTTATTCTGCTGCCTATGAGTTTGTCATGGATCTGTTAAGAAGTGATCTCTGGGGTTTTGTTATTTGTGTCATGTCATCATCATGACTTGCATTTATTGCCAACGCCTTAAACCACAGGGCTGGAAATTTCTGCTGCAAAATTTTCTCTCGTGGTATTAATATACTTGTCAAAAAAGGTCTTCAGTCTATTTATTAGTAGTAGATTTATTTATTTGTTTGCTTATTTATTTATTGATTTATTTATTTATTTGCTTCGTATTTGTGTGTTTATATATTATTTAAAGGTATTCATTTATTTTTTTGTTTGTCTTCTTTTGCTTACCTACTGTTTCGCTATATCCCAGTTTTATGTTTGAACTAATCTGGAATAAGACATGCTGTACAGTTATTGCATAGTCATTGTTGTATATCGCCCCACAAGCATCTCACAAAAAACCTGCCCTTCCAGTTCCTCTGGTTCCGCACATACATCTCATTATCTCACATGCTTACCGGTGTATGTGTACCTCAGATCCTATAACGGAACATTCTGCACATGCTTGTTAACACTTGTGCAATGCCGTTCTAGATAAGGAGATCTCCTACAGTGATCTCAAGTCCCTCACTGAGAAGGGTGAAGGGCTTGTGATTGTGGATGTGCGCACCAAAGCTGAAGTGGACAAAGGGCACATCCCGGGGTCCATCCATATTCCAGGTCAGTTACAGGGCCAACACACAGCTATTTACTTAAGACCGGTCTTTTTGTTATCCTATGTTTCGTTTGTAAACATTGTCGTCTTCATGCCACGCTCTAACTTATTACTTATTTCTTTCTTTTAGTGGAGAATGTAGGTAGTGACTTGTCTCTGGATCCAGATGCGTTCAAAGAGAAATTTGGCGTGCCCAAACCCCCATTAGATGCCCCAAATCTGGTCTTCCACTGCCTGTCGGGTCGGCGTGGAGCGGCTGCCACAGAAAAGGCTAGAAGCCTCGGCTTCCAAAAGTATGATCATAAATGCATTAGGAACTGTTTTTAATTACACTGTATGTCCAAAAGTTTGTAGACATTTGATCGTTCAGCCTGTCTTCTGATATCGAGGGTACTGGGTATATGTAGTGTTAGCCCTCCCACCCTGCTACAGTAATAGCCTTTTCACTTCTGTGAAGGTTTTACACTAGACATTGCTTTAAGGATGTGATTGCATTCAGCCACAAGAGCATTAGGTCAATTACTGATGTTTGATGGCATCCCAAAGGGATTGACTGGTGCTCCATAACTCCAAAGAACACAGTTCCACTGCTCCACAGCCCAATGCTTGGCATTGGGTATAGTGACCTTAGACTCAAGTGCAGCTGCTCCAGAGCATCCCAATCTGTCAGCAGTGCTTTTCTATGAAGATTATACAAGCTATGTGTGTGCAGTGGATGCACTTCAAATTAGCTGAATTCACTCATTAAAAGGGCTGTCTGGATGCTTTTGGACATACTGTGTATTTAGACCTATAATAATAGAATGCATGTTTTGAATTCATTTCCTGTCTGTAGATCTTTGGTGTGAGATTAACATAGTCTTCCTCTCTCTTTCTCACCCTCAAGTGCCCGTAACCTGGCTGGAGGTTACATGGAATGGTCAGAGAAGGAAAGAAAATGACGCTGCTGCTCCAACACATCAAGCACACTCCAGATGTTTCAGTTAGAATTATTTTTGTAGCGCTGTATGTGTTTAGCTGTCTGAGCTGTCTTTAAATTGAAATACCTCAGGGTTTATGCTAAATGGGTCCATTACAAAATGTGTACCTTTATTACCTCAATGCCAAGTTTTACATTTATACAATGGGTTTAAAATACATTAAAAACATTAAGAATATGTAAGAAAGTATTTATACCATTTTACCATTTTACTATCTCAACAGTTTATAGACTATACCTTTTGTGAAGATGTGAAACTTTGCTGTTATGTATATATCAAAAGATCCATCACTTGGGTCAGCTGCTAGCTTCCCAGATAGCAAGAGGATAGCTGGCCACTGTTGGCTAGCTGATGGCAAAGCTGGCGGCCCTCTGGCTTTTTGCTCAGCATTTTCCGAGCGGCCCACCCGTGGCTAACCCCTTAAAATCCCAGGCTTATTACATACTGAGGCTTATTATTCAGTAACTACAGGGACTTCAATGCAAACTGGCTGAGCTTTTCTTAGGTTATAGAAGTGTATAATCAAACTTACAGGAGTTAAGCAGATTGTTAGACAGAATTCCTCTTTTGATCACTCTTTTTGTACTTACAGTCCAATTTACTTGTTCTTCCTTCATTTCCTACTTTCGTCATGCTTTGAAAATTAGTTTACTAAATAATTTTATTAGCAGTATCAAAAATCTGTATACAGCTGTGACCAATTAGCACAGTGTCAGCAACAAGATTTTCAACAAAATCATTTTATATTAGGCCTAGTGAATCATTTTTCCCAGTAGTCCGTGATAGTTTATTTTCTCAAATAAAAGACTATTTGCATTTAAAAGCTGTTTTTAGATTAAAAACTATTATGCATGACAATAATCTGGGTGGGCCAAAAACGGACTAGCAGTAGCCATTAGTCAGTGTTGACCTTTTGAAGCTAGCAGAATGATATATATTTGCTATCTGGGATGAGATGAATCTTGAAGCTCCCTAAAGGATGGACATTTACACTGACCTCTGTTGTTCTTTCAGGTAAGGTGCTGTTATGTCGTGTTAATAATGTCGCTAAATTTAATGTTCTAATTTTTCTGTTTAAAATGAATTTGACCGCAAAGGTTTTTGATGTTTGGGCGCCAGTTCAGTTGCACATACAGGTGTGAATATTAGTCATGAAGCAGCTGTTTCCACTTGTTTCTTGTACTCGTGTCACTCGAAACTATTAAAATGCTACCATTCTACTTTGTGTCGCTTCATGTTTCTTGGTTTCGCCTTTCAATGCGCAGAGTGCCACTCTGGGTGGCGCCATTACTTCGTGCTGCGTCCAGACTGAAGACTGACCAGGCCAGGCGTAGAAAGGTTTACCGCCTAATCCAGCGCCAACTAGTAAGAACTTTCAGCCGTGCACAGTCACGCCTAGATGTATCAATAGTGTAGCCTCAAATTACAAAGCCACGATCTTTACGTGGATGTCTGTATTAATTCCACTGTTAGATGCATCACAAGGTGGGCTGCAGCAGGACTGATAAACCCACCTACGTTTATCCGGCTGAGCTCAAGCAGATGATCCGTGCGGCCTTTCCGGGGGAAATCTGTGATTATCCAGACCCATGTCATGAAAATGTAGGCTTCTTCATGTCTTCAGGCTGATTTAGAGGGGAACTCTACCATTTATTTTCCAATAATTCTACATAATGAAGTGGTGGAGATGTGAATAGACTTCTTTCATGTAAAATGCCCTGTTCAAGAGAAACTTCCAGAGTCAGAACTGTTTACAGTGGTGGCGATAGAAAACCAGACGCCGGAAGAGTTAAATGCATCTAAAAGGTCCCTCACAGAAAGTTATTACATGATGTGGTTTGATATTATGTTGCCTGATGTCTGACACATTGTTTATGATAAAGTTTTGGTTTAAAATGTATTTTAATTCATTTGTTTTAATTCGTTCTTGGCGGAGGAATACATGCAGCGCGTCAAAATAGTCCCCAAAAAGCTTTTAAAGATTTATGTCTATTTTACCATCATCAAGATTACATATAAAACTCGGAAGACACATGTAGATTCACTTGGGGTTTTGTATAGTAAGTAAAATGTCTATATTTGTGTTGTAGACATGGTGACCTGGTACTATCACCACCACTAAAGAAATCTGAGCCTGTAAGTTTTTCTGCAATAAACATTTCACATTAGACCACTCTGAATGACTGTTTATATCTAAAGAGTTGAATTATTCAAATTTTGAAAAATTAAGGCTAAGTCTGTTTTATACACTGGTTGTCTTTCCTTTTAGGTGTTTACTGTCACCATGGATGACCTGAACAGGCTGAGCTCGACTGATCTGGGCTGAAATTAGTCTGTATCCAGTGTTTAAAAAAATGTGAAACGATCTATGTGTAAAAAGAAACATTTTCGTCTTTTTTGTATGTCTGTTTACACCATTTGTTCAATAAAGTAAAGGTAAATAAAGAAATAATTGGTTACAGAGTTTTTATTTGGTAAGTATATTGTGTGGAATTATGTAATCAAAATTATTAATGAAGTCATTAATTGTAATTAAATTAATAATAATTGTCATTAAATAGGCCGCAACCTTACTTGTAAGTATAGGCAGATAATTTAGACAAATACTTTCTGCTTTGTCCAGCATAGAACATGTACGTTTATTTCTCCTGTTTGTCCGTTGACTACAAGTCCCAGAATTCCGCAGTAAGTGAAAGCCATAGAAGCTAGCGAGTGATACAAATAATAACCGTAATCCTCGACTGAAATTAGGAGTTGCATTAAATGAGTAAATACTCATCTAAACCACATTTATAACAATGTCTATAGGCTAATAATTAAATTTAAACTCTAGGCTATGTTTGATTGAACAGTAGGTCCACCGACCTGACATCTGAAGCTACTGGTTACACTGGGCACCAAGGAGACGAGTGTACACAAATGAGGCAGCAACCAGTAACTCTTATTCTGACTACGCACAAACTGTAAGAAACTGCTGAATATTAACGGTATGTATGAATATTTTCTGGAGTGCTCTCGTATTCTATGGTGTGAGGACAGCATTGGCAGGAACATTCCTGCGATTAGAAAAGAAATGAAGAGGGAGAAGAGTTATCATGATTTGGACGCTCACCATCTACTTTATTAGAAGCCCAAATTTTGTGCTTCCACTGATGATCTGTACCTGCTTTATAATTAATCAAACAAAAGTATAGCAGCACAATTACAGACTACAGCCCAGCTGTTGTCATGCACAATTTGTCAGCCACCCTCTACTTCAATTATTACTGGTCATTTTCTTACCACAGGACCACTGTTGATCAGACATTATTTGGGCAGGGGACATTTTCACATGTAGTGATTTATAAGTGGGAGTTTTACTATTATGAGTGTGCCTAGCACAGCAGTGTAGCTGTTTTTTTTAATTTTTTTATTTTTTTTGTTTTCCACATCCATTATTGTCACTGCTAGATTGAAAGTGCTTCACCAGTCGAAATACATAGCCAAATGCAGTCCTGTGGTCAGAAACTGTCTATTGCTAATAAGCTAAAACACAGTTTCCCAAATCTATTCCTTGAGTGCCCCCTGCCCTGCACATTTTAATGTGGCTCACAGCACATCCACTTTAAATCAGGAAGGGTTTCTTAATGAGCTGATTAGTTGAATCAGACATATTGGAGCAGGTAAAACACAAAATATGCAGGGTGGGCATACTGCAGGGCCAGGGTTGGGAGCCACTGTTCTAGTAAAGTGGGCCTACACAATAGGTGTTTCTAATAAAATGGCCTGTGAGTGTAAAGTTTATTATGACTAGCTGCTTTTTGTTGGAGGTTTGAAAAATGCCGCCTGAGGGAAAATCTGACATGGAGCGGGTGGGCCTCTTCAAGGAGATGGGCTACGTCTCCATAGGTGACAAATACACACCCTTCATTTATCGTAAGTATAAAGAACATTGAAAACCTCACTCTGAAAATGACAGATAGCATCAGTGCTTGAAATTTTGATGTTGGTGTGAGCAATGTAAAATTGGAATCTAAGATGTTTTGTCTTATTTATTTATTTATTTATTTGAAGGTCCATTTAACGAATCTGCACAGAAGAATAAGCAGATGTTGTGTGGGGGACCAAAGAAGAAATCTGCCCTCCAGGCTGGCTACTTTGACACTCAGTTCAAGAGGATCTTTGAGAAAGAAGCGTTGACAGACCTTGTCAAAATCCAAAGACAGTATAAGATTCAGCAGGCGAAGAAGAACCTAGGGAAGGCCTTTCTGCCAAGCAGTGGGGAGAAGAAACCGTAAGTTCAGCATCTTTTATTCCACTGTTGTCCTTGTCCAGGCTTACTTTTATTGTATATTTGCATGACTACATGGTGTGGAACTCCTTCAGTGCAAAATGGATGCTATGACAATGAAGGCTTTTTGACTCCAGTAGTTCTGGAGATGCCACCCAGCAAACAAGACCCATATTCTGTGAAAATATAATAGAGAAACCATTTTTCTAGTGGAAAATAAGCATCTGCACATCCTCAGTAATTGTACTGAATACAGTAGATTCATTTCAGAGATAGTTTTGTTAACTTATATCCATGGAGTGCCATACACTGGCCTTCATTTTGTTTTGTGACATATTCATTAAAGTTTATCCTAAAAATAGACTTTAGCTCTGCATATTGGAAGACAAGGCTATTAATGTTAAAGGCCAATATGGTGCAGTGGTCCTTTTCAGTGAGAACACATGAAAAGAACCACCAGCACTCAGAGTTTCCATTTCATCATATTCCTCTCGCCTCTGTGGAGCCTGCCCCAGAGAACGGACACCAGCCAAGATATCATTATGATCTTAATGAGTCCAAGACTAGGAAAACTCCACACTGGCCTTGTTCTGAGACTGTGACACACTGTGTCATTTTTCATGTAATTAAGATGGTGGAAAGTACAGCCTACAGGAGAACAAGACAAAGGTATTAAACTTCTGTTTAACATGTAGGTCAAAATAAATGTCATATGTTTTATTATCCAAGACACTGTGAAGCAAATTGAATTATTCTTCCACTGAAAGCCCCAAGTGTTGTTCCTTTTCTCATAAGTCAGCTATGTTTTGTTTCAGCTCAGGAATTGGCAGCTACTATGGAACGCTGGGAGGTCCTATCCAGGCTTTGAGTCCCTTGCAGATTCCCAAAAAAACGTACAAATCACCAGGCAAGAACATGTACACCAGCCCACCCAAGAAAGGAAGTGGATATGGGTCAGTAGCTTTTCGTAATACCTGCTTTTATGATGAGATTGAAAATTAAGATAAAGCTTCTTCTCGACTACTAGCACTTTTAGAGCAAGTTACTGTTCTCTCTTTGATATACATGATATAGACACAAGTCTGTCATTTTGCTTTAACAATCTTATGTCTGCATGGGCGTGACAAAGAGTAAATGGGCGGAAGTTGTGGCATCTTGTTGCTGCTCAGGCAGTTTCCTCTTGTGGGACTTCCTGGACTATTGGATTTCCACTTCCACGCTCTAATTCTTAAAAAAAATGCTGTCTATTTGGACATTAACTATATGCTCAAAAGTTTGTCCACACATGCTTATCCAGCGCATCTTCCAGAATCCAGGGTATTAAAGTGGAATTGCACCACTTAAAATTAGTGCATTTATCATTAAAACAAAGTCAGACATTGTAGAGAAATGTATGGAGTCAGAAGTGTTCACAGTGATAGGAACCAGACATCTGAGGTGTTTAATGCCTCTAAAAGAAAGCTGTTACATGAAATGGTTACCAATCATGTTGCCTAATTCCTGAGACATTGCTTTACAATAGTTTTACAAAAGGCCTAAAATGTAGCTTTTAAAATAAATTAATGATGGAGCCCATACAAAGTGATTTAAGGAAAAAATCCCAGAAAAGTTACCAAAATTTGACTACTATCAACATACTTATATACAAATTTAAAGCTCAGAAGACACATGTAGGTTCACTGGCCTTTTTGCATAGTAAATTAAATGGCGATAGTTGCACTGTAGACATTGAGAACCCTGGTTCCTATCACTGCTACGGTAAACTGAACTGTAGGTTTCTCTACATTGCTCCATTTCACATCAAACCACTCAGAATTACTTTGTTTACGTGTCAGTGACTGAATTATGTAATAATTTTGTAAAATCCGTTGAATACTACTTTAATTAGCAGTTTAATAGGCAATAACGGCCTCTGCTCTTCTGGGAAGACTTTCCACTAGATGTTGGAAGATTGCTGTGAGGATTTAATTGTATTCAGCACTAGGGTGTCACTCTGTTTGCTGGCATTCAGCACTACAAAGAATGCAGTTATACTGCTCCCTTCTTTCCTGACGCTGGACACTGGGCGTGGTGACGCTCATGTGAGGCTTCTTCAGAGCAACATTATCTATTGGCAATGCATTTCTATGGAGGTTATAGCTGTGTGTGCACAGCTAAACACAATTGTCAGTAAAGTAGCTGAATTCACTAATTAGAAGGTGTTTCTGGGTACTTTTGGACACAGTATAATTGTGTAGCTGGATCTGAGATATTTTCCTGTTTGTTCAACAGCTACCCAGGTGTCACCCTGTCCAAACTGGACTTGTATTCCTCCGACCCATATGACCGAGCAAAAGAGATGCTAAAGGTATACATTCACAAGAATTTACTGTAAATGTTTGGCTTTGTTGTAATATGACAGCTTCTGGCCCGTCCTCTCTTCTGGCATTTGACTGAACCTATGTTTTGTGTTTTTGGTGAGAACAAGTCACCAAATAGCTTGTGCATGCAGATGATTCATTTTGAATGGCTAACAAGAGGTTGTTTTCCAGCGTGAGATAATTGCTCACAAATCTATGCTGAAAGGGGGACCATTTCATTTGAACCTCCATCCCAAAGAATGCTTTGACAGCAACCCTTACAGGCTTGAAAAACCTCTGCCACCTTCAAAGAACACTGAAGACAAAAAGACACACTTTGCTGTGCCTTTCAAACCAAGTTCTCCCAGCAAAAGGGTATGCACTGTGTGTACACTGTAGTTTTTTATGTTTTGAAGAGTTGAAGCATGTAATGAGTCTAACATTACAAACAGATCGATACATTTTCTTTTAGATTGGAGGGATGAAAGCGGGGACGTTTGATGTCTATCCGTCCCACTCTGCTGACCCCTACGTCACTCGAAAGCCTAAGTCAGTGACCATGAATAAGGAGGGAAAAATCTTCCACCCATCACCTGGCCCAAAGAGCACTCCAGTCAAGAGCGTAATCGCCCTCAATGTGAACAAGTAAGTGTCTTGCAAATCAAACATTTGGCCTACTTAATTTGAATTAATGGGCATAAAAATATCTGACTTCACAACGAGGCAATTCAATTACGATTCTTTAGGACATTATTTAACAACTCATACTGGAAACTTGTGCTGGTTTTACATGTTGAAACTTTCACATTGAAACTTCAGTTGCTTGAAACCTACACTGAAACCAAATTGTGCTTAAGTTGCAGCAATGTAAAGCATTCTGCAACTCACTTGAAACTCAGCAGTTGCAACTGCCTCATCTTTGTGAAACAAGATGGTTTATAATTGAAAAGGAGACCCACCCTGACTGGTTTGTAGTTTTCCATGTTGCCAGTTTCTGAGCCATCACAACAAACGTGAGTTTCTTAAAGCTAACATTTCTGTAATCAGCTGCGTTAACTAGCCAGCTAATGGCAACAGCTGTTTAAACAGCTGCTTTTGCCACCGTTTGTTGTTCTTTAGCCTGCTGTTATCGTGATTTATGCAACTAGATTAATTTTCTCCTCTGTTGATGTCCCCTAATTTTACACAGAGCTCAGATTCATTTGGGGTACAAAGGATAAAAATTATTACAGAAAAGGAGACAAGGATGCAGTGAACTTCTTGTGCTTCTAGGACAGGATGAGTGAGACATCAAGTACACTATAGCTGTAATTGCTACTTAAACATGGTTGCTTAAATGAAGGCTTAACATACACAAAATAGATAAAACTAAAAATATATAGTAAAGAACCCTAGATAGGCAGATAAATGGCAGATACATAAAAACAGCAATGAAGAAATGAAAAAATAAACAAAGATGAAAAAAATGTTACAAATATAACATCTTGCAGGTGATTTTGTAGCAAGAACGATATGGTGTATTAAAAAATATGAGCTGCTAATTTAGCTAGGTGAATGTGTTGCATGCAACAGTTGCTTTGTGTAACTGTAACAGATATTGTTGCAGGCAACTCACAACATGCAACTAGTTGCATGACATTTGACAGTGTAAAGCCAACTTTGAATTTCACCAAAATTGAAATTAATTCAGTGATTTAAAAAAGCCCAGACAAAAAAATGAGCACATACTTTATTGAATATTCTTCAATCATAATCAATTCTAACGTTTGAAAAAAAACAATGCAGTTGAATTGCCACCTTCAGATCTGTGCAATCACAATGCATCAATGCATTTCTACACCCCTAATCTGAACCTCTACTGAGGAGCATAAGGTGCATATTCTCATTCAGCAATCAGTCCACAGACTTTTATCATATTAACAACAGTGCTGGTTTTCCTCTATTGTAACTTTACTTTTTTGCTGTTAATTTTATCCCATTTATACACACTGCTGAATGAATTGTGTCTCTAAATTTTCACTTTTTTTATTTGCAGGTTTGTGAACTTCACAAACTACAATCAAGTCTCCTCTGTCATGGCATATTAAGAGCTGTGATGTCTGGCAGGTGACCGTATTAAGATTAAAGACATATATACACTTCTTAATTCTCATTTTCGATCTATTCAGTCCCTTCAGAGCGGTTAGTGAGTTGTATGAAATTTAATGGTTTATTTTCAGTTAGAAATGTATTCTGGAACAAATTAATACAACAGTATTTTCTGGCATGTTCTGAATTTACTGCATGTGTAAGATTTCACACACAAATAACGTCATAGAAACGAATACCAGCATGTGCAGAAAGTTGCTAATGTTTTCGTTAAAAGAAAAATATGTGTTTCAAATTTTCAGCATATTTCAAACCCAAAAGCACCAGTTAGTATTGAAATTCAGAATTCAGTAGGCAAGGTCTCTTGCTGCTGCTCCATTAGAGCCTACTTATTGCCCTGAAATGTGAACAAGCACAAAATATACACCAGACATGCCATGCTTACAGCAGAGTTGAGCAAGCAATAAGCATTCCTACAAGTTTCAATGAGTTGCAGCAACAGTTGGCTATGAAAACCTGAGCAATGGTGTCCTTTAAGCGTTGGGGTACACAGTGACCAGGTCGTGGCCTTCAGGAGGTCTCATTCGGATCCGAGCGTGAGTCTCACAGTACATCTGTCCCTCCACAAAGAAGTAGCCCTTCTGCTTCAGATTCATGCCGCAGTCCGAGCACACAAAGCAGGCAGGGTGGCGGAACTTGTCCCGCGCCTTGACCACAGTACCCCTGTCAGTCAGACACAACAGTGAGTTTGATCTTAAACATGGAACACTTACCAGATTTAATCATAACCCAATGATAATTGTATTGTACTTATTTGAATAATTCCAAGTAACTACATACAGTTAGTACTAGTAAATAACCTAGTGCTACAGTCTGACTTTGAAAGAGAGTTTATTATTAGGGCACGGATGGGAGAAGTGTCAGTAAGAATAGGGACTAAAGTGACACCTGCATTTAGATTTATGGGAAGGACTTCAGTAAACCTGAATAAACCCCTCATTACAATGAATAATGTACATTAGAGAGTCCAGTGGTGCAAAACCCCAAGGGAATGATTTGCGGAGTATGAAAATAATGCAAATTATACGCTATGGCCTTCACATTCTGTAGATCTCAACTCAGTTGAACACCTGGGAGTTTTGGGGGCGACATGTTAGACAGCAGACCATCACCATCATCCAAACACCAACTGAAGGAATATCTTTTGGAAGAATCTCATTCCTTCAGTATCCTTCTAGAGACTTGTAAAAGGCATATTGAAGCCATTCTGGTGGCTCATTGTGGCCCAACACCTTACTGAGACACAAAGTAATTATGAAATTATCATTAGCTTATTGGTATTGCCAGTAAGCTGGTGATAATTTCCAAGTACAACTACAAATGAGTGACCAATTATAGAAAAAAGAACAACATAAAATGTCTTAGTAATGGGTTTGTTTTTCCTTTAACTGGTCACCTTTTTGTAGTTGTACTTGGAAATGCACACAACACCAGTAAGCTATGTAGTTTCATATTTATTTAAATTGTATTAAATTTTTGAGTGTTATAGGAAAAAACGAGATTCATTAAAGCATAAAAACATAAAACATCCATTCTTGTGTTGAAATTATTCCAATGTTTATTAGTGTTTTTAAAAACATTGTGACAAGAAATGTTCATACTGTCCTATGAGAGATGGAATATAATAGCAGGGTTCCAGTGCATAAACACCTTGTTACAAAGAAGAATGTACGTTTGAGTGTTCAGTGTCACTGAATGGTTAGTTGAGTATGAAAATAGTGCAAATCAAATGCTATGTCCTTCGCAGTCACCAGATCTCAACTCAACTGAACACTTATGGAAGATTTTGGAGTGGCAGCGCTCACCACCACCACCATCAAAACACCAAATGTGGGTATATCTTTTGAAAGAATGGTGTTTCATCCCTCCAGTACAGTTCCAGAGACTTGTAGAATATATTCCAAAGACACATTGAAGCTATTCAAGGCCATTCAAAGATATATAGAAGAGTTCATTTTAAGCTAAGCTTTATAAACAGGGTTGCCCTGATTATGTGGAAGTCTGTTCCCTATATAAAAGACCGTATAAGGGCTTTACTTACACAATGCCATTGCCACATTTGTCACACAAAGGCAGTTTCTGTAGCGAGCCAGAGGCTGCTTGGGGCTTTGTCACTGGAGCTTTGACACTTCTTGTTACCAGAGGCTTTTTACCTGTCAACAGAGAAATCACATATAGTGTTCTTATTAAAGCAAGGTGCACTGTCAGTCAGCTCTTCTACAGAGATGCTATCAACTCAGCTGGTGCCAGACATGGTTGGAAATATGGTGCAGTTTAATTGGCAACAAGAGAATAGAGATGTTTTCTACATTCTGGTAGCTCACCATCACTGTCTATATAGTCCTGCAGGGCCTTAAAAGAACCAGACTGGCGAGGCTCATGTGGTCTGTCATGATCCTCCTGCAGCATTCGGTACACATGAGAGTCTTCAATGGTGTTCAGGACTTTTCCACTGAGAACAAAGACAGAACAGAATCGTGTTAATATTGGTTTCCCATGTTGACATTTGTTATATGAGATATATACAGCTATACAAAATACACTGAGTTGGTGTTTTTACCCTGAAAGGTAAGGTTTTTTGAAGGGTATACGTGCACTTTGTAGGAACACAATTATTGAATGTAGGAGAGGAACCACCATAGGACCACCACTGACCAGATATTGTTTGAAAGGCTAAAAGATGACTAACACTACTCTGCATGGAAAAACAGAATCTAGGGTGTACCATTAAGGTAGATGTGTCTGATAAAAAAGCTAAGTGTCCACAGTAAGTTGTACAAGCTTAACAAACACTATCATGTTGGTGTGACTGCTGTGAATGGTCTGTAACACAAATAATATCTAGTAAGTAGTGGTGGTGCTTTTCCACTGTTTAACAGAGTAGAGAGTAGCTGCTAAAGCAATGGCTGGGCTATAGTCACTAATTGAATGCCTACAAACTGCACCTTTATGGTGCCAATGATTGTAGGTAGAAGGTAAGTGTATCTAATAACAACAATATGGTCCAGCAAAATCATATAAAGCTATGTCAAACTGCAGTAATGTACAAAGTTAAAGAACACCCTTCATTTATTTAATCTCCAGTCAACTAAAAAGCAAAGGATGTTTAGCTGTTGAAAAGCAATTACTGAGAAAAGGAAATAAACAACAAGAAGAAACTTTGCTGGTGAAGATTCTGCTTTTGTCTTCAGAACAATGGACTGACCACCCTAGAGCCAAATGTGTTTGGGGTTACTTGGATTATGAGAAGCAGAAAATGCAACCAACTTCTAAGACTGAACTTTAAAGGTGTGGAAAATATCCCTGTACATTTCTTTGAAAAACTGAAAAGAATGGAAGCTGTAATAAATGCAAAGGTTGGACACACTAAATGCTAAAATTTAAAGATTCTATGTAATTTTCTGTTCAATATACATTTTCTGCTTTTTTCCTGACACTGAAAAGTGAATACATTATACTTAATGGCCATTTTGACTAGAAATTAAATAAAGAAGGTTGGTGTCTGACTTTTGCAAAGTACTGATAAATATTTGTCAGTATGATATGTACTGTGTTCCTCTAATACTAGATCTTATATTGGCAGATAGAGTAGAGTTAAAGAAGATGAGGCCAAAACTCAGCTTTGGTTACCTGGGTGGTGCCTGTTCATTTCCAGCAGACATCTGAGCCTGCTGTATTGCTTCTGACAGACTGGCATCCGAGTACAAGTTAATGGGGGAGTTATACTGAGCAGCAAGAGCCAGGGCTTCATTCTGAGTGGGATTATTAACTGGTACTGAGCAAGGGACTTGAACTGCATTTCCCATCACCCCCTGAGATATGTTATCTCTGAAGGTGATTTGATCATGTGAAGGCCAGTGAAAAAAGGAGGTGGGTCAAAGGGATGTGCGGAAGCACAGGGCAGAGAAGGGTGAAAAGAAAAGAAGAGAATAGAAAAGAAGATTAGAAAAAGCAAACAACTATCAAAAGAAGAATTTACCTGCTACAAATAAATATCATGTTGTTAGGAGTGGGCAAAAGAGAAGAGTATATCTGCGGTACTTCTAGAATACTGTAGTTACATGTACAATATCAGTCTGAAAGTTTGTAGACATGCCATCTTTTGCAATAAATGTATTAATAGGGAGTTTGTCCCCCTGTTGCTGCCATGTCAGCCTCTCTTCTGAGAATGTGCTACACTGAAGTGTATCTATAGATGTTGGATCATTGCTTTGCATTCAGTCAGGAGCATTAGTGAGGTCAGGTTCTGATGAAGAATGATTAGTTCTCGACCACAAACACCACTCCAACTCATCCCAAAGTAAGTGCGGGCAATATGACAGTGTTTCATGTTGTTGTGATAAACTGTGTCACTATACACCACAATAGGCTTCTCTGAGTTCACCTTTAGTACCTTAAAGAACACTGACAACATGAATGTTTCAGTAAAGAGGTATATTTAGGCCTGTTTAATAGGATTTAGTGTAGTGCAGTATAGAAAAATGCTGAATAAAGATTGTTATACTTTCATTGTGTTTTATTGTGATTATAATAGAATAATTAGAATGTGGTGCTGCTTGTGCTCTCTGTCTGTTTCAACTTATCTAACTTATACTGTGATGCGTATCACAGATTTTGAAAATGCAGTTAAGGATTATCATATTACCATATCAGCCTGTATATCCTCATATAAACCATAGCAATGGGTGCATCTTAAAGTAACTGAATGTACTATTTAGAATGGTGTGTGAATACTTTTGGACATGTAGTATAGAATAGAAAGACAGATGTATCATGTAACCTGCAATATATATTGTATGTGGTGAAAATGCCCTCAAGTAACATCAAATATATGATGCTACATTTTTTGCCCACTCTTATTTCAGTGTCATGCAATGTCTCATTTCTTTGAGTGTTTTACTTTATGACCACAAATGTCTCATTATATGACAATGAAATGTACTAATTTGATTTGATCTAGTGACCTGCTTTGGCCCCCAGGTATGAAGGGCTTTGGCCTGACATTAAACTTGTGTTCGAAGTAGCCAAGGTCCTGTAAGACATAAGAAGGGGAGGAAGGAGAGTTAAGATACACAGTTAGAAGGACATAGGGAGAGAGCAGAGGTCCTCTCAGGTCCAGCATTTTATACCTCAAAACAGTTTGCTTAAGTGCACTTAAATGAAATTGTACCTGAAAGAATTTAACCTGTTAAACCACCAAGATAATACTGGAAACTTACCCCCTTAGAAGTCTATAGCTATTACTGTCAATCTGCTTTTCATTTGAGTTAAATTAAATACTTAGTCCCATTATGTCCATATTTAAATGTAAATCACTATAATAAAACATCTGTTTTCCTTTAGAGCACAAATGTGGCACTGATTGAAAGTTTGGAATATACACTTTTTGGCAGAATATCTTCACTTGTTTCAACGACTTCTAAGGGTTACGAGTGAAATGGAATATAATTAGCCTAATTCTTTCTTGTTTTCCACTCTCAAATCCAAGCGGTACACTAATTTGATCATTTCATGGATGACCAGATTTGCCTATAATTCTGTGTAGTAATCTGGCTTGTTTGGAACTCAAGCCTCCAGCAGGACTTAAGAGAACTTCCGGCATGGTGAAATGTGTGTTTAGCTCAGGTGTTAGAGGCCAGGCGGGTCACAGCAGCATGAACAGAGGTGTGTGAGGAAGAGTCAGATCGCCACTCACCCCTCAGGCCTGTCATGCACCAGGCCGCGGATTTGTCCATGCAGGGCGTCCTGGATGTTGCCCTCAGAGTAGAGGCCTATAGGGGTGTTGTAGGAAGAGCTCACCACCTGTCTTTTGTCATCCAAGTTGCCAGCAGCCACAAATGGCTGCGCCCTTCTGTTGTGGCCTGTGCCTATTGGCTTATACTCCTGTATACAGCGGACAGACACACACACTGCATGCTGAGGTCAAAGCGTCACACAGACAAGGCTAAATCACAACACAGTGCAGTGCCAAATTCTGCTCTATTCAGTGTTGTTTTTTTCCTGCATTGTAAATCATTCTGGTGAATAACGGCTTGTCTTGATATCTTGATAGCAGTCCCTTTTAAAGATAGCAGACGTAACAGTCTGTTTGGGTCAGATCCTGCTTTTGCATGCTGAAGTTCTATTTTAGTTATTCTGCTTGTACGCTTCTTCTGACCTTGTCCAGACAAAGGCCGGGCATGTTAAGACAGAATCACTGTTCATCTTTTCATCCCTTTTGATTAGTCTTACAAAAGAAATACACATAAAATAATACATATAAAGTTAAAAAATAGGTTTAGTCTTTAAATGTAATCATAATACTAAAACAAAATAAAAATGTCCAGAGTTACATGCATTTATTGAAGAAAACGTTCATATCAACAAAAGTACCTACAGTGTTGGGGTAGTTCCACAAAAAAGTAATGCATTACAACTGACTGCGCATCATTTTCAGTACTTTAAGCAGAAATAGCCAAGCACAGTAAATATCATTTAAAAGGCTTGTTACTTGAATAAGACACAGCCAGTTATATTGATTATTGTAAATGACTGATACCTGAAAGACTAGCCTGTAGAAATGGTCCAAAAACAGCTGCCATGAAATTAAATCTTTATGAATACAAAGTAAAGCTTATAGTGCTATTTCTGAATGAAAATCCAGTCTGGCCTGTTTAGGTGAGGTTGGGGCGCTTTCTTTTCCACACTGTGTAGTAATTAAACAGTGTGAGTAAAGCCAAAGCTTTGCATGGTGGCGCCTGGGGTTAAATTCTTGCATAGATAATAATGGTGGTGCTTTTGGAAAAACTTTTACCACTATGAATGATTCTTATTTATTTATTTATTTATTTTCAGAATAACGTCATGATGAAAAATGGCTGTTTCATTATTATCATTAACAAGTAATAAATAGCCTAAGTAATATTCTGAAGCAACAGCTGACCCTGTGTGCTAAGAAGTGGTCAGTAGAGCGTTGGCCATAGTTGAAGGAGTGATCCAGACAGCTCAGATTTTATTATGTACCCTACTGGCCAAGGTCAAAGTCCTCAGATATAAATTATCTACTGCCCCTCTCATGTGTCTCATGCAGTCAAGCATTTGAAAAGAAACATGAATAAAGAACATGTATTTCCAGCCCTCCATGCAAAGCTTCTATGAATCTGTCTTATAACAGAAGCATATGTGAAGCAGATAATGATGGCTGTGCATGTGGCTCTTAGTTGCTTTTTCTCTTGATCTTACTTGTTGTTCCGCCTCCAGATTGATTTTGAATGGGTGCACTTTGCCCTCCTCCACGACTTGTGGTGACCAGAGTTTGGTTTCAGGCCTGGAATGCACACAGCACATATTTAGTCTAATACAATGTGCCACATACAAAAATAAGCTCAAACATGGTTAAGGAAGTGGGTTACATAGCATCTGGGCTATGATCTGTATCAGAATTTCTAATGCCATACAAGGTTCTGTATTTTAGTACAAAGTGTGGATCAAAGGAGCAAGTAACACGACTAGGCCTGTATCAGATCTAGCGAGTACTGGCTATGCTGATAGACATGTCAAAGGCAATCCTCGGCATCATTTTCTCTTGTCTAACCTTTTAATACATGATGCAATTAAACAAAGAACACCATACAATATTAGAAACTGTGTGGAATAATAGCTGAAAACATGCAGTATTTAACTCAACATGACAGGTCCCTGTAATTTAGAACAAGGTGTGAATCATAAGGACTGGGCTGGCTTTGTGGAACAATCTCAATCTCAGCTTAACAGTCTTGGCTGATATCAAGCTTTTATGATACTCACCTCTCTATCTTGAGGCAAAGTTGGTGAGTAGAGTCTTTGATCTTGTTCTGCGCCTCACCATGAGTCATACCATCTGTTGAGACCCCTTCAATGGCCAGGATGACGTCCCCTGGGCACAGATTGACCCGTGAGGCCTTACTGCCAGGAGTCACCTAAAAACAAGTTAGCTTAAACTTAGAGTTTGCACTGTCTTGTAAATAATGGTAAAGGTTAGAGCTGGGTGATACCATTGGTGCTGCATATTGATTTTTAGTTTTAAAAGTGTAATTAGGTGACTAAAGCTTGGTTAATTGCATTGTAGTTGTATTTATTATTTGTGGTGTGCTTTAGATTGAAGTGAATGAACAGTTTAAAAAAGGCAAAACAAAAAACAAAATTAATAGAAACTTTGCTTTCCGGAAATCTGGTAAGACGTTCTTTTAGTATCAGGAAGATGGCTTCGTTAACTTTATAATGCAAACTTTACCTGATATGATGATACTTGGAAAATATCATGGTGCTGAATTTTATTGGGACCGCCTAGCACTAGCAGAAGTTGATTTGAAATTATTTTCAGGTTTGGACTGATGAAGATCCTTGCATTTGTTTATCGGCACTGTTAGTTTGCTGTACTTATTAATTTTGACCTTTTTAAACTAGTTAACCCCTTAAAGTCCAGGCTATTATTCAGATATTATTCTTAAATGTTGTTGTTAAAGGGCCAATTAAAGGGCTTTACATTTGTCTTGTATTTTATAATTTGCCCTGTTGCCCTCTTATGACATTTTGTATGGGTTTATGTTCCAATACAGTTATAATTTATTTTTATATGACAAAAAGTGATTTGTTTTTCCATGATATGGGTCCTTTAATCCTTTACTTTTACTCATTTACCATCATGAATCTCATATGAAGGTAAGTCATCATGAGACTGAAGGTATGAGGTGAGGGTTCATTGCAGTTTAAGGGGTTAAACAGTTTGCTACCACACAAAGTATATTTTTAGGCTGGGTTACAAAAAGTTTCTACATTCTGATCTTGGAAAAAGTCATAATTCATACAATACTGTACTGCATTCCTATGAAGCAGATACAGCTCATAAATATAGTGATATTGAATAGTTATCTGTTGACCTCCTCCATGCTGAAAGGAGGCTATAAATAGTGGAGTGGATGTGTCAATCAGGGTGCAGTATCACCCACAGGGGGGCTATAGCTGGGCCTATTAGAGACTCGCTGATCTAACCGCTGTGGCATCCGTGCTGCCGTCCAGTACTTCTCTAGCCCCCTCCTTCATTAACAGAGCCTGACATCATCTCTCTTCACTCTTCTCATCCCTGAGCAGCTCATTTTCTGAGGTATTTTCCTCTCTCCCTACAGACATGTATCTCATCGGCTTGACGTGTGGGCTGAGGTTTTCTCCACCTGAGTCTATGACTAAGCAGGCCTGTTAGAACCCTGCTCCCACTCATCATTCAGCACCGTCTGCCTCCCCACAAGGAACACTGAGATCCAGTCAGGTCAGCTATTTAAGACTGGAAGATATGGTTCCTCAGTGTTGGTGCTAGTGTCTTAAAGATTCGTCAGGTTTTATTTTGGATGGCTGATGAAGACAGCAGTGATTAAAATGTTTTCGTGCTCTTCTACATTTCACATGGATGTTGGCAACAACCTGAATCTGCCAACAATTTGTGTTGTTTAGTAAGTTCAGAGGTGGGTAGTAACTACTAGTTACATGTTATAAACATTATATGTGACATGTTCCTACATTTGTGGGGAATGTAATCTATTTTTCATCTAGTTCCACCACCTTGTTAGCCATTTACACAGAGTTCCTTCTCTCTCAAAAAAGTTCCACAAAGAGTTCTTTGAGCAATGCCACAGAAGAATCACTTTTGGTTCCAGACCCCTGTTTACAGAACCATGTTAAAGAACCTTCACATTATGTTTGATACCAATTTAAGTGTCATTTATTAAAATTGTGCTCCTAAGAACCCTGAATTGAAGTATTGAGGTATTTAAGGAACCAAAAGTGTTTTTTCTATGGCATCTTGCAAATAACCCTCTTTAGAGTGTACTTTTTAAGGAGTGTAACATTCTGATGGATTTGTACTTCTCTGTGTATCTTACTTTATGTGACAAATCTGTGAAGACTCTTCACATAATGTAAGGTTGTATACCAGTGTAAGGATTTCTCCCAGAATCTCTGCATTATATTTTTTTATTTTTAAACTTTAAAAGGTTCTTCACACTTACAAATCTCTTGTTTTAAACATGGTTCTGTATGGTTCTTAAATAAAAAGTGGTTCTTTTTTGGCATCACTCAAAAAAAACATTTGTGGATTTGTGGTAGAGAGTAGGAACTAAAATGGAACTATATAAAAATGTACAAAAAAATATAATGCTGCTTTCAGAACAAAACCTTGTCTCATTTTTTGTCGGTTTCAAAAATGCCAGCTGCCCTTTAAAATGTACTAAAATGTCATGATGAATGGACAAATTGAAAAGCTTCAAAATTACTTGAAAAAAATCTAGTTCTATTAACTTCCATTCAAGGTTATGAATGTTTTTTCCCTCTCCTGTAAAGTTCCCATTTCTGAGATATGAGGTTTTGTCCTGACAGCAGTGATAAACATATACAAAATGCAATAACAACACTTTTACTTGAGTATCGGTTTAGGCTACTCAGGTCACCTTTGAGTATGTTGCCCTGTATACATCTGCCCTCCTAACCACAGACTTCCACGAGACAGGCTTTGACAAGCAGAGCCTTTGATCCGTTACTGTATTTGATGCAAATGTCTGTCTGAAGGCCGTGCTGTTACACCTGGTTCCATTGTGGTATCAGAAATTGAGGATGATTGCTGAGAAATCCGCACCAGTGGAGCTCGGAACAGAAACAATGAAAATCAGATTGTTCCCATGACACCACTCTAGCAAATGACGATGCGCTCTGTCCAACAGAGGAACAAAGCCACTCTGTTTCTGAGGTGCAAACAAGGAGGGCGCTATGACGAGTGACAAAACCACAGAGCAGCTGTTAGCAAGGCTCATAGAAAAAAAAGCTCATTTTTTGATGAAACATGCAGCATCGTAGAGAACACCTGTTGTCTGGGTTGATTCCATTAGAATGCTTGTAGCTGGACTTACAAACTGGAAATATATTGACATTAAATAAGTGAACTGTGTTGTCTTTAAATAACTGATATAACTGTAAAATGGACAAAGAATAATGAGTCCATTTCAGTGAATTAAAACTGTTTACACTGAACCAAAAAAAAAAAAAACATTCCAATGAAACTCAGATGAATTTTTAGTGAAATGTTTAAATTTTGCTCCAGCAAGAATTGAAGTTGAGGTAAAATATGTGTATATTGACTTTACTCTATTGGATTGAATGAAAGTGTGTGGCATAACTGACTTACATTTATTCAACAAAATTTATTTTTTGAACGTGGAAGGCTTCAGGCAAGAAAAATGGTAAAAAAAAAAAATGTGCCAACACAGAGGGTCTAAACCACAAAGATCTAGAGGAAAAGAAACACGTCGAGTCTTGTAGTCTCTAAGCAGCCAGACTACACAGTCATGATAAATGCTACCAACTGCATGATAATTATGCAATAACAAAAGCAAGAGATGGAATTTTAAACAGCATTGTTAACATCTGTCATAACTGACGTTTTGCAATTTATGTCCATCTGGAAGTATTCCCATATTGGAAGAAGCTTGCAGAAACAGGCAGTAGCCAACTTGTAGCTAAAGCTTGCTGTGATGTCATCACGGAGGCATTAGTGTTTGAGTGATTAGAGACAGAGGCTTAGCTTGTGGGATGTAGAAGGAAACCGCTCACATGTCAGATTATTTTTGCAGTGCTTTACTGCCTAAAGGAGCAACACCCCTGAGCCTTTAATTCAGTAGATATCTTTCATCTCGGTTTATGCTAAATCAGTTGTGCACGGTTCAAAAGCAGAGGTTTTCTACCACAACTAATTTGCATCGCAAGCCAGCTGAATTACTGTATTTACTTTGAAATCAAACCTACCACTTATTTGCCCTAGAGGCAGAGTTAGTTGCAAGAAAAGCATTACATGAGAGTGCTAACAAACCCACAGCGGTTTACTTTAAACATGACATCATCATTTGCGACTGCTGTAAGTCTTGTCTAACCCTGCCTGACTACAGAAGACTCTTTAGTGGAGCTTACATTTATCTGCTTATTTGCTCCAAGTAAAGTATATTTTTAAAAACTTTTCAGTCTGAAGATTGGGCCTACTTTTTCTTCTCTGTATTATTGTGGGCATTTTTTATTGAATGTCACAACTAGGCCACTGCTGAGAGCTAACATGTTTATGATGTGATCTAAGACTTCCTATTAATATTGGCTAGCCATAAACCTCAACAAGATATTCCAGAGGAAGAACTGTGAATAAGAGCCAGGCCTCATTACACTAGTCTGCTCTGCAAGCTGTCTCAGATCATTCTACATTGTTTCCAGGCAGACTTTGTGCATTAGTGCTGCACTGAATACTGGGAGATGCTATGAACTGTGCATTGTACAGGAAGCAGGAAGATATATTTTGAGTCTCAAAGAAGTCCTAGTGTCAAAGAGAATGAAGCCTGGATGTATGTATCCTACCAAATCACCTTTGTACTTCTGTGGTTACATTAGTGTTGCCATTCAACCATGGTCTCAGCTGGAAGGATGCATACATTTGGATAGCTCAGACAGACAAGTTCATGCCTGGTTAAGGTTTTAATTGACAGACCGTGTCCAATTTGTCAAGATACAAGGGGAGTTTTCTGAACATATAAGAGTGCAATGTGGTGTCCCACAAGTCTTTGTTTTAGGACCCTTACTATTCTTACTTTATTTGAAGCCCCTAGGATGCATAATTTGTAAACAATTTGTCACCTTGTATGCTGCTGATGATGTTATACCTGCCAACCCAGCCCAGATTTAATGACACAGTTACACATAATGAATGTGTGTCTTGGATAAACAGCAGCTTTCTCCTGCTAAATGCTAAACAATGATAAAACAGAAATTTTGCTGTTGGGTCTTATGCCCACTCAAAGTAGGTTGCAGAATTTATTCTCGACCTTAACTGTTTCTCAGTGCAATCATAAAATACAGTTTATTAAAGATTTGGTGAATATCTACAAACCTGCATTTGATTTTTTTGAGAATCATACAGTGTAGGGTTTTTTGTGTTCATTGATTGGATCATGAACTCGTAAGCATACAAAAACATTTCAGACGTTTGCAAAGTAATGATAACAATTGGAAAAACAACAGTTACCTTTGTCCAAATGCTATTTCTGGGGCTCTATATTTTAAAGTTAGGCCTTATTCATATTTTTTATTCTATTTTTTAAAAAATGTGGCAGTATCTGCTACTAAGCTAAAATGTCTGTCTCCTGGTAGAAGTAGAGAGTTCTTAAATGCAAAGCTAAATAACGCCTCTCTTCTTCACACTAACACTTATTTAACCTTCCACCTCTCACGTTGCCATGAATTTCCTCCTTTAGCAGATGGTTAAAGAGCTGTGGGACTGAGAGGGGGCAGGCGATTCACTCAGCAACAGGTGTAGGGAACCCTTTTGGAGCCCTACTGTAGACATGTGTGTGCGTGAATACCAGGCATCTAGTGCAATAGACCCTATTTGGATGCAGTTGTAATATTGACCTACAGTATATTTAGCACTGTGATGAAGGGTGGCTTATCCATATATTTGCAAATTAGCAAGTGAATGCAGCCAACTGCAGCCAATCACTGAGAGTAGAGGGAGCTTAGAGAAAGGTCACAGTGTAGAGAGTCATCAACAACTGACTCATCAGCCAAGTGAGAGAAACTATATATTAGCTTAGATAAAGTGTTAGATTAGGGATGTGATTCAGATTGGAATTTGAAATACTAGATTCAAACTAAAATTTGTTTAATTGATTTCACTGAAATCTTTTTTTCAGCTATTGAAGTGATTTAGAGTAGTTTATTGTCATTGTAACATCAAATCTTGAAATGTAACTTTTATCATTTCATTTTTTCCACTATTTGAAAAGGCCAGCTTCGCTTTACATTGTGTTAACATTGTATGATGAAGGGGCCAATAGAAATGGTCCAGAATGACCTGGGGAATTTTTTTTTTTTTTAATTTGAAAGTGCCAGATGGCCTTTGCATTGTGTCAAAACATCATGATGCAAGGACAAAAAAAAACTGTTTGGAAAAAATAACATTGTTACATTAAAGTCCATTCTAAGTTAAGAATGTTTTTACCTCTCCTGTAAAGCTACCATGAGGTTTGGTCCTGTTGGACACTGGTGGTCCCAAAGTTTTATTACACACTTCTATAACCTAAGAATAACTCAGCCAGTTTGCATTGAAGTCCCTGTAGTTGCTGAATAACAAGCCTTAGGGTGTAATAAGCCTGGGATTTTAAGTGGTTAAAGTCAAGAACCTTTTTGTTTCTTTCTCCTAAAAGGTTTTTATTTCAAATATATAGTTAAATCTCAATTATATATGATGCCTAAATTTGCAAGCATTATATCTTGTAACAAAATAGCTCAACTGTTAGAGATACTGCACTACATAACTATACACACATTCATTAATACAAAGTTGTCCTATAGTTAACCCCCTAAACTCCAGCTGCACTCCTATAACTCTACACCTCATATATCTGTTTCACATTCGATACTAAGTAACTAAAACTGGTCACTGCTTAAAAAGCCTTGAATAATCAGTCTAGAACTGAAAGGGTTAAACACAGATTCCAGCCACTGTATGTAATAAGTTTGCTTTAAAATCCCCAGCAATCTCTACTGTGGGAGTTGCTAAAAGAACTTCGTTGTTTTTAGGTCAACCCACTTATTTTCCACGCCTGTGGCTCTGCTGCCCACTGCATCAAAAGTGTCCTTATCTCTGAAAGCTCCTCCAGCTGGAATGTGTGAAGTAGCCCAGAGGGTATCTCTCACTCACCCTGGTGATGGTCAGAGGCTGGTTAAAGTCTTTGCCCCCAGAGAGGCGAAATCCCCAAGGGGCTGGCCCCTCCAGCAGCACGTTCTGTGGCATTTCTCTTCCTCGCTCACTCCCTCGTCCCTTTCTCGTCCTTGTCTCTCGCTCTTTTATCAGCGCACAGGAGAGCAGCAGCTGCGGCACTGAGAGAATCAGCTGTCCCTCCTCTTTTACACTCCCTCACTCACAGAGCTGATTGGCAGCCAGTCCCATATAAGAGTGTGTGCGCGTGTATGTGTGTATCAGAGTGAGGAGGATGCCAGGATGCCCCACCTCTAGAGTGAGATCATACAGCAAACTCAACATCTGAGGTAGTGCTCTACTAAGTTATCTCTCTCTCTCTCTCTCTCTCCCCCTCTCTCCTTTTTCTCAGTATTCTTCTCTCAATATTCTCGACTCTTCTATCTCTCTCTCTCTTTTTTATTTCTCAGTATTCTTCTCTCAATATTCTCGACTCTTCTATCTCTCTCTCTCTTTTTTATTTCTCAGTATTCTTCTCTCAATATTCTCGACTTTTCTTTCTCTCTCTCTCTCTCTCTCTCTCTCTCTCTCTCTATATTCTCTCTTTTTCTTCTCCATATCTTGCTCACTACTTTGTATCTCTGTGTGCTCTCTCTATTCCTCTCTTTTTCTTTTCCTCTTCCTCTCTATCTCGACTTTTATTCCTTCTCTCTCTCTCTCTCCATATTCCCTCTATTCTCTCTCTCTCTCTCTCTCTATTCTCTCTCTCTCTCTCTCTCTCTCTCTCTCTCTCTCTCTCTCTTACACACACACACACACACACACACACACACACACATTCACTCTCCCACTCTATGTCTTTCTGTTTCCGCTAGCCTGGTCTGTCTGCTCTCGGGGGGTCTTGTTCTCCTGTGTTGGTGGAGCACCTGTGAATGACTGAGTCATCACTCACCATCTCAAAGCTGTGAGATGACGGAGAGACTTGGACTACTGCAGAACAGCAGTCTTAAGACCTTACCTTCACAAAGTTAGTCAAAACAAGATCAGACGTGTCAGAGATGAGGTGGCCTCTTTAAACCAAATGTACTGAATAAGACTTCTAACTGTATACCAGGTGTGTAGCCACAGGATTTATCACAGTAATGATAAAAATCAGTAATGATGAAAATTTGACTTGCTATCAGTGAGTGTTGTCATTGTACTGTGTCTAGTCAAATGATGACACTCTTTGTGTGAGAGGTCAGACTCAAGCCTAGCCTTTGTTTTTCATTCCTCCAATCCCTGCTTAGTAATCATTGCAGTCAAGCTTTCAAATAATTAGCAGCATGTAATTGTTTACTGTTAGTAATATGTTGAATTTGAAGCCCAGATATGGTCTTAATATGTGATAAGAGAACCAGTAAAAATGAGACGCAATACAGCTTATGTTGACAAAAAGTTGCTGTGCTGTGATTGTCAGAGGTCTAAGGATTTTGGTAACTTACAAAGCTCTTTTATTAAAATAATTTTTTTCTCACCTAGTATAAGCTTATCTTGTTCGGCAGTTTTTAGAGTGCTGGATGTCAAGCTGAAGACAGAAAAACTGCAAACTGACAGGTTTGGTTAGATATTCGCTATATTTAGTCTCCAAAAAGTGAAGTGTTTTGTCCTGATCTGACTCATCCTGACACTGGAAATAGCTAGCTAACATTTTACCCCGATAATCAATAAGCTCGATGTATGTCTTATTTTTGCGAATTTTTGCAAAATATTTGTCATGATTTAAATTACATTCGAATGTCTTTAGTGTAACAAATTTTCTGGTTAAATGAACATCAGAACCACCACGGCCCGCTGGTTGAAAACCGCTGACCTAAAATACTAGTTTTTAGGTTTGCTGGGAGTGTTTTCTTTCAACTTTGTTGTGTACATCTCAGCTGTTTGATTCAAACTCTTATATGGTTTCATTGGGGTATATGTTGTGCCTGTCACTAGCAGACCCATAGAGAAAAAAATATGTTTTTTGCAATGTATGAAAAAGGCCCAAAATGTATTTGTTAAATATATTTTAAAATGCATTTATTTGTATTTGTTGTGTTGTTTTTTTCAATTGTTAGTAGTTTTAACAAAGATTACAGATATAACTAAATGCATATGAACTGAATGAATGGTACTGACTTCTGTGTTTTGCATTGTACTTTGCATAAAGCATTGTGTGTATGTGGTAAGTGAAATGTATTTCAAATAAACAAGATATCAAATAATCGAACTGCATTTTCACAGTGTATCAATTCCTACAGTACTTGATTTTACAATGTTAAAGGTTCGTTTGCTAATACTTAAAATTAGAATACTGGAAAACAAATTCATTTCAAAAGATATTCCAAACAGTCAAGTGCATTAGACAAGTTTTTTGGCTATTTTCAGAAATTTTCAAATGTATCTGATATATGCATTCAAGTATATTCGGTTAATGTGGCAATATATTCTGACATACATTTTTGTGTTTGGAATGTATTTTGGCATGGATTGCAACCTGATGTCATGACATAGCGAGACGTAAAAAATATATCCCAAAAAACTATCGAGGTAGCTTAAAGATTTAATTTCTACCTATGTCTCTGCTACATGAATGGTATAATTGGGAGGATATGGTGCTTTTTACTGACTGCATACCACAGAATAAAGGTTTAATCCCTTAAAATCACAGGCTTACTACATACTACATTATTAATTACTAAGACTTTTTATTCAGTAACTACAGAAACCTCAGTGCAAACTGGTGAGCTATTGTTAGGTTATAGAAGTGTGTAAAAAACTTTGGGGTGGTGGGCCTTGGGCATTTAAGAGGTTAAACCAGTGACTTCACAACAATTCAATTTTGATATCTAGAAGAATTTAATATATCATCGTTGTACTTTTATCATGATTCAATTCATAATCATTTTAAAAAATACACTGAATGCACAAGTGTGAATGGAGGAGCTATTTACATAACAGAACATGGACAAGACAAAACCCTTTTTTTAATAGAATATTATTGTAATCTATTATAATCAAGCCTAACACACCAAAGTCACTGCAGTTCATCTCTACCTTCATTTGCATACAAAATAACAGTATGCAGATATCATAACAGCCGAAACCAAGGTTGACAGTTTTACCTACTGGTCCTGCATGCCTGTGTGATCTTGATTTCCCTCCAGGAGCAACCACAACACAGACCAAACTCAGCATGCATCTTCAGCTGTCCTTCTAAGTCTGATCTGTTTGCATTATGTTACATATGGAAAACTTCCAGCAGCTGATTTATGATGCACCCTCCAAATAAAAAGTTTCAACAAATACACATGCTATGGCTATGGGACCAAAGTGCGCTGTGCACTGTCTGCAGGATGTTAAAGGCCAGCCGTTTTGTTTAGGAAGAGGGATCTTCTTGATTTGCATCACAGACTTCAACAAATCCTTGTTTGGTTGAGCAGCTGGGCCACTGAAGGGCTGTTATGGGGCCTCTGGGAGACCTTTGTGTCTAACAAAACTTGTTTGCATCAGCTCTAGTAGGCATGTTGCCAACTCTGTAAACTATTTAAGAAATATGTACATTATTTCTAATACTGTTTTCACATCCTCTTCAAAAAGTGACATTAAAATTGTTACTTAAACATTGTATCTCTCTTATAATACAGTTCTGCAAATACAGTTATGCTTAAGATTATGTAAAATCATCTTGTTGGCATTAGGACCCATTACTACCAGTGTATTTCCAACAGTACTGGCTTGTTTAAAGCACCTCTCAGAAGGTTCTGCAGTAGAGAAAAGAAGGCTTCCTAAAGGCCAGATAAAGGCCATGTGTTAACTTTGGCATAGCCTATGCGTTCCATGAACAAGCTGTACTAGCTTCTGCGGGATCGGTGGAGACAGTAATCGCATGCATTTGGTGAGTGATTAAGGGGGTGCTGTGAGGATTTGCTTCATTTTAAAAAGTCTACGGGAAAAGCTCCAAGTGAGGACACAAGCTTTAGTCTCCCATCAGGACAACGCATGCCTCTGATTCCTTCAGCGAGAGAGAAAACCCAGCCAGTTCTCTACTGACGCTCTGATTATTGTGTTGCCATAGCGGCGAGTGGGATGTTGTGTGACTGTTTATAGATGGGGGTGAAAGAGGGGACCAGAAGCCACTTCTTCATCTAACACAACCAGCCAATGGGAATACAGTAGCTCAACCAACCAATGAGAACTACTAGTTATATGCTTAGGAATAAAGATTAATATAGAACTATTTGCTAGAGCTCAAACCCTTTTAAAAACAAATTACTGGCTGCTAGTAGAATTACTTTCACAGTAATTTACTGTACCTTATTAACAGTATATAACAGTAAAATGGCAACACTATACACTTGGACCACAAAATTACTATGCTGTAGCTGTATTCTGCTGTATTTCAACATAACAACTGTAAAAGCAATGCAACTAAGTAGCCAGATTTTAATACACATTTGCAAATGAAAATATGACTTTAAATATTATAAAACCTATAAATATTTTTTATAAAAGTGTACATAAAGTCAAAACAGTATCAGTGAACATATCCATAATTCATACTGCACATCATTCATTTGTGCAGAATATCTCAAGTATGTATTTTAACATTTATATTTTTATTTATGTTATATTCTGTTTTATTACAGAATATGGCTTAAGATGAGTTGATTTCAGATCAATGTGGTGTGAAATGATGGAAGTTAGAATGATGGCAGATGGAAGTCCAAGCAGATGAAACCCTCTGGCAACCTGTAATTGTTTAATTGCCCAACTACATAAAGCCGAATAGACACTTTAACTAAAAACCTAAGAAGCTGCATGGTTTACTTGTTAGCATGAACCAAAACAATAACTTAAGACGACCCATTGCAAAAACATTAGGTCAGACTCTATTTATTAATATACTGTTTCACAGAGAGAAAAAGAGAAAGAAATACAAAAATAAACATTGGCCTTGACATGTAATAGATTGCTTTCACTGTTCCTAAGAGATGTTCTCCCGGTAGAAGTCCATGCGCTGTACACAAAGGGGAAGACATTGGAAAGAGTCATATATGGTGGAGAGTATAACCTCAGTAGCTATAGTGTCCAAATACGTGATTCAACACTGTAGGGCGGTACTATCCATCCACCACCACTGATTTTAAACCAGCTATTTTTAGCCAATCATGATATAACAATGCAAAACAACACCACTGATCAGTTGTTGAGACCAACATGGTAACCAAGGTTTGTATGAAAGCCAAAAGTGCTGCTTTCCGCTGTCTAAATGTAAAGTTACCATAACACAAAGAACTCTCCCATACATTTTAGCCTCTTACACAGCTATTACAGACATTTCACACTTGATTTTAGTTAAGCGTTAGATTACATTGTACACTGAATTGCATAAAGGATATTTGGTAAGATTCTGCACCAGGTGCACCCTATTACCACAAGTTACACCTCTTACTTGACATGGTGCTTAAGGATGGAAGACTAGGGGCCTAGTTTAATCAAGCATAGACAGTGCTCAAATAACCAAGACCACAAACGCAAACCACTGTGGTGGAAGTGGGTGATTGCAATACCAATTGAGGTCAATGATTTTTCATCTATTGCTCAGTGCTAACTTTATCTTCATCTCCACAGTAAAGCATTGTTGTGTTATCATGGCAGTGGTCACTGAACTAAAACTTGTACATGAAATCTGATGGTGAATGAGAGTCATTTTGCTTTGATTATTTATGAAGTAATGTGCAAATGTAATTAAAGATATTGATACAATCTGGTAGCCCGAACAGTATGACAATACAGAGGAGTCTGCAAAAGACCATGAAGCTTTATAATGCCTCAAATACAAATAACACTCATCACATTACTGCAGATGACCTTTGCCACACTGATCTGGAATCAAACTACTTGTTATTCAGTCTATGTGAATTTTGCATATTTGAAATTGTACAAATAAACATGATAATCAACAGGTTTAATAGCCAAGAAATTCTGGACACAAAATACATTTAGAAGATACAAATGAACAGAATATATTATGTATATAATTTTGAATGAAAATAAAACTTCTGACCAATCAAACAAAATAGATTATTTAAAAAAAGTACACTTGTTCACTCAAATGAAATTCATACATAATGGGCCACATCACTTGCAAGATACATTATGATGACTTATGCTGCTTTTTTGACTCAAAAATAAGAGAGTACAGTGTGCAAGATCATTCGGCATAAACTCAGTCATAGGCAGTAGACATTATTGTGTTTCAATGAATTTATAATTGTATCCATTCCCCCCAGTCATTGTCTAAAATGGACGTTAAGGACTATTGCATTGTATAAAATATTACTTCTTTTGACCTAAAAAATACCATAAACATTTTCCTCTGTAAAATCCATCAGATTCTTATAGGAATGTCTGGAGGGACAGAAAATAGAACCATAGAAAATCAAAACGTTTAATCTGAATCTTATAGTATGAGGAAGTGCATGGTGCAAGTAGGAGTGGTCATCTCAAACCATCCTACTCGGCATGACACTGCAATACTGTTAAATCTAGATCTAGATTAGATCAGGCATCAGGTCCAGGTTAGCAGGGGCATGTCCTTTTTCCGAAAACAACAGAACACGGTACCACACCCTTCCAATGTACCCCAAACAAGAAAAAATATATATGCCTCTCAATAAATAAAAGATAAATAGGGCACTTGGTTACTTCTTCACTTTGAAATTCATCAGCTTTTACTAAAAGGCAGACATACAGATTTTATTCAATGAAAAACAATGTTAAAAATGTAGGCAACCAAAAAAAGCCATCTCTTAAAGTCTTTGCAGTTCTGTGTTTATGTAATTGCTTCAGAATTGAGTGCTCCAAGTTCTCCAACAATCCAATGTGCTTGGTGTAGTAATCCACTCCAGTCTGGTTTCCATGTGTAATGCAGTGTTGTGTTGGCTGGAGTATGAGGGAGGGTTTGTCTCAGCAGACAGAAAGGTGACAATTTCAATCTATTCTCTGTGGTTTTAGGGTCTGCAGAGGAATACAGAGTGTTCCATGTCATATCCTCTTCACATAGTTTCCAGGGAAGGTTCCAAAAAACTTGCTCCGTCTGGACGTTCCTGAAAACATACAGAATAATATAAGTGACAAAGTTCAGAGAAGCCTCACTGATACACTTATACAATTACATAATAAATTTGTCTTTAAGAAATCCAGCATTTGCTTACAGGTTATTAATAAATACTTAAATATATGCATAAAACCCAGATGCTAAACTGATTAAGAATTGAGTGCACAAGAATAAGCTTTTCAAGTCTGTCCTTTACTTAATTTCATATGTTTCCAGCAATTCAGGCTCAAAATGGGAGGCCAAAAAAGGGTATAGAACAGTTACAATGTGCTCTCTTATCTTGACTCTGTTCTAGCTGGTTGAATAGGCTTACTAAAAGACTTTGGTTTTATATAAATATATTTCTATTTTTATTTTTTTTTTTTCAGTAATGAAGAAGATAAGCGCACAAAGTATACACATGAGTATAGCTATGCTGAAAGGCATCTGGGAAGATGATATTGCCTCATGGACCAGTCATTGTAACGTAATAAAAATAGTGGGCCTGGTGCTCGCTATGTCCTCAAGAAGGGCAAAGGCAGCAGTTGGTTATCAGTGAAATGCCTGTTTTTTAATAGTCCATTAACTTGTCCTTAACAGGGCCAGGAAATAAAAATCCTCCCTGGGATTTTCACCATCTGAACCTGAACTATCATTGGTCATTGGAAGCTTTTAAATTAAATTATTTGGATTTTACAAGTTATGTAATTGTAAACTGTTGTCAAAGCAATGAATGGATTAGACTTATTGTGTCATCCATAAATATTTAGTATATTCTTGTAACTATGCATGGATTTTATACTCTAATGCCTGCAGCACAAAAGCACTGCAGCTATGAAAAGTTTGTTCGCTAGGTTGGAACACTGTTCATCTATGAACATTTACACATTACATTTTATAAATTATCACTTAAACGTCAAGATCACATCTGTGCGTCTTGGAGTATCCTGTCTTGTATGTTTTGGTGTTTTCCTGCTCCAAAACGAGCAAGCACTCTTGGACCTTGGCTGGTAACTGCTGCAGTAGAACACTATAATCTATCAACAGTGCCATCTAGTGGTGAAAATGGAGTAAGGGTACGCAGACTTACCCACAAACCAACCATCATCACATTTCTCCATCACATCAACGATATCTCCTTCCTTCAGTTCCAGCTCATCTTCATTGCGTGGCATGTAATTGTACACAGCCTGAAACCTGGCATATCAGATGGTTGCACTGTTATATTCAGTGTGGGAAGAAATACTGGTTCAATTCTAAGTCTAAGAATCTAACACCTGCTGCAAAATTATTTCAGTGCACATTAATATCCATCCTGAGCACAATATCAAGAATGACTATCCTAGCTTAATGCAGTACAATAAAAGTACAAATATGTTGCACCAATAAACAATGACAAGACACTCACGGTTCACCACTTTGCAGAGGATCTTGTACATATGCTGGCCGCTGAGACTGAAACAAAAAAACAGACAGACAGACGTAATATAAGCACTTCTGTCTCTTACTCCTCTGAACTGTATGTCCAACTTGTACTGAGGGTATCCAGTGAAGCACTGAACTCAAAGGCAAATGCCAGTGTAGTGCCACTGGTCAGGCCAGGATCAAATGTGTACCTGAACTATTCCATTTATATACACTTAGAGCAAAAAAAGGGGGGCTTTTGATCAGATACACATGAAATCGAGGTCAACCAGGGGCCAAGAACTGTTTCTAAGCCCATAACCAGACATTGGTAAAACAAATGGATGTTTTGTCTAGTAATCTCTTTTGTATAGTCTGATTGCAGGACTTGGAAGCAGTAGAATCATGTCTGACATCCCAAAAAGGAGGACTGTACTCCCCTTGTCTGGAGGGACTTGGGGGGAATAGGCCACGTGCCTAGCTCTGGGGAGAACACCTTGTTTAAGCTGTGTGCACAGGAAAGATCATTGGACATTCCTAGAAGCAAATCCAGACAGCCCAACCACTCTAAAACGGGTGCTCTTATGGTTCATCTCAATACATAGCAAAAAAGGCCCTTATGCATTTCAGCTATTCAGCTAAGAGTGTATCTAAAGCGCAAACACATCCAGGTCAACGTGAGCTGTTCCCGATTTAAAAAAGCCATCCTGATCGTGCAAAAAAGTCCACGCACACATGGCCAACATGCGCAGTGAATATGGCACGAATGGACCATTCTGTTTTTCAGCCTCACAATGCATGAAAGCACACAGAAAGACAAGCTGATAAAATATCCCTCTGTCACAGCGACATTCAAACTTTATTCACTGGTACTGAAATATGAATTATAATGTAACAGAAGAACAACTAAGTCTATGTTTAGCAGCTTTTATCATGCTTGAAGGAAAAACTCAGTAATGATGGGCAACATAAATAATCCCTATATGTTAATTTTATGCAAGTAACACGTTTAATGCATTAGTTTTATAGCTAACATGCCTGAATAATGTGTGACATGACAAATACTAGCATGGTTTTGTGCATCGACTTCGGTAGAAGTCAAAACCCTCCATTTCCTTGAGTTCCATTTGCTAATGCCACACACAGCGCATGATTTCTCGTACCCTATGAGATGGCGAATAGTTTTGCCCTCTAACAGGCGATCCGCAGGACCTCCTAGACATCACAGGGCTACGAGGGGGCTTACCAACAATCACAACATCACGCCTTAACACAGGCTGAAAGAACCAGAAGCAGGAGAGGCTTCCATCAGGGTAATAGTCAAAATCACAAACACCATCCACACATAACAGAAAAAATGCTGACACGTATTGTAGGGTCAGTAGGTGTCTGAACCACATAGTAAATGAAAGAGAAATACAATATCATGCAAAATTATAACACGTTATTTGAAGGTTTAATTAAGAAATTCATCTGCAACCTGTTTCTGAGTGAAATAAATAATAAAAACAGAAAGTATAGTAAATTCTGTTTGACCTGTACTAAATCAAAAACAAAAGATGGTGTTTTACCTCAAGAATTTATTTGTTTTTTTTTCTTTTCTTTTTTTGAATATACACTTGTTCCAAATTTGACTCCTGCAACCACTATGTTGTATCACCTTTCCTTTAAACAACACTTAACAAATGTTTGGGAACTGAACACATCAACTAATCCACAATCTACTCACTCAAAAGCACAAACAATTCTGCAGTTCTTAAACATCATTAATCTGATGCAGACTTTTCCTTAGGACTTTTCTTAAGAACAAATTTAAGAAAAAACAAAGGAAGATAGTGGTGAATGAGGCCTATTGTCTAGAAGGCAGCATTTTTCTCCAAAATTTATTTTGCAGCTTTAATTGTGCCTTCACAGGTGTGCAAGTTAATCATTCCATTGGCACTAATGCATCCCCATACCATGACAGACCCTGGCTTTTCAACTTTACAATCTGGATCGTCCTTTTCTTAGAGGGCCCAGAAAATACAACGTTAATTATATCCATAAACAATCTATCACTGTGCATCAGTTTTTCTCTGAACATTGTTGACATATGGCATCCAAACATTTTTTTTACCGACAACGTTTTGTCAACGTATTACAGAGCCCATGATGTCTATCATAGAAGCATGGCAGTTTTTGTGGGACTGAAGGTCACAGGCATTCAGCTGTAGTTGAAATACCTAAAATCATTGCAAACAAACATTAGAGACATTGTTCTTAAACTGTTCTTGGCAAAGTGGTGAGCTTCAACGCATCATAAAGGACTAAGCCCTTCCTGGATGGTCCGCAAGCATAACTGCAGCATCTGTTCATGATGATTTTTTTAACTTTTCACAACATTCCCAGTCTTAAATAGCTCCTGTCACAACTGTATTGGAATGTGTTGCAGGCATCAATTTCAGAATGAATGTACATTTACCAAAAAATTAAATATAAGGCAAAACATCCAATATCTGTCTTTGTATTGTTTTTGTTTAAATATAGGTCAAAGTTGATTTGATAATCACTCCATCCTGTTTTTTTCAAAATGCAGTGTCACATACTGTCCCAACCTGTTTTTGGATTGAGGAGTTGTACCAACTATGCTATCATTACAGTTTTATATGCAGAGAATAAGCAAATACTATGTGCACATTTCTTTTCTGTTTACACAGAACTTATTATGTGCCCAGCTGTCCTGTCCCATCACCCTTTATAGGCTACTAGTCTTTCTGTTTCCAAACCAGTGGACACAGCTGAAAGGGGCACACTTGTAAAGCTAATAAAAGGATATTGAGGCAGGATGGGCTAGGACTGAGACAAATATATCTTAGAAAAATAACCTAGCAATCACTAGACTCAAACTGAAGCTATGGGTCAGCACACATGGATACAGATCAAACAAGTTAATCAGGGTTTGTTAATGTCTGAATTATGCACACAGTGTCAGAGGATAAGGGACTTGTCTGGATGCAGACACCACTCAGTTACTGTTGAGCACCTTCTCTTTACCTTGACTTTGGGGGAACGTAGCTGTTTGGAGGAAGGAGGAGGGGAGTGGGATACTGTGGGGAGTGGTGGGGTTGAGCGTGGGGAAGGGGGGGAGAATTTGGGCGAGGCGGGGGGTGATGTGGAGGTCTGAGAGGAAGGGGGAGAGGGATGCAGAGAAGCACTCTGGGTAACGTCTGCCTGCTAGGAAAAAGGGTGCAACACTTACTTTATCATGTAACAAAAGTAAAAATTTGATTTAGCTAAAGCATTTATATTTTGGCCCACATGCAAGGCATTCATCAGATAACTAACTGAAGGACAAGTGCTAACATTCTGCAGATAAAAACAAATCCTTTCGTAATGTATTTTTCGTGCAAGTATGTGTTCACAATGGAAAATGCAATGAATTACAGTATACTGTTAATAACTGTACTAGAACCACTAAAAATGAACTGTGGGACGTTGCACACCATTTACACTCACAGCGGAGGATTTTGAAATGTTCAAAATTTCAAATGAGAGTTTGATGTCTTTGTCCTGTATTTCTATATGACATTATTTGCTTTAGGTTATTAGCAACATCCAGCTGAGAATTTCAAAATATCAGATTTCAAAATGTAACCAGCCATCAGGGGTATACAGATACATAAATTTGCACTGATGGGGTTTTTCAAGATCACTTTCTGCTGTTGTTAGTGGTGTCATGGAAAGCAAATCACACAACCAAACCAAACACTACCTGAAGTTCTGACAACTCATCACGGACTGGGCAGACTGGGGTAAAGGTGTTTGGTAGCTGGGGCTCTGAGTAAGCCCTGCTGGCTTCGCTCGGCTCCTCCTCTATGAACAATCTGGGTAGCTCCTCTGTCACAGTAGTTGGTGCTGGCCTATAACAACTCGCCTCTTCCACAGTGGGGCTCTTTGATTGGCTGGCTTGGATGATGGACACCAGCTCTTCACACACATCATCCTCAGCTTCTCTGGAGGACAGCGTGTACTGACTGGACAAGGGGTGTTCTTGGGGTTCATAAACAACCAGGTCAACTGGGCTGCAAGATTTGGGTGGGTCTGACTTGGCAGAGCCACGGCTATCTTTGATATCTGAGAAAGGCTGCTCTTTTTCGAGTGAGCTTATAAGCCTCTGACCTATTGGTACCTCTATGACACTGTCGGGCCTGGGGCTGGAGCTGAAGGTGGGGGAGATGGGAGAAGGTGTGAAGGAGGCATAGGTTAGGTAAGGCTGGGGGGAAGGGCTGGGGTCGGGGGATATGTAGGACTTGGGGGAGCTGATAGGAATGAAGTGACCATCTTTGAGTGCTGGGGTGAGGTTGCGGGGTGTGAGGGCCGGCGAATGGCCAAAGATCAGTGGGTCCAGCCTCTCGTTATTGTGCTGGAAGCTGGAGGGTAAAGGAGGGGGCGTCGGGGCAGGTGTGGCAGAGGGAGACAAGCCCAGAGTGAGGGTGAGCCACTCGCCCGTCACAGCCTGCAGGTGAGCTGCTCTCTGGGTGCTGGGGGAGAGCGAGGGGTGCTGGTGGGGAGTGGAGGAGGAGAAGGGGGAGCTGGGTGTGGGGCGTGAAGATGATGGCTTAGGAAAGAGAGAGAGAGAAAGAGAGAGCATGAAAGAGGAAAGTAAAGGTACAGACTTGTGGAAAGAAGCAGGTAAAAGGAGATGAAAGAACTGATGACTATAAGCATTACTTTGGCTATACACCTTCATTATTTGTTAGTTACATTAGCCTCATAGCTCTTGTGCAAAACTAAAGAACCCAACTTCAGACCAAACATTGTTTTAATGATGACATACACTCACCAAGCACTTTATTAGGAACACTATACTAATACTGAGCAGGCCTCCCTTTGATCTCAGAACAGTCTCAGTTCTACATGGCATGGATTCCATAAAATGTTGGAAACATTCCTTTGAGATTCTGGTCCATGTTGACTTGATGCACCAAGCAATTCCTGCAGCTTGTTTCAGGTGCAGGCTATGTTTTTCCAGTCTTCAACTGTCCAGTTTTGTGCCCCCTGCAGCCTTCTGCTTTTGTAGCCCATCTGCCACAAGGTTTGTGTTGTGCATTCTGAGATGCTTTTCAAAATTGCTGCTCACCACAATTGTAAAGAGTGGAGTTAATATAGCCTTTCTCTCAGTTCGAACCAGTCTGGCTATTCTTGGTAGACCTTTCTCATCAACGAGGCGTTTTTGCCTACAGAACTGCCGCTCACTGGATGTGTTTTCTTTATTGCAATATTCTTAGTAAAACTCTAGCGACTGTTGTGTGTAAAAATCTCAAGAGATCAGCAGTTATGGAAATGGAAACCGGCCCATCTGGCACCAACAATGATGCCACAGTCAAAATCACTGAGATGGTTGATGCGGTCCTTACTTGAAGCTGCTGGCCTGTATCTGCATGATTTTATGTACTTCACTGCTGCCACAAGATTGGCTTATTAGATACTCAAACTCTGCATACTATCAGGGTTCATGTCATGTGTTCTCAATGTCATGTGTAATTCCACAGATTTTTCCAATTTTCTGCATAATTAAATTAAGATGTAAACAATAAATAAAGATATAAACTGATTTGATGTGAAAAGCACCATTTAAGAGAAACTTAGAGAGTCAAAAGTGTTCAAAACGGTGGTGATAGGAACCAGACATCTGAAGCATTTAATGCTTCTAAAAGCTCCCTCACAGAAAGTTATGTCATGAAATGGTTAGGAATATGCTGCCAGAGACGTTGTTATATGACAGTTTTGAGTTTTAGCCAAAAACATACCTTTTAAAAAGCCGTTCAAAGCAAATGTGTACATGCAAGGTATTATAAGATGACACAGCAATAAACAAAAGAATTTTTCAGATTTACTATTTTACCATTATCAGCATTACATATAAAACGGCTATTAATGCATTGCACACATCAATCCCTGGTTACTATCACCACCACTATTAAAAAGACAAAATAGCATAAGTCATTAACTTTTCCTACAATTACTCTGAATTACTCTGTCTCAACAACTGATCTATGCGGAAAAGTTGAAAAATGGGTGGAATTCCCTTTTAACATCTGGCATGTGAGTAAAAGAGTGTAAAGTGATAACTAGTAAGCACACCATCTGTGCATCACACTGTAGTACAGAAAATAGCCACAAGGTGGTGCACTGTGTTTGGTTTTCCTTACTGCTTATTTATCTCAGGCTTAAAACAAAATCAAGCAAAGCCATGACTATGACTAAATTATAACAACGATAAATTTTTGCATATATCTGGATATATACTAAACTAATTATACAAAAAGTATACAAATTATATAACAATAATGTATATATAAAACAATGAAACTAGATATCTAAAGCAGATACATGTTTTTTTCCACCAAGCTGATTAGCCATGAACTCTGTATTAACTCAAAAAGAAACAGATACAGTACTGTTTCTAAACCTAAAGTTTTACTACTGGATTGTTCAGTTAGTGAAGTCTGGAAAGCCACAGTGTCAGTTCTATTACCCTCTGCAGAAACCACCAGTAGAAGAACAGTGGAACTCAACCAGCACGTGCACACAGCAGCAAGCCACGTATGACAGTTTCCAGCCTGTAATTAGCCTGAACTGGCGATTGGCAGGGCAGGGTAATTAATCTGATCTAAGCTAGGTCTGCTTAAACTCAAGTCATGTGAGCAGAGGATCAAGCTGCTAGTGCTCAGTACTTTGGATGGAATTACAATTCAAGGGCACTTAATCTGAACTAACACAGAGTTAAGGCAAAACTAATCTACAGATGACAGGAGTGCTTTACTGAGGTGTCTGGCTCTCAGCCAAACAAGGCCCAATTAATCCAAGGCACATAAATGCTACTGAGACAACTTTGTGAGTGGGTTAATCCTGTCACCTTCATACATTCAAAGGAACTCCGCTTCAGCACCCTTCATACACAATATGAGCAGGAGATTTCTTCTGTCCCCTCTCTTAATCCAATTAACCCTTAGAAGTCTAGAGTTATTACTGACATTTTGCTATGCTAGTAAGTTCAAAAATTTAAATATCATTAATAGAAAAACAATTTTGTTGCTGGTGCATGTATAAAAATATTCTTTTATGATGCTGCTTCTGTACAACTTCATAGGTTTCAAACAATTGAAAGCATAATACAAATAATAAAAACTGTCAAGAAGGAGAAATTTTGATGATTAGAGCTGTAGGTGAATCTGTAACATTTGATAAATTTGTTTTTTGTTCTTTCTGGACAACTTAAAATATTGAATAAAACATCAATCTACACCGTATGTGATATATTGTATTAGAACATTATATTACATTGTATTAAAATAACAAGTGATTTCAATCTTTGTAACTGCAGAGTAATTATGTAATTATGAAAACAAATTAGATTTATATTTAGCAGGTTTGTGATTGTACTTCTGACTTCTTACCATTTGTGTCAGTGTCAAACCTTAATGGCAAAAATGAACAAGGTGTTTTTCATTCTGCAAAACACTGTATGTAGAAAAAATACTTTGCACTATGAATTATAATCAAATACATTATATGGCCAAAAGTGAACACCTGATCATCACACCTAATCCAAACCTTTTTGTACATTCCAAAACCTTTAGTATAGAATTGGCCCTCTCTTTGAGGCTATAACAGCCTCCACTCTTCCAGGAAAGCTTTCCATAAGATTTTAGAGTGTGTTTGTGGGAATTTGTGGCCCTTCAGTCAAAAGAGCATTTGTGAGGTCAGGTACTGATGTTGGACAAGAAGGCCTGACTCACAATCGACGTTCCAGTTCATCCCAAAAGTGTTCAGTGGGGTTGAGGTCAGGGCTCTGTGCAGGCCACTGGAGTTCCTCCACACCAAACTTGTCAAGAAATGACTTTAAACTGTAAAATGTCTCTGTATGCTGCAGCATTAACAACACCTTTCACTGAAACTACAGGGCTGAGCCCAAACCCTGAAAAACAGCCCCAGACTATTATCCCTTCTCCACCAAACTTTACTGTTGGCACTATGCATTCCAGTAAGCAGTGTTTTCCTGACATCGCCAAACCCAGATTTGTCCAGCAGACTGCCAGATAGTGAAGCATGATTCATCACTCTAGAGTATGTTTCTGCTGCTCCAGAGTCCAGTGGTGACATGCTTTACACCACTCCAGCTGATGCTTGGCATCGTGATTTAGGCTTATGTGCAGCTGCTTGGCCATAAGAGCCTATTTCACAAAGCTCATGTTGCACAGATCTTGTGATGATGTTGCTTCTAGAGGCAGACTAGAACTCTGTAGAGGATAGATGATTTTTATGTTCTACATGCTTCAGCACTTGGCATCCACGCTTAGTATCTACCACTTTGAGATTGAGCTGTTGTTGCTCCTATATGCTTCCATTTCACCACAATAGCACTTACAGTTAACCAGGGCAGATTGAGGATGAAAGAAATTTCACCAGCTGACAAGGTTGGCATTTTGTGACAGTGCCATGTTTAAAGTCCATGAGTTCTTCAGTACAATCCATTCTATAACCAGTGTTTGCATGACTATGTGTTTGGGTTTATGCACCTGTTAGCAATAGGTGTGGCTAAAACACCTGAGCTCCAAAATTAGGAGCGGTGTCCATATGCTTTTGGCCATATAGTGTTATTTATCTTCTACTTGCAAAGACACCAGTGGTATTTATTTAAATATTAGCATTTGCAATTCAGACTGATTTAATGAGCTAAAAGTGAAAAATAATAAATATAAAATTTGCTTTGCTATCACGCACTGGTAAATTGAAAAGGCCAGAGGTTGATTTAAAACGTTCCTGAGATTTGAACTTATGAACACTGCTTTTGTTATTTACTCTGTGTTTATTTCAAGCAAATAATTTATCTCACTTAAATTAAAACAGTTAAACTGTTTGTTACCAAATGAAGCACATTTTATAGGTTGAACAACAAAATGTTGTTTAATAGTGTGTGCAATAACTGTGACTTCTAAGCGTTATCATTTGTATTTTGTAAGTAGTCCTCTGGCTCACTGTCACTCAGGAAATAGACTTTATCATTCTGTATGTCCGTGCAGGAGCCCCTGGTGTGAGTAAAGCTCGTGAGTGACATGCTGGGGAATGAGATTGCTGGTGAAGGCTTACCCTGCCATGCACTCGGTCACTGGAGACACTACGGGGGAGAGAGCCTCCAGGAGGCTGGCCAGGACTTTTTACAGGGGATTTCTTGATGACGTCCACGTAAGACACTGGAAAGATGCCCTGTTTGTTTGTCTCTGGGATCCTGCCCTCGAACCAGTTCTGGTCCACCTGTCGCAGCAGTATAACGTGCTCACCCTGGAAGACATTAATAGCAGTGTAAAGAAGTGTAGTAGTGCAATAAGTATAAAACTGACTTCATGATGATTCCATTTGATGGAATTGTTTGGAAAATGATTCAATGCATCATGAAATCTCACATTTTGAAAACTACACAGAATACACAAGTGTGTCAGGAAGATTTTTTGGTGGACTTTTTTTGGCCAAAAATTAAGTGCACACTTTATAGAATATCAACAGAATCAGGAAGCATTGATGCATCTCTACAGAGTAAGCTTAATAAACACATCACACTAGCTTCTAACAATTGCACACCCCGATTTGTTATTTTGATAAAAAAAATAATACTAGTAGTAGTAATACTATTACTAACAAATATTCACGCTAAACTTCAAGAACTGGACAATAACTAATTAGCGTATTATATCGCCTTTTTTATATTTTAAGTGAAAGTAAGTTAACACATCCCCTACATCCTGTACATTGTAATGCACAAGTACATACTTGTGCAAAAGTTCTGGCACATTTTATATTTTACATTTTATTTTTCTAACTTGTTAAATTCAGCAAATTAAAAAAACTGTGCATAAAAACTGCACAAAAATGACACATTTAAGTTTGTTCCTTGTAGAAGATCTGTTAACTTCTTTTCATTTCATGCTTATTTCAAACAGTAAAGAAGCCTTGCCTTTCTTAATGAAAGCTCTACATTGGTGTCAGCGCTGAAGTTATAGCGTGCCACAGCTTCCCCAATCTCTCTGCTCTGGGCTGGAGGAGGAGGCCTCACAGGCTGATTTCTTTCTGACAGAGGGATTTTCTGATAACAGGAACACAACAACAGAGAAAGAGCAGTATGAAGAGGTAATCAATCACTTTACACAATGCAAAATGGGAAAAAAAACATAGGCCCCAGCTATATAATGGACCTGTCACAGTCATGAAATTTTAGTTGATGATTAATTGACATATTCAAAAATTATAAATTTTTAAGCCTAAAGTGGCCAAATTGGCTGATTAGATTCTTGCTTTCTAGTTGTTATTCAGTAGCTCTCAGGTGATAACACACTCAGCTCAAGCTCAAAAAAAAAAAAAAGTTCACCACTGCTCTCTAAAGCTGTTAGTTTCTTGCTGTTGCAATGTAAACAAACACTACAAACCTCCACATAAGAGATGGGAAAGATGCCCACTTTCCCATGGTGCTCTCCTTCATACCAGTTATTATCTATCTGTCGTGTGATGTATACAGTCTCCCCCTTCTTGAATGACAGTTCTCTGCATAAGATAGTAAGTAATTTAAGGAAAAACAATATTGTAAAGCAAAACCACAGCATGACTGATAACAGTATTTTATCATATATTGACTAAATATGAAAGTAAAATCACAAAAAATGCAAAAGAACATCACATTTCAAACATTTCTTACTTTGCTGTCAGTGCCTTGAAATCATAGATTGCTCTGGCTGGCAGTTTCTGTAGGATAAGCAAAACAGGGTGATCAATGTATCTACTGTAATGACAGACGATGTACAGTCCAATAGGACTTCTGTACAACAACCATGTAAAAGAACAATGAACAACTACTGACCTCTCTGACTTCAGGTGTAGGTCTCCTGGTCTGTGGAGTGTGTTGGCCCACATCAGGGTACGAATAACCTCTGGATATGTCTTGATCTAAAGGGAAGACAGAAACAAAGTCTGAGAAAGGAAAGCTTGGTTCACCCAGACAGAAGAGCCACTGCTATCATATGCAGTAGATATGAAATGTTGGGGTAATGGTGTGCTCATTCAGGGCAATGAGAAAAAAATACAGCAATAAAAAGACAAATCAACAAATAACAAACAAAAAGAATTATGTGAAAGAAGAACCTGATTTTCCTACATGCCAACATCTTTACAATCTCTCCTAAATGACTCCTACTGGTTATCACAGGGAGAAGATTTATACTATAACACTGGAAACAGATCCCCTGCATGGAACAAATGTATTTATACTAGACCCCCACATAGTGAGGATTTCCCAGTGCCAAATGCCCGCAAGGCTCTTTGCTCAGGAGAATTGTCATTTAAAAGGCCTTGGCTCTATGCAAAAGCAAATGGGGCTTCAGTCGTCAGCAAATGGCCATAAGGTTTATTTAAAGATCCTTGAAATGGAAAGCTGTACCTTGTGCCAATGTAAATAAACTATACCCACCCACATGCCATAAAGCACAGAGACCAATCGCAGGTCTCCTACCCAGTGGTAGGACAACATACAGCGTCAAAATTCGTAAGAGAGCCAAAATCCTGAACCTGTTTTTAGAGCGCGAGCTTCAGCTGCTTAAGTCATCTGTTCACAGCTATTTCTGTGGACAAGATTTTTAGAGTTGCGAAGTTCCATCTCTTTCATGGAAGGCCCACACACATAGTGGGTCCAGTGAAAAGGTATGGTAAACACTGTCATACAAAATGAAATACCAACAAAAACACCATCACAATTGTAAATGCAGGCAATAAACATTGCAAATCATAGAATGATATGGGGGACATGCTTCAGTGTGGTTCCCTTCAATGAAACCCCAAGACCCTCGCTCTACTCAAGCACATTCACAAACACAGATGGAGCATGGCAGTGGTGGGCATGAAGGGCAGTTGGAAAAGTAGAGAGCTCAAACACAAAAAGGGACAGCAGGGAAGTTGGGGGGCACAGGAGACGGATGAGTGGAATCCACCTTGACAGCAGTGCTGAGAGTCATGGTTCCTCTCGTCGTTGTTGTTGTCGTCCATGTGGTGGTTGGAAGCACTGTAGGCCAGGTGGGAGTACTCTGGCTGGTAACAGTCCTGGCTGCACATGCCATCAGGCTGGGGGTGGTATGAATGAAGGTGGGGCAAAGGGCTAGCCCGTTTCAGAGCCTGTAGAGACGCGGTCCTCTCTGGGATATCAGGAAGCAGCTCTGTCAACAGTCTGTGGAGGATGCTGTTGTCTGGCAGGCTGCCTTGATGCTTCTCGGCACGAATGTGTTCGTAGATGTCCTTCAAAGCCGAGTCCAGAGCGTCATACATGCAGCTCTTGGATTTTGGGAGAGAAGAATTCTTCTTCCTGCGAAATGGCACTGGACTGACCAGGAAGGCCAGCTTGCTGAGGCCCATCTCGGACTCCTCCACATGCAGTTGCTGCCTCCGGTCTTGTTTGGCCCTCTCATGTTTGATCATGGTGGTGAAGCGTGTGTAGGAGGCTGGGCACCTGCCTTTGCAGGAGCTCACCAGTTGTCTATGGTAATGGTGATGGTGCCCTGATCCACAGAAGCTCTCCGAAGAAGCGAAAGAGCAGTGGTCAAAGTCACTCTCACTGCAGAATGACGAGCCCTCGATCTGGATGAAGTCGCTAAGGTCGGACACAACGGCATCGTGGTCACTGTCTGAGAAATCCTGCTGCACAGTGGACTGCTGCAGGTGATCGCTGGTCACTTGGATATGGATTGGCACTTGAGCACGGATCTTAGTGTACTGAGGCCGGCCCTCCGGAGGATTCCTGGCTGCTGGCTCTTCGTCTAGCAAGGATTCGATGGAGTACCTGTGATTTGGGCTGCTACTCCTTCGGGACGGCCCCCTGGACTGGCACTCACTGCCGAGGTTTGGCATGGATTTGGATTTCTGGATCAAGCTCTCGAATTCCGAGATCCTGTTGTGTACCATGTCTCGTGGTACCTCACTGTTACAGCTGCTGGTGCCCAAGCGATGGTTCTTGTGCTGCTCACTCTCATACTTATGAATCCTAGCTTTGACAGAGCAGATTATCTCTGAATTTATGAGCTCTTGCCGATTGATGTGGTGCATCTTCTTGTAGAGTTTGAGGAAGCCTGATGCATCATGGGCAGAGCGATGTCTGCTGCGCTCTCTGAGATCCTCTGAACCCTGACCATTGCTGAGAGGAGATCCTTCTGGTTCTCCATTCTGCATTAGGGAACCGGTGCTCTCAGAGCGATTCCTTTCTCCTATTCCTTTCTCTTGGCCCTCAGACAAGAGGTCATCACAGCTCCAGGATTTGAGCTTAGGAGATGCCTCCTCTGTGCTAACCCACACCTCCAGATTTCCAGGACCTGTATGCCAGCCATTTTTTAGGCCCTCTGAGCAAGGTGTGATGACCGTGTCCTCATTCTGGTCATCATTTTCATATGTGGCTACTGAATTATGTGAGGTACCGTGGTGCAGACTTTGACCATTCATATGTGCTGAGTGCATTGTGCTAATATCCCCACCTTAGATATCCACCACAGGCAGCATGACAAGAAAGAGACACGAGAAGGCATTAACATGTAATTGGCTCTTGGGCGAGAAAACGCTTTTTATTACATCCCAAGGGAAAACTGAAAAGAGGTTAGACATCCTCAGCAACAAACCCTCTCCAGAACACATCAGGAGCAAGTGAAACGGTATCTTAGCTGATACTGTAAACAATAAATAATTCATTTGGCTAATTTATGCAAAAGGAGAGCCTTTTTAAGATTCTGCTCCTGCGCTTAGCTCAGACGAGACATGGCTAAAGTGAAAACTTTTGCCTAGCGTTTACATTTCCAATGAGCCCATAATGAAGTACGATGTTTTGATATCTGTTATGCCTACCTTTTGACCTGGACAGGGAGGAGGAAATGGAGGGGGTGCTGGAGAGAGGCTTCTTCTGGGTGATGCTGCTCCTGGGTGGCTCTGACAGACGAGCGGCAGGAGCCTCGGTTGCTCTCGCTATACTCTGGGTAGAACTCAGACTGCTCTGTGGCCTGGACTGGGTAGTTGCAGGTTCTGACTTCCGTCTCTTTCTATTATCACTGGCAGAGCTATGAGTGGTGAGAGAGGGAGAATAACTGAACTGAGTTCAGAAAAATTTCAATCTTTGGACTAGCCAATATACTGAGGGTCAACAAGAGAGCACACCTTTGACAGAACTAACTTTTCAAAATCTACTTAACAAATATGACTCTGCCAAACGTTAACATTCAGGATGCACTGATCATGAATCTTTATGGCCAATTCCGATTCTGAGTCCTTTAATTTTGTTAACAGATTTTTATTAAGTCATTTTTTTCACCTAAAGCTGGCACTATGTGAACTAATGAACACACTTGCAGTTTAAAGTCACAATATAACTAACATTATTTGTGCTTTAACTAACTAGGATTTTAAATTCTAAATTAATTCTTAATTCTTAAATCAGTTGCCTATTTAAATAAAATGAATCAAAGTGCTCCAACAAAAGTAAGATACATCTGACTATTTATCACAATGAGTCATACACAACTATGCTACACTATTTAAATACAGCCATTCTAATACAGCTATTGCACTTACCTGGCTCACAAAAGTGCAACACAGATTGGTCCAAATCAAAGTAATAAATTGGCTGATTGTCATTCATGTGTTTGGAGCAAAAATCTAGTATCATATTAAATAGAGGGTTTCTTTGCAAACTGCAAGAACTGAAAGAACAATAGATGAAAATAATGGCATAGCCTAAATATTTTATCCCCTTGATGTCATATCAGTACTCATCAGGACTCAAACCTTTCACATATTTAATTTGCCTTCAGGGCAAAAGATTTCCAATATGTGCTTTTTATGTGCAAAAGTTTGGAAAAGAAAAATGTCAAATTATTCTTTAGGCAACACCTGCACTTGGGCTAAATTGGGCTGACGCATGCAGTTGATGAGGGTCTTAGGATCCTGACCCTGACAGCACACTAACACAAGGTCAAACCAGATAGTGACTGATGTCCAACCGACAGTGCAAGGACAAGGCCTTTTCAGCTGTCCCATCATTCAGATCTTTTCGTAGCTGTGCCAATAATTAATCAAAAACTTACTTGGGTAATACAAGGACAGACACATAGTTCATTCTAATCAAGAAAAGACAACACAATGATCTGCTTCCTGAATATTAAACTAATAGTGACTCTCGTACAACAGAGAAAAGCAGCTTACCTCGAGGGCCGTTCGAGGCTTCTGTCTGCAGACGGCTGATAAAGGGAGGTCTGAAACAGAAAACAAAGAGTAAAGTGATTTCTTCAATTGTGCAGAGCAGTAGGTCTCACTCATTCCCAACACAATGAGCAGCTGTGCAGAAGCTGCCCCAAATGCTGTGCTGCAAGTCCAAAAAAGATATGTAGCCACAGAGCTGTCAAATTCTCTTTGTCTAGATGCCTTGACATGGAAAGTTCTTCTTAAGAAAAAAAAGAGCTCAGACTCAGACTCCCAGAGCAGCTGGACACAATGGGTCACTTACGAGCATTTCGATGTCAAACAAGGCAGGGAACTCCTTGTACGCATGGCTGAAGTAGATAATCATTTTCTCTTCTACTGAAGCCCCGAGGAAGCTCATCTGGAATAGTTCGCCGGGGCTGCAGGAGACGCCCATCTTTTTTTTTTTTAACAGCCTTTAAAAGTAGCGTCTGTGTGATGCCAGAAATGTCCGCTCGCTGTGACACATTTGTGGGTAGTAAACATAAATAAAGTCCTAAGTGACAGCTACCTCGCGAGCAAGCTTAATTGGGCCGCGAAACCCCCATGACAATTTTAAGCAGCTCTCTGTATGGTTTTATAGCAGTCAGCCAAACATAACTCCAATTGTGACCGCCCACCACCTCTTCCAACAATGGAGCTGCATGCACTACTAGCCAGTGACATACAACTTTAAGACCACCACTGTTCCTTACTACTCAGAGTTGTAACTGGTAACTGGTGATGTAATGAATAATTGTAAGTCACATGGAGTAAGGACTGAATGAGAGCAGGGAACAAACTAATATGAGGTGAAATGCAACTTGAATATTTTATGTAGTTAAATGTGCTTTTGCATTACCCTGAAAATTGTTTTTTTACCATAAGATTAACTTGTATTATCATACGTGTTTTTGATTACTGAATGTATAAGTCACAGAATTCCCACCTGTATTACTTTAGTCACACTCTTGGTGGCTGTAACTTAGCACTATTTTGAGGTAAACAACTGTGCAAATAACTCACAATGAGAAGCTAAAGTATTGCCTCCACACAGCATCGTAAGGTGTAACAAAGTACTGAGAGTCCACATTCTCCGATATAAATTCAAAATCATACATTTTTTGGAAGTTTTTATGCATATATTATTCAGAAACATCTTCAATCTTGGTGTAAACAATACATTTATATATTTTTACGCAATATTATATCATTTAAATATATTTTTATATATTTATGTTGGAAAGCTTCTCTGGGTCAAAATAAGGAAATGCGCATAATGTTGATATTTAAGTATTCGGATATCTGAGTGACCACATAATAAATATATTAAAAAAATAATAATAATCAATGGTAAAAAAAAAAACAATATTGGCCCAAATCAATATAAAGCTGTGGCTTACTTTTTTAGGTGACAGCACTGGTGTTGCGCAAAAATTTGGCATCAAAACATGTTTTATCATTAAAAAAAAAATAGGAGAGGGAAAAAAGTTTTCGTATAGGATGAGTAACATAACAGACAAGCCATAGAGCTAAAAGTATAGCTAATCAGTAACACTGGATGCTTTTGCCTCTTCAGTGGACAATGTGCCAACATGTTAGTTTGCTAGAGAAATATGTTTTAACTTTTTCTGGACCAGGCTAACATCAGTCTAGTCATTTTAGTTATAAAGCTGCATTATCCTAAACAACATGCCCACGTTAAGGCACTCGCTTTGCAGAGTAGCAAAGTATAAAAATACAAGCAAAACTTTCACGTTTTACACTTGTGTTAAAACATCAACTAAGCATTTAATGGAATTCTTGGTCTATATATTTTCTCTATCTTCATGTGATGAAATGTAACAAATACCCAAACAATGATTTCAGTACTCGAATACTGGCACCTCAAATGGTTAACTGAGTACTCGAGCACCCAAGTAAATGTATTTTGCATTGCTTTACCCCTTCATCTGTTAAAAGTGACAATCACAGGTGCGCAGGGCTAGTTGTAACATTTACACACAACATGTACACACACTTTTTCATAACAATTGTTCATACAATGTAGGTGCTGGAAACAAAGTTTATCATTTGTAGCAGAAATGTGTAGATTATCCTGACCTGCACAGTATTACAAGGCAATGTTTATCAGTCAGAATATAAAACAACCTTCAGCACAAATGTCATGCACTAGACAAATGTTATGAAGGAGCTGGCTATGGCTATCTGTCAAAGGTGTCAGTTGGCTAATTTTATGTATACAGGAAAAAAAACATAATGAAACAGGGTGTGTCATTTGATATGTAGGATACTCTGGCTTAATACACGTACTTTGACTAAGGCCTGATGGCTTAGAACGTGTCTATACTATGAAGTAACTAGCACAGGAAATCATGATGTACATACACTGTATCATACAGTCTGTATCGTATCATTCTCAGTAGCTGGTTTTGACAAAACAGACAGATGGTTTTGATGGTGAATGGTGAGCAAGTGATGGGAACTGAAGATTGAACTGATTTTTAACTGTGTTCCTGTCCTGCTGTACATTTTCTTTTACTTTGTCTGGCATTCACCCACTTGCCCTCCACCCCAACTCACTGATTACCTCATGGTAGTTTCGGAGAGTGCTCTCTGGATTGTAATCCAGGTGTTTTTTAGGAGGCTTGACCCAGAGGAGGAAGAGATAACAGGAGGAGTGGAGATGGCAGAGTCACAGATATGATGGGAGAAAAAGGAGGAAGTAGTTACCTGACTGCAGAGGAAGAATCAGATGACATGCCACCTCACACCAGCACACAATACCACGCTGCACAATACCTATCACTGGTCACTATGAACATAATTACAATTAGGGGTGCACAATATATCAGCAGCTGATGTAACATTTGGTAACAAATAGGTAAATGTACAATGTTGTTACAGTCGATAATTACAGCTAATAATTTAGTGCTTTTAACTCGAGCGTGTACTGACGCACGTGAAGCATTTGTGTTTTTTTCATCCCACTCAAATGGGTAGCATAATGGCTAAAAGAACAATCCACACAATGCAACACTGGATGTTTTGTGTCCAGGCAGGAACACCACTAATGTTGCACTCATGTATCACAAGTGGCTTGGAGGCCACAACCGAAACACAAAAAGTTTTAGTCTGTAGGTGGAGTCTTATTTTAGCCACACCCCTGCCTTCTAGAGCAGGAAGTGAGACTGCATCCCTGTCCCTCATGGTCACATGGTGAGCAGTTAGAGCCCATTGCTTTGAAGTAAATGTGTCCCAAAGTCTGAAAATCAGGGTCACTACGGAACACATATTTTCTGCAATTCAGTATTTTTTTTGTGTTTTAATAAAACATATTATAATTTTATTTGAACCCTGACTTTGAACGAATTCAGCAGAATGATCCATTTAACTTATTTTAAAATGCAAAAAAAAAAAATATTACACAAAAAAAGCATATCAGTTGATGTCATTGGAAATAAGTATCAGTTATTGTTATCAGCCCAGAAATTCTATATTGATGCATCCCTAACTACAATTATCCCTCATATTTCACACCAAAGTAGCAGTAGATCATGCAAGTGCTGTTAAAATCAAACCTGCCGTTTGCATTACCGGCTTCCTAAACTGCAGAGTTTAACGTGTGAAGAACACAGGCACCCAAAGACACAATGCACAAGGCCAAAATGTTGGAAGGAGGGAGCAGAACACCTCAGTAAATGAGATCATCTCTTGATCTTCACACATTTTTAACATCCTGCATTTAGCGTCTCTGCTCAATCCAACCAGCACTAAGGCAGCTACTGTGGCAGTCTAAGCTAACAAGCTTCACGCCAACCACAAGTGCCATGCTAGCACCAAACCAAACACTCAAGATTGGACCTCACTTACCGGCCGACCAAACTCCAACTCAGCAAAGAACTTATACCAGGGCTCATTCTCTAAATCTAGCTCATCTGGGTTTAAGTTACTCTTCTGGTTTGCAGATTGGTGAGACGTGGGGACAGAAGAGAGGGATGAGAGGGAAGGCAGGAATGAAAGGGAGTAGTTATGGTCACAGAAATGCAGGTGTCACAATGAGAAATGGCTTTGACCGGAAAGAAACTGTTAAGTATGAATCCAGGCTTGTTCAGTGCAAAGAGTCTTATGCGCATCAATTGCTGTGCCCTTATTCATCCAGTAGAGAGCAGTAGCACCAAGACAACATGATTACTAATAGACTAATAACAGTGTGTCCTCCTATTTGTGCAGATAACCACCTCGACCCCTGAAACACCATAATTAACTCCTTGCACAGAAATTACACCATTACACAAATGAGACCTAAACGTTCATTAGGAACATCATTTGACAAACCTTCTCAAGTTAATAAAAATATATTCTTAAGACACAATAGTCATCTCCGTTTAATACAGAAACAAATCATAGCCTAGACCAATAACAGATGGCGTGACATTAAGAGCACTGATGGCCCCTGGCACTGGTGACACATTTGGACTGGTTGATTGATTTTATGTAATGATGCCTGCTATTGGGCCCAAGGTCAGAATGTGCTGACAGGGATTTTTTCACTCTGTTGTGATTTTCAGTTAGAAAATGAAAATGACCACATGCTTTATCAGTGTGATGCTACCTCTTGGTATCAAACAATGGAGCTACAATCCTTAATTTGGAAATGTGTGGTAAAATTTGATTGCAGTTAAATAGCCACAATATTAGGGCGTGTTTGACAAAGATATCGTAGCTGCCGGGACAAACCCTGTATCTCTATTTTTGTCATTTTCTGTCATAATTTGTAAACAGCCATTGCTATTTACATTGTACAAAAAGTTCACAATGTATGGGCCACAAGAAATGGTTTGAAGTTACTTGGAAAAATATCTTGTTTCCTTCCATCATAAGTTCTCCTGAAAAGTTACCATTTTGGAGATACAAGGTTTTGTTCCAACAAAAACAATATGTATGAAATCACTGAAATTACAGCAGCCACCACAGTTTCAACTTGTCCACCGTCTCTCTTACTTGCAAAAGCACCTCTAATAATACTATTTCAAAAGGTAAAACCCAAAACCCAGAGTGACCTTACCGCCCTCTCCTGCTCTAGAATGGAAGATTTCCCTGGCTCATAGTCAAAGATACTCCTGGGCTCTGCTCTGTATTTTCGAGTGTCCACTTTTCTTTCTGGAGGACCCCATTCATTCCTAGAAGCATGAGAGAAATAATAAAATCTTTATATAATATCAACTAAACACTTCATCCCCTCTTCAGTCTAAAGATTATTGCCTTATGTATGTAGTACACACTGGGTGAAGAGTAGACAGTCATATCTTAACATGGTAATCATAATCAGCCTGCACGCACCTGAGAGTGAAACCCCAATATTCCCAAGAAAGCTGTTACTTCAGACAGATCTACACCATGTTTTTTTTTTATAGTAAGTGTTCTGGATCTCACATATTGAGTGTGCTGCTTCCTCCCTGGCGGATGTCCTGGTCATGTGATCTGGGCTGAGCTGATGATGAGGTGGGCAGGGGAGAGGAGGAGGGCGCTCTGAAGCCACATGTGCCGTTATCAGAGATGCTCTTGGTGATGGGTCTGTATGTAATGCTCTTAGGTGCAGGGTGTGCTTGGACAGTATTAGATGGGCCACGCTTCTCTGAAAGAAAAAAAAAGGAGAAATGTCTACAAAGCTCTGTGGGCTGTAAATCTCTTCAGAATAAAAACAGCAAAAGTCCCACTGCTGAATCTTAGACTCTCATGATGCTCCTTTGTGGTCAACTGAATTTCTGGACAAATTAACAATGTGGGCCAGTTTCGTGGACCCTGATTATTAGTATTTAAGCAAACTGCAATGTCAATGGTTTCCTTTCAATTTAGTCTGGGCTTAGGCTTAATCTGGGGCCAGTATGTGTTAATTCAACACTACGTGTCTTAACTCAACACTGGGACTTAAACAGAATCAGCAGCATTTGTGATAAATTTAGTTGCCAATATCAACGATAGATCATCACTTCCAAAGACATTTTTAATGTTACGTGAACAAGATACATACCAGCGTTCGTAGCAGGAAAAGTGGCGTTATGGGAACCAGAATATTCAACCTCTGTAAAAGCAGATTGATCCCAGAAATAAGCAAGATTACACAAAACCTAGCAGTGCAAGTGACACAAATGATGCATTTAAGTTAAAAAAATCAAACTGCCAAATTTTCCATCAGAAAGATGCTTAAGACGAAACATAATTGAAGGAGCATAATGAGTCAGAGGGGGAGATCAGGTGTCGTTCTTGTCCAGTGTGCCTGCTCCCCAACCCCCGTAACCCCCAGGGACACATCCTGACAGATACTGCTGGGACTGCACAGTACAGGTTTCAGCAATGATGCAGCTCTAGTCCACAGTCTGCTGAATAAAGCTATTTTATTGTCATTCCATTTTCGAAGCTTGTCAATTCTCCTCTCTGTAGATAACAATTGAGCCCTCAGGGAGTACGGTCCATGAGCAAATGGTAAGAGCAGATGTCTTTCATCTACTGGATTTAATTGAAAGCCATAATGGGCAGTTAAATAGTGTGCTGACTATGATGAATTAAAACTAATGAAGAACATGCAAATAATGTAAAAATGACAGGATTATACAAAACACATAACATCAAAAACATTACAATGAACAAATTATTCTAATTATGGATGTGGGACATGAAGGTCAAATGTGAATAGTTTAATTACACTGACCAAATTAGATTACATAAGAATTTTAAGTGCTCCCCTGTGTTTGTACATCAAGGTCATTTTCACTATTAGAATGCTTGTAGATGATAAAGATTACATAAGCATGCAAGAGATAAAATGTTCTGTCTTACCTGGTTTATGCACCACATGAATCTGCTTGAACATAGTCTTGTACCAGTCTTTTGGCCTATCCACAGTCTAAGATAAACACCACACAGAATAAAGCATTCTCAGATCGGCAATGATAAACAGTAAAAGGGTGGTAGATAGTGCTCAAGGCGCTGCTGATAAAATGAGAGTATGATGAAAATGCTGATATAAACTGGGTTGCTGTGTTGAGCTGAGAGATACAACACTGTTGTCTGGTTGCCCATCAATGATGCTGACCTCAGCAGCCCCCTGCTTCCCCAAGGCTAAATAAAACTCAATGTGAGAAAATGCAATTTACTGCCACATCCAAACAGCCAGTCCCACATGATAAGAGATTGATTGCCTGTTAATTCTAGAATTACCACAGGCTGACACTTTAGAGTGAGAGACCAACCCTCATAAAAAACACCAGTGCAAGCTATTATCCAAGCCTTTAAATAACAATAATGTCAGTGTGTTTTGTACTAAACATAACACAGACATGACATTTCTGATTTTGACTAATACAAAGATACCACAGCAATTTTCTAGGACTATATAGCATCCATCTATTTGGCACACTTTAAGCTGCTTCACAGTATTTTTTTCATCAAAGCCAAAAATCAGTTTATCAAATCAACAAAATCAGTTATCTAAATTTCAGAGCTTTAGCTAGTCTTCACATGCACTTTCTCAGAACAAAATAATGAAACTACAATGCACACCACAAAGCACAGAAACACACAAGGTGCACTTACCGTTCGGATGGCGATGGGTATGCCAGACTCATCCACAGGGCCAATACCAGAGTAGTGGGGAGCTCTGCCCACTGTACCTCTCCTTTCGTCCTCTGGAGCACGGACAGGAGCCACAGAGCCCACGTTGACATAGATCGGAGTGCTGGACTCAGCAGCTGGAGGGAGGGAAGGAGATAGGATCAGATCAAGGTGTTGAAGTTTGCAAGAACGCTGTGTGGACTATAAAGAGCTTCTGTATCATTGGATGACACAACCAGCCATGGGATCCTGCAGCGCCACGGATTACACATCAAGTGAAGTGAGCAGATCCACTACTCCAACACAATGACAGGTAAAGAAAAGCAAATCTAAATCTTTCTTTACAAGCAAGTACGCAGTCCAAAACCTTTACATGACCAAAAAGCTCTTATTCTGAAACAATGGAGAGCCTTAAACCACACGCAGACTCATTAATCCCAGTGCCCAAGCCCCTCCCCTGCCCCCAAACACTCCGTCACTCAGACATGCGCTTAATCTCCGTCATTTGCTGCTTGGGATTAGAGAGAGATCACCGGATGCAGACGCAGAGCAGAGCAGAGCAGAGCAGCAGACCTGAATGAGGCAACATCACGTGCACAGAGTGCAGCACTGACGCTAAACTGAACTGTGACCACGCATTCACACTCATTAGCGCTGCATTAGAGCTTGGCATGTCACATCAGTGACATATCAAGAAGCATGAGGGGTGAAATATTCACAGCTGCTGTACTGTGGAAATGCACTTGTACAGAGGGATCAGATGGACAAATGTGGTACAAACATCAACTCACAAACTTTATTTTTTTTCATTTAATGTGCTCAGAAATAATCTATTTGACCTGTCTAGGAAAGAACATGTCACTTATAGAGAGTAAATTTCAGATTTGAAATATTTTTAATATTTTTTGTGGCTTTAATCCATCTGAACAACTCAGAAGGAACAATTACGATTTCCTTATTTGGTGAGATTTTTCCAATTATCTCCCCATTTTATGTTATCATTTGCTGCCCACTGTTTCAATCTCCCCTGTTGTCTCCATCTGGGAGTGTACAGACAAGCACATACTTTTTTGGGACACATGAAGGTGGCCACTGCATCTCTGTGGAACTGCTGCTCATGCAATATTTCAGATCAGATGAATGCACATGCGGCATAGTGCTGGCTGTCCATTTCTGTCCAGGCAGACACCTACAGTTGGTTTGTGCTGCTACAGATTAACAGAAGAGAGGAACTAAGCTATCCCCGAAAGCAGTAGGGCCAATTGTGCTTGCTTGAATTCCTTGCCACAGAAGGCTGCAGCACTGTCAGGCTTTAAACTCCTGGCAAGAGGATGCAACCCTCTTGCTCTGTTCGGGAGCCTCAGACAAACAGATTGTAAACAACAATGCAGTGGGTTTGGCAACTGGAGGCACGTGTAAGAATCAGAGCTTGTACTCACCAGTGCTCCGGCTCTGCTGCATGGCTGAGAGGCTTGGGCTGAGAGACGGAAGAGGGGGGTACGTGGAAGGAGAGAAGGGTCTTTGATGGTGACTCTTTAGGCTTGAAGCCACACCTATGTTCCCATTCACAGTCATCTGCCCCTAGGTAGCAACATAGAGGAAATAGATGGGATTATTGAAAGCACTTTTTTTGTGTATAGTAAACACATTAATCACTGTATTCAGTCACGCTAACAATAGATCAAATTATGTTATAACTATCAACATCTGAGAAAGGCATCAAGTCAGAAGAGACTTGTAAAATGAAAACTTCCCAAAAGACCAATGACATTAGTAGTAGGGAGACAGAGGAAACAAAGGGTTTAGTTGTTTATGTCTAAGAAATGGATTAAAAAAAACCCACTGTGAGGAGATTAAGACCTCTGATGCCAATAAATGTATTTTACCAAGACGATTTAATCTGGTTTTAAGGATTTAATCAAGAATACATTTATGACAAAAGAACAGAAAGTAAGTGTTAGAACATAACTGCAGGAAGGAAGTGAGATGTGACATGCTTTTGTTACAGCTTTTTCCCATGTACGCCCGCAGTGTTAGTAGAGAGTCTCATCAACGTCATGATCTCATCCTGTACCCACACTCAATACCTCTTTACAAAGAAAAGGTGTTACCTAGAGAATCCCAACACTAAACTGAACTATGAGATCAAGGGAAGCTGGAAGGCAAAGCCAGTCAGTGAGTTAGTAGGGACTCTGGGCTCGTCCAATAAAAAGCAAATGCAGATCTGGAGAGGGGGCATCATTAGTATTGTTCCAAACACAAACATTCCAGAGGGAAGAGGCGATAAAACCAGTCAATGTGAATCACAGGGTGGTTGGTTTCTGAGGATTAGGCTCTTGAATGTGGTATAAAAGAAGGAATGAGAGGATGAATAGAGAGAGGCAAAGAGTGGTGGATGGAGGGAGGGCACCAAGCAATCAAACAGAATGAGAAAGGGAGGGAAAGGGCAAAGGGAATGTGTGGGAAAAAAATAAAAAGATACTACACAAAAACGATAGATGGACAAGGAAGCAGAGGCCAGAAAAGACAAAAGTAACAGAGAAAGTTTAACATGGACAAGAACGTCTTGACCGAAAAAAACAGCAGCTTTAGTTAACTCAGGAGGGTGACGCTTTAGACGGTGACAGTCTAGGAGCAGAAACTAGAGTGGGTGAAAGTTGAGAGGTCCAGTGGGAAAACAAAACTCCATAAACAAACACAAAGAAGGGAGTAAGACAGACTCGATGGTGTCCAGCGGCTGGTGGATAGTTACATTAGCGGTACTAGCTGCAGGGGCATTTAGCGCTGTTTCATCAGTGACAGTGCTGAGCTGGCTGAGGGTGGGTGAGGGGGTGTCAGAACCGCCCTCTGGGTCTAGTCCACATGCCCTTAGCTCCTCCAGCACGGCTGTGGAAGCCTCGCTCTGAGTTCGGGAGGAGCAGCGACTCAGCCCCAGTTGCGGCTCCTGGCTCGGAGAGGGAGGCCCAGGGGAAAGGGCCTGGGGCTGGATTTCAGAGTCCCTAGAGCAGGTGTTGTCAAGGGAGAGACGGGGCCTGTAAATGGGGGAGTGTGATGGTGGTGGTGGTCCCGGATAGGACAGTGGAGCCTCACGCTGGATGACAGAGAAGAAAGCTGTATGTGAGCTTCAGTCACTGAAACAATGTGAGAAAGTGGTAGTGTGATGGAAATGATGGATGTGTATTAGTGAGACTCTGCTTCAAGACTCAAGGAGAAGGTGGTAACTAAATGCTAGGTGTGTAACAATACACTGATGTATCATATATGAGTCATTTAGTGAAAAAAAGGCTATTTGAGTCCACAAAATCTGATGTAATGTATGAGAAACAAAATTCTCTCTCGCTCATTCCCATACATTGTATTAAATATTTTATTGTAAGTGAAAAAGGCATGTTTTTACTTTTGTAAGAATTTAGATTTTTAAGAATATATATGTCCCCATTAGGTACTCGAGTTTGAATGCTATTGAAACACTAAAATCACAATTTGGGTACTTGTTATGTTTCATTGTGGGAGGACAGAAAAAATTTACAGGCTAACAATTCATGGAAACATGGTGGTTTTGCTCATATTTGCAAGTTAATATGTTCCATCTTACTTTGCTGTTCCAAAACCACATGTTGGCACAGCATCCAGCGAGAAGAAAATAGCTTGTGTAGAAGACGACAAGTCCGCATCAGCATCCAGCATGACACTGGTTAGCTTTGTTAGCTTATTAGCGTATCTGAAGAGGCAGCCACCATTACTCTTCCAAGATGAAAGCCTACCGATGTTCCTCCGCAACTTGTTATATTTTTGTGCAACACCAGTGCTGTCAATTAAACAGGTAAGCTTACAGCCCTTCAATATTTTCATCCAAAGCTCATTTTACTTTTTCTTCCTTTCTCACGGTTAACCTGATATGTGTTCATGAGCTCCTACGGATACTTGAATATCAGCAAAATTTGTCGAAATGCACATCCCTAGTTCGAAAATGAAGCCACTGAGCTGCTGTTGTAAATATTACTAATAAAACATTTTTATTAACATGAAACCTTTGCCAGGCTCAGATGTATATCAGTTCCCACATTAACACAAAATATATTAATTGAACATAAAACATGAACATTATAAATGATCTAGTTTTGCTTTCCACTCCATCACACCTATTTAGCTATAGAATACCGTACTGTCACAGTAAATGGCATGATGAAGAGTCAGTGACTTTCTTTCAGAAGAATGAAGTTATAAAACTGGTACATTTTGTGGTTATTCAACATAGATAATTTAAAGTTTTCTACGTCCTTTATGGGGTGCGTCAAGCATAACATAGCCACCTTATCACACAAAATAGAGTTTTTAAATTATTTTTTGTACAAAATTCACAGGAAAGTCATGCAACTTACTGTTCAGAAACGTACATAGAAGAGTCTAACTTTGATAACAGGGAGCTTGGCAGCCAGTTTTCAAATTTTGAAATATTCCACCCCTTCACAATTCCCTCTGCTACAACTTCAGTATGATGGGGTTGGATTTCTCAGTGTTATTTGGCAAAAAATACTTACTTTTTTTTTTGGTAACAATACATCATTGAAACTATGGAGCCTATGTCAATTTGGAACTGATCTCATATATTGCAGTGCAGAGCCATTGTTCAATTATTTTGGTTTGTGTATCACAGATTTACTTCTATTATTGTTGAATATATGACAACATAAGATTTTTCCACACTGTTATGTACAGTTTATGCAAAACTTGGGGTACCCTTGGTCAAATTACATATTTTGTTACACACATTTCTGCACATTTTATTACACAATTAATGTTTATTTTCTGAATCTAACTTATTGAAAAAATAATTAAATGGCCTGTGCAAACGTTATGGCACATTTTTGATTTTTCAATATGAGAAACTCAGCAAAAAAAAAGAAATTATGCACAATTTTTTTCAGGAAAATGCCACATCTACATTTGTTCTTTGTAAAGGATCTGTTACCTTATTTTCACTTCGAAAATCAACAAAACATTTCATTTGACCAGGAGTATTTAAATGTTTGCATACAACTGAATATGATAACGAAATGCAAAGTGCTTCAGTAAAGGTTGGTGTATTGTTACACCCGTAAAGAATACAATACAAGATACTGGCTGATGGTATGAATATGCATTTAAAAGCATTATGAAAAAGCACCTATAAAAGCTGTATGCACATTCATTAAAAACTTCACAGGAGCCTACATTAAAAGCAACAAAATAAAAATTAAATTCAGAAGTTGGCAGGATTCAGTGGCCAACAAAGCAAAGAACTGCAATGCTTCTATCTGTAACTCACAGCTTATTTCACACTACCATAAATATAACACAGTCACTTGATGTGGAAGGTTAAATGTGAGGTCATTTTAAGTTCAGTGAAAAATACACAACTACTATATTGCATCTAGACCAACCTGACCTTGAGAACTGACTGCGCTGCGCATTAGCGTCATAGCAACTTGAGATTAGTAGTTTGGCATGGTGCACTACAATGGCGTGGAGTGTTACTATGATTATGGAATGGTGACTATAATTACAAACACATGTACCACTTGTTGGGCTGCAGGGGGCAGTGGAGGGCGAGAGAATGTGCTGGAACCAGGGAGGTCCATCCTTCTAGGTGGAGTGGGGGGCCTGAGAGACACAGCCTGGATGTATCTGGCTTCTGTCTGAGGCTGAGGATTAATGCGTATTGACATGGAAGCTATGTGTGTCTTCGGCTTCCTAATTGGGCTGTGTGGTTCGGGCTCTGAGGGCCATAAGCGGATGCTATGCTCCTTCGATGAGAGCGTCTCATTGGCAGATGCAATGGGGAGAGGCTGTTTACAGTCAGTGGTACTGGAATCAGAAGATACGTTGGCTCTTGGGTCGGGCTGCCATGAGATATGCTCTGAGCTTGCGCACATGGTTTTCTTGGAGAATGGGCTGTGTGTAATGAGCAGTGGACCATGATGGCATTGTATAAGAGAATTAGGGAGGCTACATGCTCCTGAATTACAGTCAGCAAGGTGAAGTGGAGAGTTATCTCTCTGAGGAGAACGGCCCTGTGCAGCCATGACAACATGTGCAAACAAGCAAGAAAAGAGATACAAAAAGAACATCTATTAGGAGCCAAAATATGTACTTCACAAATATCCGTCTTATCTGAAGTCCAGAAAATATTGCCAACTGTTTGCAACCCCATTTGACATTTTGTGGAGGTTATTTAAACTTTGAAAAGGCTACACATTCACACATCTCTCTTTTCTTCACTTTTTTAAATTGAAAGAGTAGTATGTGATATGACTTAGACAATTTGAATCCTCAGAATGGTATGTTAGTATTTGTTTCCTTATTTAGTTTATTTAGTTAGAAGCTTTTTCTGTTAACTCTTTAGACCACAATGATGTTCTAGAACACTCCTGTGGATTCATGACAATTTTCAAAGTTAGACTCTTATTTATCACTGTTTTAAACAAAACTGTTTATCATAAAACCAGGAAAAAAAGCCAATTACTCACGAATGGACATATTAGGCTATAAAAATCATGTCAGTACCCATGTAACAGCTAAAGGCTGAAAACAGCCCAACATCCCCTATGATTTCACAAGTCACCTTTTTTTTCTTAACCGAAGCAAGATAATGTTTACACAAAGAGAAACATTCATTTGTTTGGCTATAGTTTTGACATTCAGGTGAAAAAGCTGAGCCTCAGATATATGAATTTAGTACACATTAAAAAAAGCTTGCAGAGTGGTCAGCCCTAACCAAGATTTATGTTTGCCTATCGGAATTATTACACTCAATGGAATTTGAACTTTAGGAAAACATATCACTAAACAAAGATTTGATAAGGTTTACATCTTGAATTTCTGTATCATCGCTACTATCTACATAAGCAAATATCCAGTCAGACTCTTCTGTCTTTATCTGACATAGCATTACAGCACATCTCTCTCACAGCATCTTTGGTACAGCCCTTGTAAAAAGGGAAAAAATACTTTTTTAAAAATCAAAAACTGGAATATATTGTTTAAAGACAAACCATATAAAAAGAGCGCACAAACATACCTAAAGTAAGGTTAATTATGAATTATTATTTTTAAGGGTGGAATTGAGAATGGAAACAGTAAGTATTCTAAGTCTATAAAGAAATGCAATTCAGGTCAGTCCTAGTCAGTATGAAATAAAGTTCCATAACATAAAATTGAATTCACAGTCCATATAGTCCATGTATGGAAACTAGGCTGCAAAAACATTCTGTTTTGAAATCCTTGTTTTTGTGATGTCACTAAAATCAGCACATTTACATATATCTTAGCTCTGCTCCTTCATGTTCAAGTTATAAGGAGAGTTTCATTCTGGCCTGCTTTTTGAATGAGGCACAATACAGGGCAGCCAGTCAGAACAGAGGTCATCTACACATATCAGTCTATAAAGGTAAAGAAAAAAACAGCCTGTTTAATTCTAAGGGATAAAGTGAGGATGTAAAATTGTCATTTAAAATTATTATAACTGTTTTTGGTACATAAAACCTTTATAAGTAGACTTCAGGGAGAAATAAAAAATGGAAGAAAAATGTACGATATGGGCCCTTTAAGAGTGTGTTACTTAGTTATTAGTCTTAAGGCTTACTCAGTAAGCACTGTATTATTTAGCTATGATAGCATGTATGTAAAGATTTCAGTGGTACTTAGATCTCAAAGGGTTAATATATCAAAAAGAAATTAAACTTTTTAAAAATTTGTTAATTATAGGCAACCCATACCTCTCTCACTTTTCTTGCAACTGTGCCAACTGTGCCACCAGGCTGAGAGAGCAGCAGTGAACAACAGTCATTAATAGCACTATAAATTTAACCTCCGTGTGAAAATCGAGTTTGTTTCTGTTTGCTAACAGCGACCAACACGGCATGCTAAATTCAGTGACGTCTGTCTGCTGCGTTTCCATGAGCACTTCCTGTGGAAGGAAGAACTTCCTGAGGCAGAGATGTTGAGCCAAACAGAGTGAGTGGAGGAAAATAGAGCTGAACTTACCGTTGTGGGAGATTTCTTATCTTGCAGGTTGGGCCTGACACTCCTGAATCCTTTGGCCGCCAAAGAGGAAGTGGCCGCCTCACCATTTCTTAGAGCATCCCCAGCACTATAGGACCGCCACACATCTAGAACATTCCACACAAACATAAATATTATCAGCATCAACACAATAAAACATTTACATTTGTAAATGTAAATAGTCATATTGTAAGCATACCATATAATGTGAATTACATTGTATACAACTATGATTATATGATAGTTATGTTACAGTACTGTGCAAAAGTGACCATTGCATTTCAAATTGACACAAGCAGAAAATTTGCAAATCAGCAGGTGTTCACAAAACAATGGACTGACCACGGCCAGAGTCCAGACTTCAACATCACTGAATGTTGTTTACTGAAGACTGAACTGTAATAAATAAATAAATATTAAAAATTTGATGTTGTATTTAGTTGTTGAGGCTTCTGTATAATTATCTGTTAAATATACATTATCTGCTTCTTCCTGGAGCTGAAAAATCAATATTATGTACTCGATGGCCATTCTGACTGGAAATTACACAAATGAAAGGTCTCTGACTTCTGCACGCCCTGCGATGGGCTGGCGACCTGTCCAGGGTGTACCCTGCCTTCCGCCCAATGACAGCTGGGATAGGCTCCAGCACCCCACCGCGACCCAGAAAGATAAGCGGTTTAGATGATGTATGTATGTATGTATGTATGACTTCTGCACAGTACTGTATAACTATGTAATTACAGTTATTATAAAGTATCTGTTGTTTAGGCTTATGCAACAGCAAAAGTGCTTTTTAAAAAAGTTCAGCTTACCTGAATCTGTTGAGGGAGATTCGGTGCCTAAGCAGAAATAAAAAAAGATGTCAGTGATAAAGTGTGTACAAGACTTATGGATATGGCTTTATCTTATTTGTTTTCTGGATGTATGCTGCTTTATTCCAGTGTGAGGCCTTCAGAGAGTGAAAGTTCTACAGCGGCTGTACGAATGGCTTATGATCTATGACACTCATCAGGGTGCATTCATGTTGTGTGTGCACTGTGCAGTACATCAGATATCATTACTGGCTCTGTTCCAGACCACTGCTCCAGCGCTCCCAGCAGGAAAACATGAATGAGGATGATGTATGAGCAGTGATGAAAGAGAAAGTTTTCCACTTATATTTTTCTAATCTTATTGCAATATCAACAGTTATTCAAACACAATCATACAGGTGTACAGGACAAAGGTCAGTCCTCTCTGACTCTTAATGGCTACAAACGTGCAAACATGCACGTATTTCACAAATAAACTCTTAAATAAACGTCTGGGGGTCAACCCTTAGAAGCTAAGTATCATTAAGTGATTATTTAAAAAAGTAGAACATCTCTATTAAAAAGCACAGATTAAAATATTAAGTTTGTGATCATAAGTAAAAGAGGACATATTTGGTTTGTTTGATTTGAATTTGATGCAAAGTTATCGCTGAGTCTTGTGTTGTGGAACTAAAAACATCCTTCACATTGTTACAATTTTTATTTTTTCACATCAAAACAAAGTGAAAAATGTTTGAAATGCAGACTTGAACCTCTTATACAGAACATAAATCAAATGTAAATGTAATTCACTATGTAAATACATAATTAATTATGTATTTATGTACATTAGTGCTGTCAAGTGATTAAAATAATCATGATTAATTGCATTAATTTGTGTAGTTAATCATGGTTGTGATTGTCGTTTGCTCTAATTACACGGCAAAGAAAGATTTTTTCCCCATTTAAAAAGCATTTTTTAGAGCTATATGAGTGGACAAAATAAGCTTCATCAGAATTGTTTTGTTTATATTTTTCCTTCTATCATTTATTACTTTCAATAAAATATGATTAAATGCACAAATGTTCAATGAATAATTTAAGTTGTTATTTAGAATTGAAATAATTCTTCCAATTCTTGTAGATCCCTTAGAGTATGTTATTGTTGCTAGGCAACCTCGACTGCTGAAAGAGGAAGAACATTCAAGCAATATTGAATATTGTTTGTTTTGTTATGAACATTTCATAACCCTGTTTAATGCAAAAACCTTCGCTTTATAAGTAGCTTTTGTTCCCAAATCACCACCACAATGACAATGCTAATGTCCATTAGCGCCTTTATGCACTTTCCAATCTTATTTAGCAGTAAGCTAAGGGTGCTGTACGTCCCCTTTCTCAAACTGGGGCTCCCTACTTCCAGTATAGTGCATTATATAGGTATTAAAATACTGGCCCCTGCAGCCAAACAGAGCATAATATATCTAACAAATAGCCACTTGGTATTTAGCTGTGTGTGTACAATTCCATAGTGGACAAACAGTGTACTATTTGGGTATACAAGCCAGAATTTCAGAACTTACACTGCACACTATATAGGAGGAAGGGTGCCATTTGAGAACTAAAACACAGAAGCGTGATTCCATCCTTATTTATGTGACAGTTTTACACTGAATAATATAGTACTTTAATTCGAGGCCTGTGATATTAATGAAGTTGTTTAGCCTAGAATCTAAAGGATTTTTCATGACTTGGCCTAGTAATACTGAATTAAACTGTTGCAAGGCAGTCATAGGGGTGTGTATTTCATACATTTCACAACAGCTTCAATAGCGGCTCAGCCAATCATATTTGAGGACGAGAACTCTTTGTTTTCTGTTTTATAAATACCACATTTGTGTTCATTAGTAGAAGAGGAGATATTTTACTGTGATTTGAATTTGATGAAAAGTTATTGTTGCTAACAGAGTCTTAAGGGACTAAAACATTTATATTATACAATATTGAAAGGCAATATAACGCATTACCTAACTATGTAACTAGATTATTTTGTACTATGTATTGTTGACTCAATTATGAACTCCACACTTCTAAGTGTTAAATACTCTTCTTTTTTGTCTTTGTGTTCTTTGACGTTGACATTAACTTAATAACCTCCCTCTCCGATAAAAGCAGAGTCAAATGAGCAGTGGTCTAACAGGTACCTGAAACGGCTGTGTTTGCTCACTGAGGCTGAGCTGGTCGCTCACTCCTGCAGGAGCTCACCCGCCAGCGGAATAGTTAAACAATGGAGACTATGTGTGTGTGAGGTCATAGTCCATAAAGCCACTCAAACAAAAAGGGTCACCCCCAGAGGAAACAAGGCTGAGAAGAGAGGGGAGAAAAAAAGCAACAGAGTGCACAATTGTTGCCATGGAGCGGCACAACTATGGCAACAATCCAACTCCAGTGAAAAGTCTGTTCCCTTTTAAGTAACGGAGAGGACCACTCGCAGCTTCTGAAGCCCAAACATGCCACCCTGGGAGCTGCTAAGGGCTAGATGGAGAAGAGAGAGAGAGAAAGAGCAAGAGAGTTGCAGGAAACCAGTGGAAGACAGGCGTAAATGATGCTAATCCAATGAAGAGGAATTCCTGCCTGGGATGATTGATTAAACACAGCCTGTCTCTCTGTTTGCTCGAAACTGTCAGTTTATATACAAACGACAATCTTACTCACATGTAAGGAAGCAAGACGCACCAATTACATATGACAGTTGAACAAACATGAGCAAAAGCCTTTTAGTCATGCTGTTATGGGTGACAACATTAAGGTAGACTTCACATTAGTAGCTATTTACTTGGCCATCTATTCTTGCTGGACAAGTGAGAAACTCCTGCTTGATAAGCAGGTAATATTGTAGCTTTTAAAGGCCCTGAACTGGCCAGAGTCCAGCCTCCTAAAACAATCACAGTGTTAAAGCGATGGTTCTGCCAATATCAAATTACTAACACTAGCACTCAAAAATGGACAAAAGTAGTGTGCAGAAATCAGAGACCACCTTTCCAGTCACAACAGTCAAGTTATTCAAGCGATACATTTAACAGAAAATTACAACAATTAAATATAATAACAAGATTCAGTATTTTTTTCTACGATTTGCCTTTATTATAGCTTTCATTCTTTTTGGGAAACTTCTTTTTTAAAGAAATCTGCAGATATATTTTTCCACATCTCCAAAGTTCAGTCTCAGAAATTGGTTGCATTTTCTCCTTCTCACAATCAAAGTAATTCCAAACACATTCAACAAAGTTAAGGTCTGGACTCTGGGGTGGTCAGTCCATTATTCTGAAACCATCAGCAGCTTCTTTGTTTGATTTTGCAGATGCTCTTCTTTTTTTCCATTTCTCAGTAAAGGCTTCTTGTCAGCTACACATCCTTTCAGACTCATAGTGCTGCACTGTCTTCTCACAGTGGAAGGATGGACAGAAACACCTGTGGATTTTTCAGATCTGAAGCAAGAGTGGAGCTTGATTTTCTCCTCTCTCTCACAGATGAAAGCTTTAAGTACTGTTTATCTGATGAGGGTAGGTTTAGTGGTCTACCAGGTGGTTAGGAGTCTCATTTTCTAAGTAACTTTTAAAATTTTTCTGAACTCCACTTTTTCACTTAATTTCCTATAATTAGTAACTTGCTCTTAATGGCTGTTTTGATGGGAAACTGAGTAAATGTACAATCTCTGATTTTTGCACAGTACTCTTTGTCACATAGAGGCCCATTTATATAGATACCAGTACAACATACAGTATCAGAAACCTCAAAAGCAAGTCTATTTGAGATTACTTACTTCAGGGTCAAGCATGTGTATGATGATTTACGGGCTGATCCACCACATATGGGGTAAGGGAAAAACGGTGTAAGTTTGATTTCAGGCTGAACCATTGCTTTAAGAAGCTTAGAAGATTAGATTAGAAGTCTTCATACTATGAGAATACAGTTTAGTACAGAAACAGAGCAGTAGGTGTGCAGGTCTAAGTCGGTTGGGAAGAATACCTGGGAGCCCATACAGGTTTGGGGAACTCTGCACTCTCTTCATTGGGGTTAGAGTGAGTGAGAGCGTGCTGCTCTTACGAGCTCGTCCTCCGCTGTCTGTGAGAGGCATGGCAGCATACACATACACAAGCCTCAAACATAGGGCAAAGCACATGCATCAAAAAAAAAAATTGCATTTGGGCAAGCATGATAATCCAGCATCTGTCCCAATCAACCAAAAGGCAGTGTCAACAAAATAAATCTGCATGCAAAGCACTTCACTGTGTGTGAGTGTTTTAAATATTGCTGAAAGCTTTAAATGTTGCTGAAGTAATAAAGTCATCCATTTCATGCTGCCAAGAAGCCTCCAAGCATAATAAACTGCTAATCCACTCTTATAAATAAAAGTGTCAGAAATGGTTGTTTGGAATGATTGCATAGAAGAACCGCTTTTGGTTCCCTAACGAACCTTTGAATATATGGTTTTTAAAGAATCATTTTGGTAAATGAGACATTTGAGTCTGAAGAGCCTTTTAAAAAACCACCACATAATGTCAAGTTTCTATACTATTTAAAGGCTTTGCCTAAAATACTACATTCATGAACGATTTGGGAACCTTTATTTTTAAGAGTGTAGCTGATCAAGCCCTCAGATATGGGCAATTACTCTGAAGCAGATGGTTTAAAGTGGCATTCTGGCATACAAGTAAAGTTTAATGCATCATTTGTCATGTTACATAGTATTCTCTAGCACAGCATTATTTAATATTACTACATTTTATTCCATTTTTATGTTTTCATTCATCAATGTACTCTCGCTACAATACCTAACATGAATTATGCAAATATAATCATACCAACACTGAGAATCCCTGTGGTGTCAACCAATCCTATAGGCTAATAAATTCAACCAAAGCATTAGAGTAATTCTTACCTCGGGCACTGAATCACATCATAAAGGAAACAGCAAATCTGTCTTTATTCAGAACTAGTGACAATTTTTTACCCTTTCAGCCAGAGTTTCAGCCAACCTGAAGGTAAGCTATCTGAAGTAGGATATTCAGCTTCCTAGCAGTAACATTAGCCTTCCTTCCGCATTCAAACAGCAAGAAAAACATTTCAAAACAAGCTGCTGCCAAAAATCCATCCCAGAGCAGCTGTAGTTTTTCAAAAGTTCCTCCTACCAAAGGGGGTCTAGTCTTTAAAACAGAAAATCTCTTTCTAGATACAAATGTAGCACCATGGTAGGGGGTAATTAAGCATGTTTACAAAACATGTAGCACACTGTTAATTTTTCATTTTGACCAGAAGGTCCCTTTATGTTATTTTTCTGTTACACTATTATGCCAATTGATATCAATATGACAATATGAGAACATTTTTACACAGACATACTTACCACTGTGGACAAATGTACATACCTACATACTTTTCAAAATCTAGTTTTTGTTCACTCTGCTTTTAAAGTTAAGTAGTAGCTAAATAGGGTAAGTAGGCGGCTGCTGCCCAGCTGGATGATAAAAACAGAACTATAATACGTGTTGATTGACAATAACTGTCTGAAGTAGACTACATCACTGATAAATGGATCATTGGGCTACACTCATTAGTGTCCTCCCACTATATATGGTGTCTGTCATTCAACTCATGTGAAAATGTCTCTTCATTTTGACAGGATGAACAAAAACGTTAAGAGCTTTTTTTCTTCTAACAGTATATTACATCTTACACAGAGGTACATAGAGCTGACTAGTGTTTGAGGCAGTGTTTTGCAGATAGACAGTGTGGGGTGTTGACAGTGGCAGACAGTGCCTGATAGGTTCTCTCCTGACTCACAGGCCTAACTCTGTCTCACAGGAAGGGCTGGGTGCTGAGATGCTGAAGGCTTTGGCAGTGTCAGCCATTGAAAAAGCACTTTTTTAAGCTAGCCCAGTGGCAGGAACTCCCACTGCACAGCACTTCCCACAAACCCAGAGATGAATACACAATCACATGCTGTGAGCTACAAAAACAAATTCCAAAGAAAGTGCGAGATAAGTGAGCGGAGCATGGGTCATAGGGGGCAATGAGGACTTTCACTTAAGTTTCACCGATTTATCGAGCAAAGTGGAATCTAATTGGTCATTCAACAGTATCCAAGCATTTGTGATCAAATGCTGGTAAAAAATCCCTTTATATATTTCCCTCTAAAACTGACCTCTTCAGCCAGCAAAATTATTTCTGCTAAAATGCCTGGATCCAGGAAGGTCTACAGCATAGTGAAATGGAAACTGAAGAAACTATTTGTGCCTATTATTTTCATAATGCAACAAAGTCTTTTGCCCTTATCCAATCCAGTGGTTCAGGATTGAGTCTTAGCTAAACTAAGATCAATCCTGTTCTGTTCCTTTATTTCCTTTTTTAACACTCTGTTTATACCACTGTCTGTTTATACCACTGTTTTTGTCAAAAAGGGACATCATCCACAGCCTGCAGAGATGAGGCATGTTTTTGGGTGCTATGTTTGAGCTAGCTGCCTCTCGTGTAAACATGGGCACATAAAATTTGAGCATGCAGCTATTACACTTCAAGTCTATTTTCTGCTGCATACCGCAAGCAACATTCCACTAAAACCACATAGAAAATACAGTCCCATAACATGTTTCCCACACAACTGGTTAAAAACAGAAGTGTAACAGAAATGATCTGCTTTAACAGTGGAAGTGCCGCAAGCTGCTTCTGAACTAAAACCAGCGTTCAACAGACCATTCAAAGGAGAAATATGAATTCATAGCGTATTTATAACACTATAAAATGGTTATTTCAGAGAAGTAGTACGAAAGACTGTTTAGAGTGTTTACTGTTATGATTTTACTGCAGCATTTGGTAGCCAAATCATCAGTTAGGTCACTCAAAATGGTCATTTAAGAATATGCCAACAGAAAAAAAAAATTGGCATATGTTGAAAATGCCTGTTGCTCATTACACTGTGTGTAAATTTCATGATGAAGTACATGAATTCCCACAAATTCATGTACTTAAAGTCAATGTCAGTTTAAAAGTCAATATATTATTTTATTATTAGCAGTCACTATCGAGCACATTAGTGATCAAGTTATCTGCCGATTATTAGTCGACTGACAACAAAAGTGGTCTTAAAACTAAAGAAAAACAAACCTTCAAAGCTTCTGAAATACCTGGAAATAGACAATCAAGGAAGGCTTTGAAGAGATTTCACTAAAAAATTAGGGATGAACACACATGGGAATTGTGGGCCGATGTTGATATCTGATATTTTTCATGTGCTCATCTGCCGATGATGATACTGATACTGTCACATCAACACTTATAAAATATAGAAACTGGGAGTACATTTACCTAGATTAGCATTACAGAGAAATATATAAAATGAATGGAAAAATCATCTGGTTCCACTTACTTACATTAAAAGTAGAGTATGTTTTTTTTCCTTCTCCTGTAATGTTATCATTTTGGAGATACATGGTTTTGTTCCAACAGCAGCGATATACCAAAAACAAAGTGTAGTATTAATTGGCAGTCTCTCATCTGAACTGTGTGGCTCTATTTTCTACAAAAACAAAAAAAATCTGCCAATACTCAACATTAAAATACTCTGATCGAATTGGGGGGCAAAAAACAGGATCCAGTTTCCAGTTTTGATATGACAGCAAGAATATATAACATCTGGGTCTCCTAAAGCTAAATCTGGAGTTATATATTGGTTGAACATTTTGAGGACATACATGATTCTGGTGATATAATGATGTGGAAACCAAAGCTGAGGTCAACACAGTGTTCAAAACTGTGGTATGTGAAATGACAGCATCCCTGTAACAGTAAACAATAAACCACAGGAAGGAAAGAAGGTTTCTACATACCTGTATTCATGTTGAAGAGGTCTTCTTCCAGTGTTGTCTTGAAGTCACAAAGTCCTGCAGAAATCAGAGAATTGAGCCAATTAGCAAGTACGGTATTGTAAATAAGCTAAGTAAATAAACCTGGCATGAGCCATATAGCTTTCCATATGGGGAGTAAGATTAATAGCATGATGTTGATCTGAAAGTGCTCCATTAGTATCTTAGTCCCAGGGCTGTTGAGTGTGGGACAGCAAGTCTTCGGTCCCATGTGACTATTCAACCCCCTGGGGAGCGAGCTCCTGTGTGAAAGGTGATACAAGCCCAGCATTTCTGCTCTGAAACATGCGGCTCAGTTTCAAAATACACACACACACATACATACACACCCCGGAACTCACCCATTACCTCTTTTGGTTCACTACAACTTAACAACTGCTAGAATGCTTAAGAAGTAATGCAACACAATCAAACTTGTTTTTAAGCCTTCAGACTCGTGTTGAGTTTGACCTAGATTGATCACTTTTCTGTGACAGATTAACAGCTCTTATGACCCTATTCCTAAAATACTCCATTTATTTTGGTGTGAGCTGAATATTTCTAGGATGGTCTATGAAGGGAAGTCGTTTCATTACGTTATTACATTACCTAACCCTTCAGCCATATGTAGCTTCTGACGCAGGGGTCAGATGCTGGTGTGTAAGCAGAGCAGTCCAGATAGTGGACACCACTGAGTCTGCATTCTCCTGGACACATGCCTAACATATAGTGTCACTGCAGGCACGAGCGGTGATGACCAGCCTATCTAACAAACAGTATGGCATGCTTTACCTGAGAGGTCAGCTTCAAAACGGTATTCGGCATGACCCACTGACCATTCTTAGCACAAGCTTGGCATTTTAAAAGCAACTTCGGATTGTTAGATTGTGCCAGACAGAAAGGGGCACAATAAGATATATATATAATATAATAATGCAATTCCCACAAATTCATGTACTTAAAGTCAGTGTAAAGTCAGTTTAAAAGTCAATATATTATTTTTTTATTGGCAGTCACTATCGAACATATAACTAATCAAGTAATCTACCGATTGTTAGTCGACTGACAACAAAAGCAGACTTAAATCAAACAAAAACAAACCTTCAAAACTTCTGAAATACTTGGAAATACACAATCTATATATTTATATATATATGTATATATATATATATATATATATATATATATATATATATATATATATTTTTATATATATATATATATATATACATATATATATATATATATATATATATATATGTATATATATATATATGAAATGCAGCCCCAAAGCAGCTGGAAACCTCAGCCATGCTTTACTGTTAACTGCTGATCCATATAGTGCTCTCTAGCCCTTCATCAGACAAACTGCCTTCTGTTAGAGTCAGAAATTTCAAATTCCAGAGAGTCCAGAGTACCTACTGCCATTCTTCTGCCACCCAGTCCTTGTGTTTTTGTGCATAGATGCGTCGCTTGGCCTTGTTTCTCCCTCAAAGACATGGCGTTTTGGTTGCAACTCTTACATGAAGACCATTTCTGACAAGACTGAGTTCTGAGCTGAGAGCAATACAGCACATATTCAGATTTCAGTTAGCCTGATGTACTTTACATCTTCAGCACTCAGTCTCTGTGGCAACCACTGCATTTCTGGTCCTAAACTTTGCCTGTTTGATTGTGCTTCTGTGGAAGAGCTTGGGCAGCACATCTGGAAACACCTGCCTGGGAGAGACCTTGCTGATAGAGGATGGCCACCTTGTGTCTTTTTGCTATGCTCACTCACTCATAGTGCAAGATTCGAAGGTTAAACTGTCACATGTACCACAACGTTGCCATTTTAGTATGGTTGTCCCTCAGTTTCATTCCCTCAACACAGCTGTTTCTGTTTCAGTTAATCAATTTTGTTCAATCTGCTCATAATGTCATTAATCAATATTTAATTAATATTTGTTTAATCATGCACTGGACTATAAGCCTTCAAAGATTAGAAGATCCACTCATACAAATGCAACACACACTAACACATTACCACCACATCAGTGTCACTGCAGTGCTGAGAATGATTCACCACCTAAATAATACCTGCTCTCTGGTGGACCTGTGGGGGTCCTCACCACTGAAGAACAGAACAAAGCAACAAAGTATGCAGAGCAGCAGATGGACTACAGTCTGTAATTGTAAGTGCACCTATATGGTAAGTGGAGCTGATAAAGTGGACAATGTGTGTGGATACAAGCAAGCTGTACTTAATGAAGTGGCTTGTCTGTGTGTGTATATATATATACATATATATATATATATTTTATATATAATCACCGCTGATTTATCATGAAGGTAAATTTTAATTGACATTTTGACATTTTTTCAATTGAGTAGTTTAATCCAGTAACTGCGACTGTTCTACTTTTTTATTAATAACTTCTATAAAATATCAAGTCAAATCAGATTTCCTCCTCCCGTGTCCCATTAAAATTGGCCCTCAGTGTCATTTCCCCAAAATAAATCTTCAGCCAGCGTGCCCCATAAATCGGGCTAAAAAACACAGGGGACACATTTGCCTGTGACACCACCGGACCTGGGTAAATCAAAGTTGTAATGGCCTGTCAGCATTAAATGAAGAAGAGATTATGGTGTTGGATTTCAAGAGAGCAGACTAGTGGCGACAGAACAGCTGGAGGGGACGGGAGCTGGACACCCGCCTGAGAACACACATGCATGACCAGGGCTATACCACTTGGCCGCGGCTCCTTTTAAACGCTAAACATCTCAGGACAAACCATGTTCAGCAAAGCTGGGGGCCGTACACATTTATATGGAAGACAGTACTACAATTTGCTAAGAGAAAAAAACAGAAACGTCTTAAAGAAATCATCCTAAAGAGGATTGCATAACCACAGCCATGAGGCATTACACATGCACAAGTGGTTCCTGATAAACAGCATTCTTCCTTGTTGATAGCAGCTTGTGTTTAGTCTGATTTATGAGCAGTGTATCAGAGAGACAGAGGACGTTCTCATGTCACCCCCCCACAGTCCCGATTCCTCTTGGCAGCGGAAGAAGCGTGAAAGCCATGCCTCGCACCTCCTTGACAACCGCCTAAGTGTTGATACAGGGACTAAATACTTCGAGATGGCACCCAGACAAGCCATAATATCCGCAATAACACAACAAGGCATGTTGACTTGACACACAACATGGGTTAACACTATGAGACTTATCGTTTTCAAGCTAAATATTGCAATAACGATCACAATATTTAGTTTTTTGCATACAAGCTGCAATAAACAAAATCTACTGGCAAAACAATGAGCACAATAGCTTTTTTTCTTAAAAATTGTTCCTTACAAAATAAACATGATGAAACAGGAAAAGGCCAAAAAAATCAAACGGTTGGTAATAATAAACAAATAAAAATAAGAAAAAGGCATAATGGGCTAAAATCCAACCAGCTGCTTATTACTATGTAGTTTTTGCAGCAGCTAGGTACTGCTTGTTGTTGTTTACATGTCTAAGTCTGTCCAGTGCTCTTGAAGTATCGTAAAGTAATGTATCACAATATCGATTTCATTTTGCCACATTTCCCATCTCTATTTGTATATTACTTATTTTCCAATTTGTCACAGTTTAAATGTTTAAAGACTTCATAACACTTAATATTAGAATGAAAGAAAAATTGCAAACTAATAATAATATTATTAATAATAATAATAATAATAATAATAATAATAAAACTATTCAAATAAATGTAAGAAGGCCACATTTAAAAACTACCATCAAAAACCATAAATATAAAAGATTTTTATTTAACATTTTACATACTGCACTACAGTAAATCCAGTCAAACAGGCCTTACTATGTTTTCTTGTAATGAAACATACAGTTGGTCAGTGTTATAAAAGTACTGACCATATCCAAAGCATACTATGACATATCATGACATAATTTATCATGATAACAATAAATATCATCATATGGGCCAGCCCTAGCTACCCCTTAAATGGCCAGGACCTGCCGAGGGGTCCAAACTTTCAGGCAAATACACTCTTCTATAACTCAAGAATAACTGAGCCAGTTTGCACAGCAGTCCATGTAGTTACTGAATAATTAGCTTTACAATATAATAAGCCTGAGATTTTAAGGAGTTTAAGTTAAATAAAAATAGTTAATGCTAATTTCCAGACCACAGACCAATAACAGACCTTTATTACTGACTAAACTGAATTGAAAAAAAAAACAACAAAACACTTACTCCTACTGTCCAGGTACAGGAGGTTTGTAGCTCCACTTTACTTACAGGTCAAGACAGTATTAGGACTGAATTATCACTCCACAAGCTTATTAGTAGTCATCAGCACTTTGGATAGACAAACACACACATGTATGCACTACTGGAGTATATACACATCCAAACTCAAAGCTTAGACCTGCTCAGAAACATGTCACAAACTACTTCATGTGGAATGGCATTTCCACCCAGGCAGCCAGTGAACACTCTTAGCGGACCCAGTGTTTATATATGAAAATATGCAGGTGCAAAGGCCTTTAGACTTCCTATTATCACTAAACTGATGACTATTTGACTTATAAAGCTAACATAACATTCTTTGAATGACAAATATATGCAGATCGAAATAAAAAATCTACAAACATTGTACGCTGTCAACAATCAACAAGTCACAGTAAAAGAGAGAACTATATCAGAATTATTCAGCATCATATATATGTATACATAGTGCATCACATAACAATTTCATATACATATTTTGTACATAGTTCAATAACAAGCCATAATCATATCATATGCAGATGCTCTTCAACAGTCCTACCTGTTAGTGCTGTTAAAGCCTAATGATTTCCTTGGCCTGTTCAACTTGAAGAGATTTGCTTATCAAGCATATAAGGATGTAACAGTAAAATGCAGTATGCAAAACTATGCTCTCACTCACTCAATACCAAATAAAAGAGCTCAGCATCCTTGCCATGTTGCTTAGTACTAACCAAAATAGGAAGAATCTCCTGCTTTTCTTCTGGGATTTGGAGCC